GTACGTGCTCTGGGAGGATCTTAAGAGGGAGAACGTTTGGCTCGAAACCAGCCTCAATAGCTCTACTATAGATACGATTGACCGTACGAGGATGAACACCAGTAAGTTCAGAGATCTGTGATGTAGACTTGCCAACAGAAGGTGACTTTAACGCCACAATTAAGGTGCGGGTGTAAGGATCAGTATTAGGAGACATTGTAACGATAGATACAGACAAATCGTACAGCTACTCAGCTCAAAGGTGGGAGTTGCGCCAAGAAGAGTTATGCCGAAGCGCCGAGATTAGCGTGGGACAAAACTTTTGTGAGGCACCTCCGTACGTGCCATCCTTTTCCTTTTGCTGCGCCTCGGGCGTAATGTGCGTGTCGACAAACTTGCGAATCTCCCTCTGTAGCGCCCGGTGGCTCTCCTTGAAGTACGGGCTCTTGAACTGCGGCCGCAGCCACAACGGCTCCGCGTACGGCACTGGGCTCAGATCGCCGGGCTTCTGCACAATCACCTCTGGTGTCTCGCCCTCAATCGTGCCAATGCACAGCTCGCTGTACTTTTCCAGCACTTCTTGTCGGTGCAGATTGTAAAACGTCGTCGTCGCATCTTGGCCCGCCACCTGCTCGAGCACAACGGACCCGCCGGGATGCGCATCCACAAAGTCGCTGAGATCGTATACTTTGTGGTCGATTATGCACCAGAGATCGTCGCCCTTGTTATGCGAAGCGACCGATTCGCGCGTAAGTGCTGCGTGAGGCATGGTGAGGAATGAAAACGTGGGTGCTGGATAAGTATTCAAGAAAGAAAAAGAAAGAAAAGCAGATCACAATTCAAAGGAACACGACGTGGCAGAACCGGCTTAAGGAGACATAAACGACGAGGACGTCAAAAACCCCCCATTAAGGCGGGTCTCCGCGTCGTCTTCTAAGCCTCGGTATATCCAGGAACAAGCTAGTCCCTTTCCGCCTGGTATCTCCGTTTCGGGCGCCGATAGAAAGCCCATTCTGGGGAACATACCGAGGCTTGCATTTATGCCTTCGCTTATTGGTCGTGCCCGCATAGCAGGGGTTACCACCGAGGAGCGAGGGGGGGCTGGGGACAGCAGGTTGGTTCGGAAGCCTCTGCGATGCGTTTGCCCCTACTAGAACTTTAAACTACGCCCTCGTGTCCCCCCTACCCTTGCACTCGTGCACGACATCATGTCATGCTCAGGCCACCACGCACATATGAATAATGTACTTGTGTAGTAGTACATGCAATAACGATTTGTGCGCTTTAGGTTGTTTGTGGTGCAAGTCACGTGAGGTGATGGGGTCTCTGCATCTGCTTACTGCGCTTGGCTTGTAGTTGGGACTCTCACTCACGCTCACATTCTTCGCAATAATAGTCGTAACAATGTGGGCGGAACGAGCGTCTTGTGCTGTGATTTTTTTTTCGCGCTTTTGTATCTACAAGTGATTTCAAAGTGCTCACCCGACATATCCTGCTTCGCCATAGGGTACACGATTAAGACTGCACTAAGGTATACCCCATACCCCTGGATCCCACACACAAACACATGGCAAGTACTAGAGTGATGGATGCAATCTTACAATCTAAGGTACGGGGAAGAAGAAGTGAGTGAGTGAGAGAGAGAGAGATGGAATATCGCTGTATGTAAAGTACAGAGCTAAGCTAAGGAGCTAAGCTAAGCATTAGAGTATTCCTACTCCCTTGCTTCCCTGCGTGACTCGTTCCTATGTAGCTTACTCTGCATACGTACACAGTAAAGAACCGAAGAATAGAATAGTAGAGGAAAGCATACTGCGTTGATTAGTCTTGTTGTCTCTAATACCCCAACGATACAAGGGAAGAAAGAAAGAAAGAAAGAAAGAAAGAAAGAAAGAAAGAAAGAAAGAAAAAAGAGAGATAGTAAGACGTTGTAAGTATCACGCTAACACAATCAAACCCCCCAGGATTTCAGAATATTCAACACGCTCCTCTCTCTCTGCTGTACTCTCTTCTCTTTGTGTGAAAGTATCTCCCGGCCACATTCTTCACCGCTTATGTATTCATTTTAACAGCCTATTCGTTATTCCTTACCTCCTCCTCTCTCTCTCTCTCTTTCTCTCTCTCTCTCTCTCTCTCTCTCTCTTTCGTTCCAACCCTACCTCTTACCCCCCAAACATGCAGCTATGTATACGCGAGACATGTAAGTAGTTTACCAAGACACATAAAATACACGTAAGAAGTGATAGCAAGGACTATGGTAAGGGAGACTGTTTGTTGATATATATATAACGTGTTTCACCAGTAAGCGGGCCACCCCAGTATGTGGGCCACCTCCCCAAACTTTTACATCTTTGTAATAGTATTGCGCAACACTACCACAATATTTTTTATTAAGTAGAATAAGATATTATTCTTTAGACGTATTGCTATCCTTTGTATCCTCTAATTCTACTTGACAAGTGCGAGAGTTGTGTCTAATTTAGCTGCAACGCCCGCAGCGCTGTTCACTACGCACCCTCTTCGCAGACGTTGCACCATTATTATAGCTACTACCCTCTGCCTTAGTGATCTGATTAGCTATCTAGCTAACTGTCTAGGACCCCTCTGCTTGTACGTAGCGCCTCTTACGAGTTTTTCGCTTTGTTACTTTAGTAATCGTAGCTTTAAGGCGATTAAGTTTCTTCTGCATTAACACTATATTATAAGCTATCTGCTAAGCTCTCTTACTTAACTGCTATATCTACTCCTTAAGAGAACTTGTAGGAGACCCTTGCTGGATTTGCATACGGTTTCGAATAAGCGTAGCCTGCGCCTCCATTTCGCGCGCGTTGCGCGGCGTTTTCGGCTCCCAAGCAGTAGTCTCTTGCGCTGGTGGAGTTGGCGTACGCAGCATGACGTTAAGCTGTGATAAAACAACGTTATAATTGTGCGGTGAAAGTCCAGCACCTTGGAACCCTCCGCGGATATTTTCTGGTGTAATAGCCTTATAATAGGCCTTTTTAAACGCTGGTAGGAAGGTTTCTTTGCTAATATAGTAGATGCGATTGCGTGCTAAGACCGAGATAGCATCACCATACGCGCGCTTTAACGGCGAGAAGCAGCCCACATCAAGAGGCTGTAAGAGGTGCGACGAGTGGGGAGGCATACAGAGGAGGATTATCTTCATCTCTTCGCAGAGATCTCGGAAATCCACCGAGCAGTGGCTCTCATGGCCGTCAATAATAAGCAGCCTATGCGTCCCCACAGGCCGCGCATAGGAATTAAAGTGACGAAGCCAGTCAAGCGCTAGATCGTTGTTCGTCCAGCTGGTAGGACTAACTTAGATCACCTAGTCGCGTGGCAGATCCTCCGTGAACCAGGTAGAGATTAGAACCTTGCTAGCGAAGATAAGAAACGCTGGGATACGCGTGCCTGTTGCGCCAACGCCTTGTATCAGCGTAACCCACTCACGATTGCTTGGCTGGATCTTCTTTGTTCTCCCTAGTTTGTCTAAGCCCGTGATAACTGACTGTGATAAAATCTTGCCTATAATAAAGCTAGTCTTATTAAAGTTATAGATATCTTCGTCCACGATACCATACTTTGCCTTTATATTCTAAACTAGCTTAAACTAGCCCTTAATAAGCGCTAGGTCTTCGTAGAGAGCTTGCTGGTGATCGTATGGACGGCTCTAGCGCGTACGCAGCTCAGGATTGCGCTGGACAAACCTATCAACCCAGTTCTTGCCCACCTCCTTCCCGCCACGCTCTCGGAGCAGTCTGTTGGCCATATCTCGCACGTCGTCTTTCCCACAGGGTAGTCCTCGCTCAGCCTCAACTATTACACGCATAGTAATAGCCTCCTCTTCTAGTTTTGTTAGGCGCCTTGCTGGTGGCTCCTAATCGCTTCGAGGGCGCTGTCCAGCTCGTCGACGCTGGATTGTTGTTCGTGGGACGCTATAGGCGGCAGCAGCGCGTCGTTCACTCTAAATTTGTTTAGAATTAAGATTAGTAATAGCAAGAAATAGATCTGCTTTAGTATAAGTTTTTAACGCGTTGCGTTGTTGAGACATTACGCGTTGTTGTTGCAAAGGTGGGATATCATAGGGAAGTGGCCCACATACTGGGGTGGCCCGCTTACTGGTGAAACACGTTATATATATATATATATATACATTCTTTTTCTAGCGGTGATACCTAAATTTCAATTCGTGTGAAAAGAATCAAGTCTTTAATAGTGAGACTGAGGCTGGTACGACTCGTATGTATGTGTGGTAGAGTAGAGTCTATAGCATCACTTGGGACTTGGTGCGAGAGTTAGTATGGCATACCTTTATCCAAGTAAACAAGCATCAAGTAGGGAACAATCTGACTGTTCTCAGTCTATCCACATACACACACACAACAAACAGAGGGGAGGGGGAATCTGTCATGATGAACCTAACCTAACCTAACCAAATCAACCATACCACACCATACCAAACCAAACCCAAGCAATCTCCCCACCTTGCATAACACATGGAAAAAATATGTAATCTATATCGGCATTCCTATCTTTCGTGCCATCATAATCAAGGGTACATCAGTGCCCGCTTTTTCTTTCCTTCATTTTTTTGTTGCCATCCATTCATATTGTCATCTCTGATCAAACACAATTCATGTTACATGACACATTGTCCTTCGTCTCGATGAGGCCGTCTAGTCAAAACTGACCACTGTCAAAGGCCGTTTAGCTAAGGTAGGCCTGGGCTGTGCGCTGTTGGTCTGGAGTCAGGGATGCAGCGGCTTGACTCAGGTCGGTGCTGGTGGCTTGGATAAGCGCCTTGACAGAAGCAACTATGCGGTTGGCAGTCTGTCCTTGCAGGGTCTCGGCCTCGAGGGCTTGGACGACATAGTTGAAGATCTTGGCAGGCTGAGAAAAGACGGCTTGGTTTTGCCTAGTGTTTGTTAGTATGAATTTGCTGAACAGCCACATTCGGTATACTTACTGTTCGATCAATTGTACCAAGAAAGCATATGCGTATGGTGCAGCCTCCTCGTCGTTTGTGATTGGCAGCGTGTCTATCCAGGCAACAGCAACATTGTTCCAGTTCTGCACCTTGCTTGCGTTGTAATGCAGAATCTTGGCAATCGCAGCCGATGCATTCTCTGTCGCAAAAATGTCATCGTCAGTACGAGCGTTTGGCCGCTGGATGACATTGAAGAGAGTAGGCAGCGAGGCAGCAACAAACTCTGACCAGTTCTCGCCACCCTTGTGGGCTGCGACACCCACGCCATATACCGCTGCTTGACGGTTGGCAGGCACGTCGTCCTGCATTCCATCGATGAGTGGCTGCATGATTTGGTCTTTGTACTGCCACGACTCTGGGCCACAGAACTCCAGGACGTCGTCGTAGATGCAAATGGCCCACTGGCGTTGGGTAGGATCTTGGTTGACAGCTGCCATCCTGTAGTAATCAACCAAAACAGCCCAGTGCGGGAGGAAGGCGGTGCCCATGGTCTTGAAGATGCTGTGGAACGCCTTGTTCATGTCGGAAAGCAGGTTCTGGTCGTCCTCGATGGCGAACAGAATCTCTTCGGATGCCTCCTCGCCGTCTTCGTTCTCAGCCTGCTCTTCCAGACGCTCCTTGACGCGCACGTTGTAGTCTTCAAGCACGCTCCTAGCGGACTCGATGAAAGTGGTCATGTGCGCATCAGTCAGGCAGTTTCGGCCAATGCATTCAAGGCATTCGTAGAAACACTGGTACATCTCCGCAAGGGTGTCAATAGCAGGCTCAGTGCTCAAGACCTCGAGCACACGCTCCACAGTGCGCTTCCAGAGGTCTCCCAGCTGCGCAGACTCTGGACCGTGGGCTTTCTTGTATGCATTCAGCAAAGTCGGAACACACTTGGCCGACGCGACTCGCACAGGGTCGTGGAAGAAAAAGGCCAGGCCAGGGAGGGCAATCTTCTCCATGATGTCATTAACATATGGCTCGAAAGCATCCTCCAGAACCTGAGCATAAATGACAATAAGCTCAATAGCCATGTGCTTGTCGTCAAGAATACTAGTCTTGATGCCAATGACCTTGCCCTTGAGTGGCACGAGTTCCCAGCCTTCCTCGTCCTGAATCTGAGCGACCTGGTCTTCGTCGTCGAGCAGCTGGATGTCCGCCTTGGCCCCGGCAAGCTCAGTGAGTGGTGGGATAACGCCAGCGAGGAAAGGGACGAATTCACGGCCAAGCACACGGCACATGCGGCCCCAGCAGTGGAGCAGGTACGAGGCTTGTGGATCGTCAGGCTCCGACACGCTGTTTTGGATACGTCCCAGGAGCTGGACGAGGTTGAGCGCGTCCTGGCCCATGCGGTCCTTGCCAACAGCAAGAGCAATGAGAGTTGCACATTCCATAGCCTTTGCTCGCAGCAGCCGGTACTCTTTTGACTGCTCCTCTTGTAGCACGTTGAACAGCAGCGGCATCAGAGTGTCGTAGTACTTGGAGAAGGCAGCTTCAGCCGAATCAGCGACAGTCGCAATGGTAGACAGAGCCTGCTCCTGGACAAAGCGCTTGGGGCTTTGCAAAAGCATCAACAGATGGTTGAGGAGCTGGTCCAGATATGGTTCAAGAATGTTCTTCTCAGCCTCCTCGCAAAAGTTGACTAGAGCAGCTGCTGCGTGTGCCTGAACGCGGGGCTCTGCAGACTCCAGGACGGGAATGATGTTCGGCAAAACGACCTGGTGGTACTTTTCTTGCATGGTTCCCGCAAAATCAGTCGACATCTGGCCAACAGCGTTACAGGCAGCCCATCGGACACGGGGATGGGGATCCCGAAGCGCAGGGAGTACGAGATCCAGAACCTTGTCGAGTTCTCCAACCATCAGCTCGCGGCATCCCTCGGAAATGGCCGAGATGGCCATGAGAGCGGCATGTCTGTCGCGCCAAGCCGACGAAGTCATCATGCGGGGGAGCCAGTTAAAGGTCGGCGGCAAGATGGCCTGTCCACCCAGCTTGTTTGCCAAGCGATCCATGCATTGTTCACCGGCAACGTGGTTTGAATCGCTCTCTTCGTCCAACTTGTGCATGTTAGCAGTGCACAAATTTCCAGGCTGGTTGACTCACGTCTTCGGAAACGTTCCACTCTTCGGCGTCGTCGTCATCAGCACCAACGTCAGTCATCAGAGACAGACATTGCGTGACCATGTCGTTTGTGAAATTAGCGTCCTTTTTGCACATGACTGGAGCATTGTCGGCGAACGTGGCCATGAGCTCCAGCGCATTTTGACGAGCTGTTTCTCCGAGATCCTTGTCCTGAATCACCGAGATGCTGAATTGAACCAGGCTGTTGAACAGGGGCTTGAACATCTTTGGCGCGACCTCGGCGAGGTCGATGAGCGAGATGAGGGCCTTGGTAAGCAGCTCGGCATCGCCAGAGTCTTTGATGGGCGGCAGAATGTTGAGAATCTCGCCAATGAGCGAGTAGTACTTGGACTGAGCCTTCTTGGTGATGGAGCGGAAAAAGGACGCAAAGGCCTCAACAGAAGCAATCCGGACCTGTGCATGTCAGTCGGTGTGCGCGCGGTGCATGCGCAAGCACTCACAGAAGACTCGCTGTCGGCAAACCCGCCCTTGAAGGCGGTCATGACCACATCTTCATGCTGCTTCTCGATAATCTGCGGGGTTGTTGAGAATATCCTGAACGCATTCTCGCGCTGTGCGGGGTCCTGCGACTGGCTTGCCTGGAACAGGGCGCCCAGAAGCTCCGGCCATGCGACGCCTAGAAGAATTTAGACTTGAACCCGCAGTGTTCAGCAGCAGCAGCAGCTCCTCGTACCTTCGTCCGTGTGCTGGCGGGCGAGCTCTGCAACGGCATCTCCAATCTTTGTGCGGACCGAAGTGTCGGTCTCGTTGGCCAGGCATTGCAGCAGCTTGGCGCGTATGGCTTCTCGCTCAGCGGGATTGAGCGTCAGGAACAGGTCGGCGGTCTGACCGGAAGGCGCCTTGCGAGGCTTGGACGACTGGCGCCTGAAGATGACGGCGGCAAAGGTTCGCGTCTGCGTGCTGCCGGTAAGCGGCAGAGCCAGGCGGCGGGCGAGAGGGGGGAGGTCTTACTGAGGTATCCTGGGCCAGTTCAATCTGCTCGGAAAGGCCCATCAAGAGCACTTCGGGCCTCTGGGCGACCCATTCGTCGTTCAGCTGCTGCTCGGCTGCCGTGCGCTGGACATTATCAGGCGACTGGAGGCCCTGCAGCAGCGTGGCCAGCGCCGTGTGAACCTCTGCGGGTAGTACAGACATGATGCGAGTCTAGGGGGACTTGTCTCGTTGGGCAGCGGCCCGGTGCGTTCTGGTGTTGTTCGCAGGCAAGGGCCTACCAAGACGAGAGAGCGGTGCTGGGTTGGCCGGGAATGCTTGCGGAGCGCGCGTGACGTGTGTGCTTGGATCGCGCCCCTGCTGCCGTCGGTGTGTGCGAGGCGGCCGTGGGCAAAGCTGCAGCAAGACGGTAGGCGGCAGAGTTTGGGGGGGAATGCTCGGTGTGGCTTCAGGGTTGCCGTGGAAATTTCACTGAATGTTTTGGCGGGGCTGCTCGCGAGTCCGCGCCTTGTCCAAAAATGTTCTCCAACCACGGGCAAGGATGCGTGTAAAAGCACATGCCGCCCCCGCATTGTCATTGGCTGGCGGCATCGTCTCTACACGCTGGCTACCCACTGTGGCACTGCCTTCACCCAGCCCAATGCTGCCCTCTGCGTACCTGGTCACATGTTGTTATTGCTGTCGTCGTCGTTGTCTCTCATCTTTGGGCAGACCTTGTATAATATCGATTAGACTACCCAAGTGGCTACGAAATACCCAGGAATCTATGGGATATCAAATTCTAACAAGGAAAAGAATAAACTCGCTGATGACTCAACCGCTGCCTATCCCAATAGTACTACCGACGGATTTACCGGTTCGAGGCGCGGCCAAGCACAAAGACACCGACAATGACGACGGCCAGCACACCGATGGCGCCGGGGAGGAGAAGGTCGTTCGGAACCCCGGCAATGATCTCGGGCTGCTGCGACACGGGAGCCGGCTGGTGGCGGCCTCTTGATCTAGGCGTGTCCTCGACGTCGTCATCGAAGAACTGCTTGCGCTCGCGGAGCGTGGATTCAGGAGGCGTGGGAGGTTTTGAGAGCGCTGGCTGAGGATTGACCTCGGCAGACATAGGCGCCTTGTCCGGGTGGTGGACAAAGAGATCGACCTTTTCGCGGTGTGCCATGCGTGATAGGCTGACAGCCTCTACGAGATCGTCGTTGGTCGTGATGGAGATGGTATCGCCTTCGTTGTCCAGGTAGCTCAGGGCAAAGCCGGCCCTCGAGAGCTTGCCTCCCTCGAAGCTGGGGATACCTCCCAGGGTTTCGACCTCGCTACCCAGCTTGTTGGCTACGTTGGTGATGAGCTCCTCGATGCCAGCGGAAATAACCACCTGCAGGCGGTGCACACGCCCGCTCGGAGCCTTGAACTTGAAGGGGAACGGCATGTCTTCAATGTGCGTTGGCGGGATGCTGGCGACGTGAGACGGAGGCGGTGAGTCTTCCCCATGGTGGGATGCAGACTCGTTTGGCATTACGCTGTCACCACGATCCATGAGGCCAGGGCGGTCGTGGTGCGAGACGTACGAGCGGTGGTCAGGGTGACGGCTGCCTCCCTCGCCCGACATCATCGACTCGGTCTCGTTGTCGAGCGACAGCCAGAACTTGTTCCATGCCGGGCCCTCACTGTCCGTGGTGCTGATGTTGTTGATCTGGCGGCAGTCAGTATCAAGGCCATGACCAGCACAAGCACCTTGCCTACCTGATCAAGTGTGGCATAAGTCAATTTGAGAACGTCCACCATGCCGACAATTTCGCCAGCATCGCTCATGACAGGTAAGTTGAGGTAGTGGCCATCTGCAGGGTATTAGTGGATACTCTAGACAGGGATAATACGTGGTCCACTTACCATGCATCTTGCGGAGCGCAGACTGGATGCTCATGTCCACCGGCGCAAAGTCGGGGTGAGGGGTCATCACCCGCACAACACTGCAAGTCATTGGGTCCAGCCCCGCGGCAATAACACGGAGGACGACATCTTTGCTAGTGAAAATACCAGTAATAGAGCCGTTGTCTTGCACCAGGACCGCAGTCGTGTGGTTTTCCTTCATGAGTGCCGCCGCTTCCTTGACTGAAGTGCGAACCGACACAGTCGTGGGAGGAAGACCTGTCAGGACCGATTCGAGCGTAGGCCCAGACATCTTTTGGCGGATCGCCTCGACATACTGGATAATCTGCTGCGGCTGGCTGGAGCCCATCTCGGCCTGCACGCCCTCGAGAGCGTCGTACAGCTTGCGGGACGAGGCGTACGCCCGCTCCAATTTTTCCATGGCATCGTAGAAGCACTTAGTAATGTCCAGGATACCAGAGATGTCGTGGTTCTCGTCCATGACTGGGAGATGACGGAACCCTTTCCTGACCATGAGATCCAACGCATCCGTCGCACTTGTGTCCGTCTTTGCGCACAGAGGGTTCTTGGTCATAATCTCCTCAATGGTGACGTCGCGAGCCTTGATGCCATTGCCGACCACACGGAAAGCGAGATCCTTGGCCGTGAAGATGCCCGCGATACGGTCGTCCTCGTCTGTAACCAGGACGCAGTCCTCGCGCTTGGCCGCCATCAGCTGGGCCGCCTCGGCGACCGTCGTCGAGGGCTTTATTTGCAGCGCGGGAGACGGCTTCAGGGCGAGGACGGTGCCGGGCGGGGCCTTTTTCGAGGGGCGAACTCGGCCGCTGATAGTCTTCTTCTTATTGAGGTCCGACTCGATTTTCCGACGAATGGCCTGGCGCAAGATCAGTACGCAGTCGCACGCATGCGGCAGGGTCGCTCACGTCGTCTCTCTTGGACATCTTGGCCCTGCTGGCGCTGAGCGACGAGCCGCCCGCATCGCTCTGGGTGACATGGGAGTGGTGCTCCAAACCAGAGGGGCGCGGGATGGCAGACGGGCTGTGGCCGAGATGCTGGGGCTGGTTGCGGTTCGAAGATTTGGGCGTCCCCCGCATTGCACCGGTATGGGACATGGCAATGTCCTGTGCTTTTGGGGCTGCGAGGTAGGTTTTGCCTGGTTGGCGGAAGAGGGGCCAGTAAGAAGGATTCCGACGGCCTTTACGGAGGTCGACGTGGTTGCGCCAGGGTACGGGTGCTAGACGAAAACAATCGCGAGGGAGGAAGCGCCCAGACCAGACCGCTACTCACACTCACGACATTTGCCAGTTTCCGCGCCACCTGACGTGGTCACAGTCGGGCCCCGTGCAGGCACAGCAATCGCCACAAGGGAAGCGAGATTGCATTGCTCGACGACACGCGCGAAGAACCGCCATCGCCTTGATGCGGGAGGGTGAGACTCGCTGCGCGGCGGAGTGGCGCCCGCCCCTTTGCAGACTACTGCTGTAGTTTGGAGAGGCAAAAACCTTGCAGTGACTCATCTTGGCCGTGGGCCGCCATGGCGCTCCAACTCCCATCTTTGCGACGACACACCGGGCCCTCGCCAGCCATGGCCTTCTTGACCTGGCCCCCCTTCCCCTTTGAACTTTGTTTGCATGTATGGGGATCACCCTGGGCCTGCAGATGGCCAGCCTCAGCCTCAGCCTCAGCCTCAGAGCCCCCCTATATGCGCAGCATCGCCCACTAGTGGTTGCATAGCGTTCGTACACTGCACAGGCACAGGCGAGGAGCATTACCACGGTCACATGTCAGCCAGCCAACGCCCCGGCACCACCACCACCACCACGGCGTTCAAAACAGGATAGGGCAAGACGGCCGCATTGCATTGCGCATTCGCCAAAACTAGAGCAGTGGAAAAATCATCTCCCCCACCATCTGCATGGATTCGGCAATGCGCAGAACGCATGCCAGCACCAGCGCCAGCATGGCGGCGGCGTCACGCGGCTACTAGCGCCATCAGCTAGCGCCAAGCGATTAGATTAGATCCGCACCTCGCTACGCGAATTTCGACACTCGTGCCCTCCGACTTCACGAATCCGACGTCAGGAACGACTTTCACGACAACACCCCACTGCTGACTTTTAGATTTCACATCTTCAGTACGCACCCCGCACCTCGCCCAGCAAGACTTCCGCTTACATTGCCCGACAGAATCAGCCCAACATGGTCAAGAAGCGAGCGTCCAACGGCCGTAACAAGAAGGGTCGCGGCCACGTCAAGCCCATCCGCTGCTCCAACTGCTCGCGATGCACGCCCAAGGACAAGGCGATCAAGAGATTCACCATCCGCAACATGGTCGAGTCTGCTGCCATCCGTACGTCTCTCCACCGACTCGCAGCCCCATGGCCCATGGCCTGCACAGCGAGGTGGCGAGCCGCGCAATTGACGTCTCAAATATTAACAGACAATGCTAGGTGATATCTCGGATGCCTCCGTCTTCCCCGAGTACACGGTCCCCAAGATGTACCTGAAGCTCCAGTACTGCGTCTCATGCGCTATCCACGGCAAGATCGTCCGGTACGTGACGCCCGCACAGGAATTTGGTGCGCCTGTGTGCTAACATGCCCGCAGTGTCCGTTCGCGCGAAGGCCGCCGCAACCGTGCCCCTCCCCCACGTGTCAGGTACAACAAGGACGGAAAGAAGATCAACCCCAACCAGGCTGCTGCTAAGACGACTACTGCTTAGGCGGCGCGCGGGTATGGAAAGGAAATGATCACGGCGCTTGGTGTGGGTCTCTTATGGTTCTTTCGGAGTGTCATACTGGAAAATGCATGAATCCACGGAAGATAGGGCAGGCCAAATGACGAATCATGGTTGGGGCTCGCTCGGAATTGCCTGCTTTGAGCACCGAGAGCTAGCTATGAACTTGTAAACGAATATCCAAGTCGACCTGCACCATTTTGGCGCCTGCTTCGGGTGATGTACACATGTGTTGAACGGGTCAGGGGTGGTCATGACGTTTGAGCACTGTCCCCTGACACTGCCTTCGTTCAGACCCACCCTAATCAAACAAAGGGCACTGTGGCCTTCTGCAATGCGCACCGAAGAAGCTGGCGTGAAGCATGTGCCATGAATAGCTGGCTAGACGATGGATATGAACGAGTGCACTGCCGAGTGCTACTTTTTTTTGCCCCCCACACTCCCGTCGAGTAGATATCACACGTATCGTGTCACCGCTCGCATCAGTCGTTTCGTTTCTTTCCGTCGCCGGCGTCCACACTCTTCCTTCCATTCGCCGGTTCAGGCTCCGTCGTTTCCCAGTCTTCGGCATTCTCGTCCCAGCGATCGAGTTCCTCTTCCACCGTAGGCCGTACTATACCCGACTCCTGGCCTTGGACACTCTCTCCCAATTCAATGTCTCGCTCTTCGTCTCCGGCAACGGCAGTGTATCCGCGTGCGGCTCGTTTGCGCTCGAGCATGCGCTTGTGGTACCAGTTGCATAGGCCAAGGGCGAGCAGTGAGCCGAGGACGTTGGCTACGATGTCATAGTAGTCGAAGTCGCGCTGGATCTGGAATGCGCCGTTAGCTTTCGGTCGTATGCTGCTACGTGTCCTTTTCCACGGTCTGACATGCCCAATCGCACCTGCTCGGGCATGCTTGTATGAATATGAGAGGGACCTACAGGCAACAAGCCCTGTACAACCTCGCTCGCCAGACCCAGACCGAGCGTGCAGACGGTCAAGGTCAGTTGCACAACCTTCCTCCTGTTGGTTTCGAGGACCCAGTAAAAGCACAGCGTAAGCAGGAAGAAGGCGATAAAGTGGAGCGCCTTGTCCGACTGTTTGTATGAGGGAATTTTGTAGTCGGACGGGGAGAAGCCTGCGGCGGCGCTGATGAAGATGAGGCCAATGAAGGCAGCTGTGCCAATGTTAGCGTGCTACGGCATAGCGGTCGAGGACGACGTTAAGCGGGAAGCATGAGCAGTGAGACCATCAAAGCGTCGCCACGTACTGCTCGCGCATAGACGCTGCTCCCAGCACGCCGTGAGGATTGGCGGCTCTGTGACGTAAGAAGCGACGTACCGGCAAAGGGTTTCCGTATGCGCATGGTGGGCGGTTGAAACGGGTTAGGGGTGTCGGAGGTCGAGATTCATGCTCGAGGCATGCGAGGTGCTGTCAGACTGGACTGGGAAGCGGCGCGGAACTGCAGCGTTCCTGCCACGAGCTGGCATCTGGCGGCACTGGGCTGCGACGGCTGCGCTAGGCCGCACCGGGCAATCCCGCCGCCGATCACGTGTGGAACCTGTGAAAATCAGCAAACCCGGGGTACTTTGTGCTGGCACTGGTCTGATTTCGAGTCTGCGGGCATGGGTGCGAGGCGCATGCGAGCGACGGCCTCTGCCACTGCTGCTGCGGCGCCGCTGGCTCAGGGCCTGCCGCGCCCAAGTGCACTCGCCTGCCTTGCGCCATTGCGCCGCTCCGGTCCAGGCGCCGCGTCCATCTTGCGTTGCGGCATGGCGTCCACGAGAGCCAGCAGGCGCAGACAGAAGCGGCAGCTGGGAGTCGTGGTGATGGAGACGTGGTAGACAACAACTTGTCATCACGCGCGGTGCATGCCGCCGCCGCCCAGCCCGCTCCGCCGCCCTCGTTCGACTGCGGAAAGCGAGTCGAGCAGCAGAAGAGGGCCGCCTCATGCTCGCAAGCACCCTCGGTCCCCCAGGAGCGGCGTCGTGGCGCCGCTGCAGCGCCCGAGGCAGTTTGATATTGGGGAGCGGGCGAGGCATGGGGCTCGCGGCGGGAGTGTCGCTAACGGAGCTAAGGCCTGCCTACCTAGCCAGACTGGACAGTTGGACCACCTGCTTAAGACAACGACGCCAAACTCTCGAGCCGCACCTTTGGCCATCAATAGGCGCGCCCCCACGACGTCTTCCATCTCGCAGCCATCGGAAATTCGCTCGCTCGACGTAGACCTTCCTTCCATGCTTGATTTTATCGCGTCGCGACACCTGCACCAGGTTGGACGTCGCCCTGAAGGCGGGCCATCCCCGTGAGGCCGCGAACTGCCAAGACCCCCCCACAACCGACGACGACGACTATGTCCCTCGCTGCATCATCAGCATATCCGCCATCCTCGCGAGAACGCCCAAGCCATGCCCGCTTCCCGCATCAGCCGCCCAGCGCGACCCGTTTGCGCACCCCCAATACGACGCTGAACGATGAGGCCATGTCCAGCGCCTCCAACGCGAACCACCTAGGGGACGGGGGAGACATCACCACAGAGGAGGACCCCCGAGCGACGCGCTGGCGGGAGCAGTACCTGCGCACCGAAGCGCGTCTGTCGGCAGTGCTAGGAGGCACGTACGAGGGCGATGCTCTTGATGCCCTGGATAGTGCGCCGGGGCCGTCATCCGATGATATTCCGATGGCGCATGACGCGCGCCCGGCCATCACGCCCAAAAAGCCTGCCCGCGCAATTGACGAAGACGACTACGGCGACGACGACGACGACGAGGAAGACGAAGACGACACCCGCACCTCGCCGCTGCATTCGAAAAGCGCCATCAATGGTACTGCTGCCGCCGCCGCCACCGCGGCGCCTCCCAGCACGCCAAGCCTCCTCCGCGTTCCATCAACATCGAACAAGTCAGGGCACGACCGCACAGGCACACCTTCCTCGGACCATACAAAGTCATCAGACGATGTGCGGAAGAAGCTGCAGCAGGATAAGAAGGCGGCCGAGGATGCCGCCAAGCGGAGCTTCCACACCCTTTTCTACTCCCTCGAGAGTGATCGGGATGCCATGCTGGAGCAGCAGAAGCTCGACGAACTCGACCGCCAGGTAGAAGCAGAGACTTCCGGCGCGTCTGCCAATGCTCCAGCTGCCGCCGCCGCTGCTGCCCCCCAGCAGGGCACCTTGAGCACCACCAACCTTGGCGCGTCCAGCCTCACACTAAAACACCTCATCTCGCGCATTGATGCCCAAAGAGACCGGGTGCATGCGACAGACGCGCAGCTGCGAAGCCTCATCAGCGAAGTCCGCAAGAATAGGAGCAAGTGGGCAAACGAGGACCGTGTTGGCCAGGAGGAGCTATACGAGAGCACAGAGAAGGTTCTCATGGAGCTAAAGGCTAACGAGCACGCCCACCCATTCCTCCAACGCGTCAACAAGCGAGAAGCCCCCGACTACTACAACGTCATCAAGCACCCCATGGACATTGGCACAATGATGAAGAAGCTCAAGCAGCTACAATACAAATCAAAGAAGGAGTTCGTCGATGATCTCATGCTCATCTGGTCGAATTGCTTAAAGTACAATGCTGACCCAAGCCACTTTTTGCGGAAGAAGGCTCTGCACATGAAAAAGGAGACAGAGAAACTTGTCCCACTCATCCCCGACATTACTGTTCGCGATCGTGCAGAGGTCGAGGCAGAAGAACGGAGAATGCGTAACGGCGACGCCGATGCTGACGGTGCCGACGACAGCGAAGATGAGGAGCCCATTATGGCTTCGCGAGGCAGGAAAGCCCCAAGCAAAGGAGGTAAAGGCTCGAGCACAACCAGAAAAGGTCGTCCAGCAGGTCTGGAAGACACACCGGGGCCCGAAACCAAACCACCAGTCCCGTCATTGAACAACGCCGTCTCCAATCTCAAGAATGAATTCCTACGGGCAGATTCAGAGATGGAAGGCAGCGTCAACGGATTTTCAACGCCCCCGCCTGGCATATCAACGCCATTGGGACCAAACAGCGTCTCGAAAAATGGCGTGAACGGCAGCCAAGCAGACATATCAGAGGCTGATGGCACTGGTGTCTCAGTCAGTGATGCTTTGGACGAGGATGCCGACTTGGATGATTTGGAATACAAAACATGGAAACAGGTCACGAAGAAAGACCGAGCCATCATTGCATCAGAAAGGCATCGGTTATTCCGCGATGATCACCTCCAGCCCGACGAGCCGGCCATCCTGCGGACAAAAGCCGGAATGCGGAGGTGGTTACGACACAAGAAGCAGGCTATCGAAGAAGAGTCTGCGAACGGAGCTGCCAATGCACCAGACGGCAAAGATGGCGTCCAGACAATCGCTGGAGAGTCACTCGCCGAGGGCATCGAAGACGAAGAAGAGCGTCTGGTGCCCGACTACTATGACCCCGTATGCGCTGTGCCTGACCTCTCTGAGCGCCTACAATGGGTTGAAGACGCCGAGGGCCAAGTTATCCCTCAAGTCGAAGAGTACATGCGCATCCTGCCAAAAGGACAGTTTATCTCGCCAGATAGTGCGCTGGTGCACAAATTCAATGCTAACAACCACACACTACAAGAGACAAGGAAGATTTGTGCAAAGATTGGGATTGTCAAACAAATGCAGCTTCAGTCGCAAGTAAGTCCTTCTCTGTCGATAATCAAAGGAATGTTGATCACTGACTGTTCGTAGCTGTATCAGAACCAATTCCAAAGATACGAGCCACAGCCGTTTATGGAGGCAGATGTAGAGCCCATGGTCACATCTGAAGATGGCCCAATCATGGCTCCTTATGTCTGCCGTGCTGCTCTTCAACGAAGCGTTGGCAAGATTTTCTACCACGCTGGCTTCGAGGAGTTCCAACCCTCAGCTCTGGATGCTGTCACAGACATCGCTGCCAAGTTTTTCCATAATGTGGTTGCTGGCCTTGAGGTGTACCGTGAGACGCCAAAGATGAAATCCGACGTCCCAATCACGCTTCCCAACGGTCAAACTACTACCTGGACGCCGCGCTTCACACAGGAAGAGGCTGTGCTCCACTCTCTGCATGCCAACGGTGTGGACTTGGAGTCCCTGGAAACATACGTCAAAGACGACGTTGAAAGACTTGGATCGAAGCTTACTGGCATGCACGATAGAATGCGGTCATACTATGCCGAACTCTTGCGCCCAGCAATCGACAATGCTGGCGCTGACGGTGCCGGTGCTTTCAATGACGGCAGCGAACAGTTTGTGGGAGGCGACTTTGCCGAAGACATTGGCGAAGACTTCTTTGGATTCAAGGAACTTGGTCTTGACATTGAATTTGGACTTACTGCCAGTGTACCGTTGCACCTGCTACAGAACAGGGTCCATAACGCTTATGCTAGACAAGATAACAGGCATGTACTACTGTGGATTTGGGCGATATTCCTGCTAACCTTCACAGCAACGTTGCCACCACGGGTGTTATCATGCCTGAGCCGCCCAAGTTCGAACCCGTCACTATTCAGGTGGCTGAGAGCCAAATTGGTCTTCTTCAAGGCTGGCTGCTTGACAAGTTGCACGACAACAACAGCCAGCCTCTTGTGGAAGACGATGATCTTCCACCGAAACAACGCTTCCCCAAGCCTCGTCTGCCGCCTACTGGCAAGATTTCAAGTCCTCGCAAGCGCCCGCTCAGAGAGCAACAACAGATGGCGCGTAAGAAGCGCAAGCTAGACGAAGAAAAGGACGAAAACGGCAATGATCAAAGCGGTTTCATGAAAGGCATCGGCAAACCAATTGGCAAACTAAAACTTGAACCAGTACAGAAGGAAAATCACACCGTGCAAGAACCAGAAAAGGAGGATGGCAGTGCGCATGGAATGCCGAGTCCACCAGAATCATTCTAGGTGGACCATCTACTGTTTCCGTTGGCTTAATATAACGCCCAGTTTACTCCGACCAGTCGCCTCCCATATCTATCACGTTGCAACGTCGGCTGTGAACCATCAGAGTTTGCCGTTTTTCTTTATACAACGAGTATTTAATACTTTGGCAAAGCGCTGTTCTTGCCGTTTTCCGATAACAAACTTGTAGTTCGTCATGGGTTATGCCATTATTTCTGGAGATCATATTGGTCTAGGCGTTTGTTATCTTTTTTTACTTTTTTTCACAGCTGACCTTTTGTGTGGTCCAGCGGTTTTGTCTTACTAGACTGGGAGAACGGTGGGACTTGTGTCTGTATACCCATGCTTACATTTTGCACTGAGGTTTTTTTTGCGTATAGCTATCTTGAATACCTCGAAATGTGTCACCATAACGCAATTAACCCACTTTCTCAAAACTAGAGAATTTATCAGTGCAGTGCGGTGCCGCGATTCACTCTTTCGCCTCTTCAAATTGGGTAGCGTTTGGATGTTCTGCTCTTGGATGTCTTTGCAGTGATGGTATATATCGATACCGATTGTTGTGGTGATGATTGCGATGACAAAGAGAAAAGAGGATGGCTGCGCTTGCCAATGGAGAAGAGTGGCTGTGCGAGGGCATAGGTAAAGTTTGACAGCGGCCGTAGAAACGAAAGCCAAGTAAAGTTCGTTTTAGAAATGAAAAAGGGCTGAAGACTCGTAAGCATGAGACGACAAAAGGACGAGAGAGGTGCGTGATATGATAATAGGCAACGGAATGAAACGTGGTGTCTGCCTCCCTGTCGATAAAGTCCCGATTATCCTTTCCGCACGATGCAGCTCAAGTGCAGCTTCGGGGATGCCCTCGAAAAGGCACGTGTTTTCGGAACACGATAGCAGGGCGTCGGGGTTCGCAGTGTCTCATACTGATGAGTGGATCCGGAGGCGACAGCATGCCTAGATTCGATAGGTGGCCGAGCTGAAATTGGAGGTTGTTATTAGCGCATTGCCTTTTCCCTTGTACGCGAACCCTTCTCTCCGTTTCAATTCCACTCCTCTTCCACGTTGGCAGGGCCTCTGCGATTTACAACCACCTAAATTTCCATTGACGTCATTTTGCTTCTCTTGGGTAGGTAATCCTGTCGCTTCTCCTCTTGCGCCCAGCGGCGTTGTTGGTTTTGAGCTAACGTGCCACGAGACGTGGATCATCTCGGATGGACTTGGACCTTGTCTTCTGTCTCTTCACGACACCGACTTTCCACGCCACATTTATCAATTGCGCGCGCCGGTTTGCGCGCGCTCATTTCATACTTTGAACCGGTCACCTTCTCGACTGCGCATTTTTTGGTCAGCGCCATTCTTTCGCGTCAACTTTCCTTTGTCCCTTTTATGCCGCCATCACCGCCGCTCACCCTCTGCTATCTCTGAGACTTTTTTTTTCCGGCCATCATGGCGCCCAACGGCCATACGGCATCTGGCAAGAGAGGCGCTCGCAAGTCTCGCGATACTGAGCCCTGTTCGTGGCTAGACAAACATGGCCCCGATGAATATGAAGCTTGGAAAGAAGCAAATCCCGAGACTCGCCTTCCGTACGATGATTGGAAGCAGTCGAATCAGCATGTCAGCGGGCTCTCTCTGTATTACACAACACTGCGCATCTTCGATGAGTCTGATTCAAGTGTGGGTCTAGAGTCATTCATGGGTCCAAAATCCCGTGTTTGCTAACAACACCAGGATGAAGATGTCCGTCCAGTCAAGGCCGCCAAACCTCCCCCCACCAAAACACGGGGGCAGATTGGCCGCCCGAAGAAGTCAGCGGTGAACGGCCATGGAACACCACGTTCAGATGGGACCGCGACACCGTCTAAACCCGCCAGCTTGGAAGAGTCGAGCCCGTCAGCTAAGAAAAAGCGAAAGGCGCGTAAGAAGCCACTTGTCAGTATTTTCCGCCCACAAATCGCAACTCAGCTAATTCTTCTAGTCTGAAGAGATTATCGCATCAGCGAGCGATAGCGATGATGCTGCCAAGGACCCAGAGGCTTCAACCCCAGGAGCTGATGCTGCGACACCTACCGCGCCTACCATCATTCTCAACGGTAGACGCAAGACTTCAACCCGCAAGGCGAGGAAGAAGCCCATTGTAAGTGTCTCTATGCACCTCATGGTCATTGGCTAATGCACAGGCAGTCCGAAGAGACCATATCACCCGAGGATGAACTTGAGGATCCTATGGATGTTACAATAGATGAGGTCGCCAGGTCTGCAATCGCATCTCCATTGCCTGTTCGCTCTGGTACGTGATGCACAAAAAAGCGTGTAAAGCTCCTTACCCCACATCATAGTGCCATTCTCGACTCTTCTACATCGGAACCTCTCACGCCGACCCTGTCTGGGCCATGGAACCTTGTGCCCGTTTTTATTGATTTTGGTTTTCATGGGATAGCAGCTAAGCAGTCAACAGCTCCGAAGTCTCCGGCCGCAGCACCTCCTTCAGATCCGCCCAGGAAGAGCCACATACTTAAATTGAGTACGAGAAAAACGCCGAAGAAAAAGGAAACTGTAGGCATCCGCACCAGTACCGCCTTGCACCTGCTAACACCTTCAAGTCCGAGGAGAACTTTTCTGAAGACGTTAGCGCGGCTTACGCTTCTGCTCAAGCCACCCCCAACACAGTCGCCAAGGGAACCCAGCCGAGAATCACACTTAATACTAACCCCACTCCAAAGTCAAATGGCGAAACCGACTCGGCCGCTGCTTCGCCTGCTTCAACAAGCGCGCCGAGCTCGACACGACGTGGCTTACGCACTCGAAAGCCTGCTCAACAGAGACCCTATTACCATGATTCACAGCTTTTTGAAGACGTGGAGACTCGGAACGGGGATGCACATGACCATGACAACATGTCGTCCCCGGTTAACCAGAGCAGAAGGGTATCTGTCGCCTCGATTAGCAGAAACATTGATGATGCGCTGCTAGCCTCGTTAGACGAAGAAGCAATGGCTTTGCTGCAAGAAGAACCTGAATCCGAACCCACGAAACCCAAACACTTCAAGGGCAAAGGCCGTGCTTGGAAGAAGGAGGGCTCGGATGAAGACGAGGAATTTTTGCTTGCGGCGAAGAAGAAGGCAGCTAAAGCAGCAAAGATGAAAGCAAGGGGCCAGGTACCCAAGAAGCGAGGTCGACCGAAGAAAAGCGGCCGTTCCGAAGAACTTGTTGGCGAGGAGAGTGATGAGGACAAGGAGAATGTAAAGCGGAGGCGATCTATGCTGCGCAAGAGTGCACTCTCCGAGGAAATCGTTCAGGATAGTTCTGATGGCGGAGAGGAAGAAAACGAGGAAGTGAACGAGAAGGAAGTGAACAGTGTGAACGACGAGAAGGAAGATAGGGACGTAATGGAGGTTGAGGAACGTGAGAATGTGGACAATAAAGAAGAAGAGGAGAAGGAGAAGGAAGAGGAAGAGGAAGAGGCTGTAGTGCAAGAGAAGCCAGATGAAAAGGAAGAAGATGAGAAGAATGTAGAGGAGGCGAAGACAGAGGAAGAGGGAAAAGTCGAGGTGCCAGAAGCCAAAGCACATGAAGAAGCAATAGTGGAGAAAGAGGAAGAGGAGGTGAGAGTTGGCGGAGATGAGAAGAGCGAGAAGGAGGAGCAGGAGGAGCAAAAAGAGCAAAAAGAGCAGAACGAGAGAGAAGAACAAGTGGAGAAAGTGGAGAATGAGGGAAAAGAAGAAGAGGAGAAAGAAGGGGAACCAGTAGCCCCAGAATGCCTGCCAAACCGATCCTGGACACCTGAAGGCCTGCCCAGCTCTGAGCTAATGGCTGATGGCGTCGCAAATGACGAGCCAGCCTCCAGATCAACCGATGAACAGGACGTACCTAGTCCTTTCAGAAAAACAGCATGAGCTGGATTCTACCGGTCTTTCAAGCGGACACAATATTCAACATAATATTCAACATAAAATCACCTACCACACTGCTAATACGCAGTAGTCAGATGTTTTTTCCTTGGAGGGTCTTGCGTTTGTACACTCGCTCAATCTATTTCCTTTGTCAAACTTTTTGGAGGGGAAGCATGGTAGATGGGAGAGGAGGATGTCACCACTGTATTTTGACCAGGCAATACTGGAGTCTTTTTTTCCTTTTCCTATGTGTTGGGGGAATTGCATATGCGGTAATAACCTTGGGGAAGGATAGCATTGGAAAAGAAAATCATGTACGGATATGGGTGGAAGCTGGTAATAGATCATGTTGTTTGTGGATATTTCTTTCTTTCTCTTGTACTTGTGTGGGATTGGTGGTTTTTCTCGGTGCCGCGTAGCGACAATATGTCTATGTACATGAGACGTGAGAATATGCTTATCTGCGTCTCTAAATATCGTACAAACACATGATTTCTTCTTTTTTTAACCGCATACTTATGAGCTGATTGGGTCCGAAATGTCATCTGAGACCCCTCAGCTTGGCGGCGTAATAGACCAGGCCAAATGCCAGGCCGCCCAGGTGCCCTCCATGCGCGATTCTTGTATCCGAACTGTTCAGGAAATAGCCATCGTACACTGCGTAACCGGCGACGAGCGCCCAAAGCGGCATGGGAACAATGCCCCAAAAAGCCACTCTGGCCTGTGGCGCCAGACAAGCCGCTACACTACTGATGCCCATGACTGCGCCTGAAAAGCCCATACCGCGCGTGTAGTCGCGAGTCCCGGGGCCCTGAACCTGCAGCTGATAGTAGCGATTCACGAGGTACCCGATAGATCCGGAGATGCCTGAGCCCAGGGTGATAGTCCAAAACCGCAGAGGCGTGATTACAGGTGCCGAAGCCAGGAAGCCGCCTAAGAAATACACGGTAAACATGTTTGAAAAGATGTGGCCGATATCAACATGGGTGAACATCGATGTGAGGATGGGGAGGTAGGAGCCGCGTTGGACATCAGACATGTTCAGCGTCATTTTTTGCATGAAGCGAACAAGAGGGAGTTGGTAGCCCTGCTGGGCTTGCGCCTTGAGGTACATTGCATATCCAAAGACGGCAATGTTGGTGCCCATTAGCGTGTAGAGGACTGCCTTGTTGGCTCTTACTTGGGTCTCATAGGATCGATAGCCGCCGGAGCTGGGGGTGGGCTTGATGTAAGAGCGGGAGTGGGGGAGATTGAGGGACCGTGGCGTGGGAGAGGGCGAGAAGAAGTGAGGTGACAGTTTGGTAGTAGACTGAGGTGTCCGGAGCGCGCGGAGGGTCCCTGATAGGCGCAGGAGAGAAGACATGATTGAAATACCAAGTTCCGGGATCCTGGTGGTCTTTCCGATGGCACTGAATTATGCGGCAGACGTGCGGGAGGGTGAAATCCAGACGACAAATCTAAGGAGAGGTCTTTGAGTTTGCGGCTGAGTCAATTCACTCGTGCAGTCACTTTGAGAGTCCTAGGATAATGAATTAGCCTGGTTTTTCTGCGAAACAGCGCCACCTGCGTTTTGCAGTGTCTCAAAGACAACGCAGCTGTGGTGTTCTAGTCCAGATCAGGCGAATGGGCAGGAGACCAGCGAAACGGCCACGACTCTATTGTATGAAGGCGAGACTAACCAGGCAACAAACAGGGGCAGCTCGCAACGAGTGAATTGAAGCCGCAAGTGAAACGGCGTTTTTATCGGCAGAGGGTCAGGCAGCGACGTCAGAAGGGCCCATGACAAGCACGCACGGACCGTGGCCCTCCACCATCTTCAAGTTCCTCCGTGCATAAAGCGGCCCGCCCTGCTACACCACCACCACACAAACCGCCCTCGCCCGCACAAAATTGCACTACCGCCCCTGCGCCCAACCTCCAAAGGCCCACACTGACTCTGACTGCCCTGAGCTCTCTCCGCGCGACCCTGCAACCTGCATCCGCACACCCTCACCCCGACTCCGACCCAAAGGCGAAAACAACGACACTGCGATTCTCTTGCGAGCCTGATTCGGCCTCCTCGACACATCAACCAGCTGCCACCGCCCGACTTCTATCGACCACGAGACCTTGTTTCTCTCTCCCCCAGCCTGCCGAACCCCGCTGCCTTCGGTATACACAACACGAGCTTCCACTTGCAAGCCCCTCACTTCAGCCCGCGCTGCGCCCACGACCCCACGCGCCCATTATCCGCACCTGCAGACCTTGACGTCTTGATCAGCAATCCCACCTCCGGTGGACTTCACATACAATGACTTCAGAGATCACGAACCAACTAGCGGCAACCCAGCTGAGGTGAGTCGGCCGAGACAGAGCGGCTGCCAGCACGCACGCGCTGACGAGTTTGTAGCGACGCCACACCTGCGGGAGATGCCAATTGGAAGGCCGGACTGAACGCGCCCGTAAAAGATGCGCGACCACAAACAGAGGTATGATATGCCCGGAAATGCCCAAGGGGGCGAAAGGGGTGCTGACACGCGTTACAGGATGTCACGGCGACCAAGGGCCTCGACTTTGAAGACTTCTTTATCAAGCGCGAGCTCATGATGGGCATCTTCGAGGCGGGCTTCGAGAAGCCGTCGCCCATCCAAGAAGAGACGATCCCAGTAGCCCTCACCGGCAGAGACATCCTTGCACGAGCGAAGAACGGCACCGGAAAGACTGCTGCCTTTGTTATCCCCACCCTCGAGCGCGTAAACCCAAAGAGCCCAAAGACACAAGCCCTGATCCTCGTCCCCACCCGAGAACTCGCCCTGCAAACCTCCCAAGTGTGCAAGCAGCTGGGAAAACACCTTGGAATCAACGTCATGGTCTCGACTGGTGGTACGGGCTTGAAGGACGACATCATTCGATTAAACGACCCTGTTCACATCATTGTGGGAACACCGGGTAGGATTCTGGATCTGGCTGGCAAGGGCGTAGCAGACCTCTCAGCCTGCCAGACATTTGTCATGGACGAGGCTGACAAGCTTCTTTCACCCGAGTTCACCCCTGTTGTCGAACAGCTGCTTGGCTTCCATCCCAAGGATAGACAGGTCATGCTCTTCAGTGCCACCTTCCCCATTGTCGTGAAGAGCTTCAAGGTACGCTCATTTATCACCAGTTGAAATGACAGCACTAACAGCGTCCAGGACAAGCACATGAACTCCCCGTACGAAATCAACCTCATGGACGAGCTGACACTTCGCGGTATCACGCAGTACTATGCTTTTGTCGAAGAGAAGCAGAAGGTCCACTGCTTGAACACACTCTTCAACAAGCTCCAGATCAATCAGTCCATCATCTTCTGTAACTCCACGAACCGTGTCGAGCTGCTTGCTAAGAAGATTACTGAACTCGGCTACTCCTGTTTCTACTCGCATGCACGCATGCTCCAGCACAACCGTAATCGCGTCTTCCACGACTTCCGCAACGGTGTCTGCCGAAACCTCGTTTGCTCCGACTTGCTGACCCGTGGTATCGATATCCAGGCGGTCAATGTCGTCATCAACTTCGACTTCCCCAAGAACGCTGAGACGTATCTGCATCGTATTGGTCGTTCTGGTCGTTTCGGACACTTGGGTCTGGCTATCAACCTGATCAACTGGGAAGACCGCTTCAATCTTTATAGAATTGAACAGGAACTCGGTACTGAGATCCAGCCCATCCCTCAGGTCATCGAGAAGAACCTATACGTCTACGAGTCGCCCGAATCGATCCCCCGCCCCATGTCGAACCAGCCCCGTGCCCATGCTCAAATCCAGCAACAGGAACAGGAGGGCAACGCACGCGGCAACCCCAATGCTCGTGGTGGCTTCCGCGGCGGACGCGGTGGCGGCGGTCAGTTCCAGGGACAGCGCCGAGGACCTCCACAGAACCAGCAAAACCGTCAACAGAATGGCCAGAACTCTCAGAGGAATCCTAGGCCACAGGCTGCAAACCCACCTCAGGCCTCCTAAGGCCATCTCCGCATCCGGCGGGGCTTGGCTGTCGAGTAGCTTGTTGGTTCCGACACATGGTATATTTCTCCATGCCACACCTTCCTTCTGCTCGGGGCCTGTCATGGTACTTGACAGTGCCATTTCCACATACATGTTTTGGCGTTTTTTCCTTTGTCTATGCAATCACGCGAGCAGCCGCTGACGACGCGATACGGGATACCTGAACTTCTTCTCTCAGGTGCAACCAATCGGATCATCGGCGCAACACGGTTTTAACGATCTGGACCATCTTCTATGTATTATATGCCAAGGTTTGCCTGGGTCGTTACTGTTATCTGCTTTCTTCTTCGGTTGGCTGGTCTTGCCGATTTACGTTCTTGAGAGACTTCATCTCGGCCTTGTCGACGGCGCAACCCAGCGGCTTCGTCTACTGCATCACTCGAATTTCCCGGTTTTCCTTTTTCCATTCTCTACTCAGCACCTTTGGCAGTTGGTATGGCCTTTCCCAAAAGCTCGGATCCTTTCTGCATTGGGGATTACGATTCAGTGCGACCGTCTTTTGTTCGACTTTGCCCTGTTCTCAGCACCTACTGGATATCCGTAGCTTCTTTCTCTGCTACAGCACGCCTCTTCCGACCACATCTTGATATTACACTCTTGGCCCTGGACAGAAATATTCTTTGGGGCTCGACACACATCTACACTCGATCCGACACGATACGTTGCATGTTGAACTTGCATGTCAATTGTTATGGACTTTCTGGCAGTTCCTCTCCCTCCCCCCCGGATACTGCAACCACGGAGCGCTACGGCCTGGCTCATGTCAATGTTGGTCATCTTCCGTCAGCCATTGCCCGCTGGAAGACCAGACCAGTCTGGGAATTCTCTGTCTCTCCAGAACCCACGCAGATATCAGTGCGTATCGTTGCATATTATGCTGCTCAATCCACTGTGTATTTACCCTCACGAAAGCTCATTCTACGTGGGAGCTTTGGACCAAGTCTTCCTGGTAAAAGGAAAAACAAGCAAAAAACTACAAAGACAGACATGATACAAGTGTGAAGAAAAAAAAAGAAATTAACAAAAAAAGCCTTTTTTGGGGGGAGGGGGCACGGTTGGAGAGATGGAAATTGACCGGTGCTGTGCTATGCCGGCTCCAAGCTAGTTACTAAGTACTACATCTTGTCCAATGCAAATCTAACTCTTCCCTCAATAAAACTCATGATTGTGTCTGTTTTTGTTGTTGTATTCAAGTTTCTCACTTGATCTGGCCAATGATACTCGTCACCATGACAGCCGCCTCCCTCTCCCAGGTAGCCGTCCCATTACTACTAGTATTACTACTACTACTACTACTACTACTACTACTACTATTACTACTAGCCTTTGCAGCCGCCGCCGACGATGCCAACGCACTGGGAAACTGGCTTCCGCGATTGACGCACTCCCGGACTAGATCCCTCACTTTATCCCTATTGGTCTTGAGTGTGCGCGCCGACACACCACCCCTATTCATGAGGTCGTGGACTCTGGGGGCCATGTTGGAAGCGAGGGTACGCCAGAAGTAGCTGGGCAGCGACGAAGTGTCGAGGGCGTTGAGCAGCGGCTGCAGGAGATTAGTCCATGGAGGTGGTGAGGTTGATGACAGCAAAGGATGTGTAGGCGGCTTTGTGGCTTCGAGCAGCGACTGCAACGCAACTATGTTTTGGCACCGGGCGGAGATTTCGAGCAGCGTGCGGTCGAGCGAGGGGAGTTGGGCGAGGGCGCGGGCGAGCGACGCAAGCGAGGATTTGAGCTGTGTTTGTAGGTATTCTTGGAGCGCGGTGAGCATGAGTGTTGGGTCGAATGTTGGTGTTGTTGCTGCTGCTGCTGCTGCTGTTTTTGTGCTAGACGGAGATGGTGATGGTACGGGAGATAACAGGTACAGAGTCAAGAGGGCAGATGTAGTTCTCGCTTTCGTATCTTCAGTCTGTGTAAAGGTTGATGCGGACGAGGCAGTCGACGAGGAAAGCAGCGACGACATGGAGAATTCCTTGACGATTTGCTGGGCGCGCGAGGCGATGCTGCGTTCGGCGGGGCCGACGAGGTCGGATCTAAGCGTGTTTACGACGGCGATTCGGTCGAGGCCGTCGCCTTCTTCGCCGGGCTTGGAGGCAGCGAGGATCTGGCGCAGCGCGAGAATCGTGTCGGTGGAGCGCACCATGGCGCGGTGGTCTTCTTTCTTTGCGCTGCCCACGCCGCCTAGCTCCGCCATGCGCACCTCGAGCTGCCGGCCCAGCATCACACAGCGGGCCACGGCGCGGCCCAGCTTGACCGTCTCGCAGAGCCGCTCCGCCGTCTTTTGCACCTGGTGCGCGACCTGGTGGCGCTCAATGACTTCGCGCTCGAGCGTCTTGTACGCCTCGGTCAGACTGGCGACCTGGCCCTCGACCTCGTGCAGGATGCGCGCGCTCGACTGTGCATGCTGGCGTGTGTGTTCTAGCAGGGGCAGCGCCGACTTGGTGGTCAGGGTATCAATGTGCGTGTCGATTTCCTGCACGTCGAAGAGGACGCGCGACAGCGGCGTCGACAGGTCTAGCGGGGTGTCCGAGGGGTTGTTTGTCGCGAGCACGAGCGTGTTTGCATTCAAGCCATGGCTGCGGCCTAATTATAAGACGGAACTCTGCCATTCCTCTTCCACTGTATGATTCCCATGTTTCATCTACCCGGCGATTGATATTATAGCGGAGCCGTGAGATTTGAGTGACTCAGCCTCTGTGCCTCCGCCATGCATTGCAATGCTGCAACAGGTACATCTAACCAAATACCGGGTCCTTGGCCTCAAGGGTGCCCAAGACTGCAACAACACCCGTCTACCATATCATACTTCGGCTGTTACAGCTGCACGCGGCGGCGTAGATGCTGCTCTTGGCCAGGGAAAAGAAAGCCCTCATACGAGCCATTGGGGGATTGCACCAGGCAAATTGAAAGACAAGCAATTCCAAGCGTATCACATCATGGCGTAGAGAGCAAGTCGTCGCGAGGACCATGAGTCCATACAGCAGGTGAGCCAGCCATGGTGGAGGTAATGTAATGTGAGCCCCAGCACGCTAAGATAAGCCATCCCCTGTCGCAGCTCTTACTTACCCGCACGCAAGCCATTCACATGCCACTCGGGCCACGGCGTCTTAACCGCACCCTCCAAAACCCCCCCCCCCCGCCCGCTTCCTCGCCATGTCCAAAGAAGATGAAGAGCCGTCGTACATTGACTACGAGGCGTTTCTCGACCCAGACTTCTCCGCCACATGGTTTTAGGCAAGATGCTCGGTGTCCTTAATATGCACTCTTACAAGTCAATCTCGTCCGAATGGCGTTACCCACTTGCATTGAACATCATGCCAGACACGCAGGCTACCAACGGCGCTTCAAACACGACTGATCTTGGCTCACATGGCTCACTTGGCTCGTACATGCATCTCTGCTGGTCCCTAGTAAATGCCATGATCATATGTGTAAAGGTTAATGCAAACGTTGCGACGTTGGCATCCTATCCATTGTTTTGGAGACTTGAAATCGCTATGCTCAAAAGGGATATAAACACCAAAAGCGCCTCCAAGGTATACAGCACCAAACCACATCTTTGAACTAAACCAACGGGCTATGCGCCCTCGCTTCCAAACTCCTTGGTCCACTCGGCACTGCGCTGCAGGTCCTCGCCACTAACCGTTGGTCTTGACGCCTTGATTGCCTTGATAAAGTCCTTGACCTTGAGAGGCGGCTCCAGCAGCTGGTCGCCTTCAAGGTCTGTCCACGACTTCTCCACCGCCTGTGGGTCGCCGGGCGAGCAGGGCGTCCATTTTGTCTGTCCGTCAACCTCGACAGGCTTGTAGTGTGTAGCTGTCTGGATAAGTCGCACGGGTTGCATGAGTGCATCCTGTACTGCAATCGAGATATCCGAACCCGAATATCCCTCGCTTAGCTCTGCCAATTTCCTGTAGTCGGCCTGGTTCAGTTCGCAGGGTGTGTTTCCAACCGCGAGTTCAAACATCTTCATGCGCGCGGGGGTGTCTGGTAGACTGATATGTACTCGTCGCTGGAAGCGTCGTCGGATAGCAGAGTCGAGCTGCCATGGGATGTTTGTTGCGCCAAGAATAAGCACGCCTTTTGAGTCTTTGCCTACACCGTCCATTTGCACGAGCAACTCGGTCTTGATACGTCTTGACGCCTCCGATTCGCCTTCTCCACGAGGGCCACAGAGGGCGTCGATTTCGTCAATAAAGATGATGGAGGGCTTGTTCTCGCGTGCCATGCCAAAGAGCTGCTTGACGAGGCTGAAGACTGTTAGTCATGCGCCTTGTACGCCTTGTCCTTGCGACTTGCCGTTCTGATTCACCCATCCACTTGCTGACTAGATCCGAACTCGATACACTGAAAAATGTGCTGTTCGCTTCGGTTGCGACCGCCTTTGCCAGATAACTCTTACCGGTTCCAGGCGGTCCGTAAAGCAATATGCCCTTCCACGGTTGTCTCTTGCCAGTGAACAGGTGTGGAAACTTGATGGGTAATATGACGGCTTCTTTGAGCGCCTCCTTTGCCATTTCGAGACCAGCCACGTCCTCCCACCGGATATTGGGCTTTTCAGAGAGAATAGCGCCAGCCAAAGCTCCACGCAGCTTCTTGGAATCGGCGTCCTGCTCGCCTTCGTCGTCGTCACTGTCGCACGTTAGCCTGGTGACGCTGATGGCCGCGTGTTGGTGGTGTGTACCCTCCGCCCTTGCCACTGCCTCCTGCTGCTTTGCCGTTTGAGCCCATGGCTGCTGGTTTCTTGCGATTCGAGGCGTCATTTTGGTTGAGATGTTGCTTGAGCTTCTCGGCGCGCTCCATGTATTCGGCCACCTTGCCGCGAATCATGTCCTTGGACTTTTGGTTCTTCTCCCATTTCAAGGCAAGCATGAAGAGCTCCACTAGCGTCAATCAGCATGCGAACGCCTTCAGGCGACACTTGGAGGACTAACGGGCACTGTAGTACAGCTGGTAGGCCTTTTCATATTCGCCAGCCGTGTCGGTTTCAATGGCCTTCTTGACCGTCTCGATGGCGCGACCGAGAAAATCCGCGTTGCTCATGGCTCGTACCGTGAGCCTGGATTCTGGCTGGGGCTTTGTTGTGGGTGAAGGCGATTGTGTACAGAGCAGGTTGGTGGGGCAAGCGCACGAGCGGCTGGTGATGGTGTGTTTCCGAGTGCAAGGCGGCTGGTGTGAAGTGGGTAGAGCGTCGGTAGTACTTGGCGACGGGTCTTTGGGGCGAGAGTGGCTTGAGACGGGCTGTTGGAGGGAGCAGTGCAGGGCGTAGAGAGAGCAGGCAAGTTGCTGTATCCAACGGCCAAGGCACCTAGCCCGCCCCGCGTTGCTTCTAACCGGATTGAGAAAGTTTGTTAACCCACTCGCGTTTTCCGGCATGCGAGACAAGCTCTCAGTCAAGTCTTGTTCAGCCTCACAGACGCCATGGCAGAAGTGCAGAAGAAGCTACAGGAGCTTTCGGAGAAATACCAGAGCCTCCAGGCCGGTAGGCAGTCGCCACGAGAAGCGCAAGAATGCTCGCTAACGTGGGAACAGACCTCGGAACAAAGGTCGAAGCACGCCAAAAGCTCGAGTCGCAACAGCAGGAGAACAGCACCGTCAAGAAGGTACGGGGGCCAATGTTGGGACATGCAGGATATATACATATATGTGCTGAGACACGCTCTGCTGCAGGAATTCGACATAGTCGACGACGCCGCCAACATCTACAAGCAGATTGGGCCTGTGCTGCTGAAGCAGGATAAGACAGAGGCCGTCATGGCGGTCAATGGGCGGCTCGAGTTCATCGACAAGCAGATGCATGTGTGCCGCGGGCGTGGCAGAGAGCAGCGCTGACAGACGGCAGCAAGGACATTGAAAAGCAGATCAAGGGCATACAGGACAGCAGCGAGAAGATCAAGGGCGAGGTAGGTTGGCCAATGGTGCAGCGCGGAACGGGCACGCTGACTTGGGGGAGCAGATTATCCAGATGCAGACGTCGGCACAGCAGGCGCAGGCAGCGGCGGGGGCGGCGGCGGCGGCGGCGGCGGCATCCTAGGCGGGCTATGTACAGGACAAGTAAGAACAATGAGATAGCCAGTATTCCGATGAAATTTGCGGTGCAGGGCGCCATGGGGGCGTGTGGGCGTGTGGGCCAGCGGGTGTTGAGCATGCGTGGCGAGTTTGCAGCAGTGGTTATTATTGCCTGGCTGTGGCAGGGCCAACCTAGAAGGCGTCAGCACAGTCAGCAGCGGGTGGGATGGGTTAGGATGCAGGCCGTTATGCCTTTGTGGCGCGGACAAGCTTCAGCCGGCGGCTGTCAGGTTGTGCGCAGTCGCAGTCGCGGTCGCGGTGGCAGTGGCAGTGGCAGTGGCAGGCCTCATGGGGGGCGGGCGCCGGGGAGAGCATGTGCACACGTGTTCCCGCGATTCACCCAGCACGGGCGGCCATTGGAGGGCGAGTGGCGGGAGCGCCAAAATAGGCAACGGACGGGCCGTATGGGAGCGGCAGGGCAGACGGCAGCTCCTGCAATAACAGAATACGACGTCTCCAGGCGCTCTTTGGGCGAGCATGGCCCCGAAGGAACAACGGCCCCCCTGGCACACACACACGACTGCACGACTGCACGACGTCGACACGGGCGGCGCATGAACAAGGTCGCCGGAACATTTCCTTTTGTTTCCCGCAGCGTTTGATGGGGCGCTGCGTGCGCGCCCGCCCAATCACGGCTGCAGGCGAGGCGCAGTGGACGTTACAGACGACGGCGAGTCGTCTTCTCATTTCGCGAGCAGCGAGTGCGATGCTGGCGGGCGTGACAGCGGAACCTGCCGTGTGTGCTTGCGCGCTCTCTCTTGCTGTCTCTCTCTTGCTGTCTCTCTCTTGCTGTCTCTCTCTTGCTGTCTCTCTCTTGCTGAGGCGCAGGGCGACTGCAATGGCGGCTGGGGTTGCGTTTGGGGCGCGCGCGCGAAACAGTGAGCAGCCGACTGTCTCCAGGCACGCCACAGCCACGGCCCCGGGAGCGCTGGACGACGGCTGCGGGCTCAGGCTGGCCGGGCACTGGCACAGGCACAGGCACAGGCACTGGCATCAGCAGCATTGGCATCAGCATCCAGAAAGACAGCGTGGCTCCACCGGCGCTCGCATCAGGTGTAACAGCTGAAGACTAGCGCTGGGCCAGTGGTGCCGCTGCTTCAGTTGCGCGCAGGGCCGCCTGATTGGCTGCGCGCTAGCGAATCAACGCCTTTTCGAGACCTTGACAAGAGATGGCCTACTCTTGCTAAGACCGCCCGACTCTCCTTCTTCACCCCGACCTCGACCTGGCTGTGAGCTTCTCTCCGCTTGTCTATCGCCGTCTTGCGGTTCCTTTCCTTCGTTGTCTTGCTTGATATACATACATATTACCCCCCGCCCGCCAACCCGCCCGCTTCTTGCTGCCCTGCCTGCCCTGCCTGCCCTGCCCTGCCCTGCCCTGCTGCATCCACCAGCCCGTCGGCGAATCTGTCGCTCCCCTGACACTTCGCACCTCGAGCTCTCTCCTTTGAGGCACAGCTGGCACTGCAGGAGACACTCGTGTGCACGCATTACTTCGATCCCACTGTCGGTCCCCTCAACCGCCCCCCCGGTCAGCCAGCCAGCCAGCCCTACTCGCCCTACTGACTTGCCCGCCAGAATTCCAATCCCACCCACCCGCCGCCGCCCACGACGCCTGCCGCCGCCATGTCTGCCAGCCACATCGCCGCCAACAGGAACAGCACCCCCGAGGGCTCCAGCTCCCTGCGCCCGCCCCAGGCCCGCTCCTCGCTCGGTGCCAACCACCATCTCCGCGCTTCAGCTGATCTGGGTGGTTTCCCCTCGCCGCTGGCCAATCGTGGCATTCGCCCCGCCTCGGAAATCTACTTTGGCCGCACCAACACGCAGTCGGGCAACCCCGACGAGATGGAGCGCGCTGCCCAGCAATGGCTGGCCGACATTGACCAGTACGAGACGACGCTCGAGGAAATGGCCACCGCCACCCTCGACCAGGACTTCAAGGACGAGCTGAGCGCCATCGAGCAGTGGTTCCGTGTCCTGAGCGAGGCCGAGCGCACCGCTGCCCTCTATGCCCTGCTGCAGCAGACAACCCAGGTCCAGATCAGGTTCTTTATCCAGGTGCTCCAGCAAATGTCCAAAAATGTGCCCATGTCCGGGGTGCTCTCTCCCGCCAACTTTGGCGAGAAGGGTGAGAATCCCCGACTTTTTATCTTGTTTTGCCAAATGCCAGTTTTGGTCCTGACAACCCACTAGATCCAATGACGCAGAAATTGAGCGACGCCATGAGCAAGCTCAACACGGGCGAAAACCGCAATTCCATGGGCCTCGGCCGTCCCCCGCCATCGCCTGGTGCTGGAAAACGCAACTCGGGCCTGGAAACGTCCACCATCAACCGCATGTTCCCAGACGCAGCAGCTGCCATTGCCAAGCAAAAAGCTGAGTTTACCGATGTGGTTGGCGTTGCCCCCGCGTCCAACCGCAATAGCACCGTCGGTGACCGCAGTTCGCTCGCCGCCCCAACCATTTCCACACCCGAGGACAGCAACAAGAGGGATGCTCCGCCGGCATCGCCCTGGAACGAAAACCGTCCAAAGTCGTCTGGGCAGCAGCAGCAGCAGCAGCAACAGCCCATGGGCCAATTCTCGCAGCCCCCTCCCTCCGCTGGTCTTCGATCGCCGCGCCTTCCCCTTCAGAACGACGGCAACAGTGTGCAAACTACGACACTAAACACGCTCGAGGCAAACTCGGCCAACATGCCGCTCCTTTCGCCTTCGTACCAGCCAGGTGGCAGCTGGGCGTCGCAACTTAGCACGCCCATGGTCGCCAACTTCAACCAGTCGAGCAACCAGGCCGATATGGTCGCCAATGCCACGGCCATGAAGCTGGCCGCACTCTCAACGGTCAACAACCGTATTCAGCTCGACGATGTGCGCAAGTTCCGTCGCGCTCGCTCCTCGGACAACGGGCCCATGTCGCCTGGTATGCCTCAAATGGGTAATGGTAACATTCTCATGACAAACGAGATGGGCCAGGTATTAACTCCACAACAAGCTGCTGCTCTTCAGGCGCAGCAATTGGCGGCGATGAACGGTCGCCGATCTCGCCCAAGCTCGCCTGGCTTCGCAATGCAGGGCCAGGCCATGGGGGCCATGGGCAGCTTCACTTCTCCCCAGGCCAACGGTTTCCTGGCTGCGGATTACGGGGGCGCAATGATGAACAACGGCATGGGCTCTCTCAACCTTGCTCAATTCGGCCTGGGTAGCGGCAGCAATGACGGACATGGCTTCCTTGGCGACAACATTGATCGCGGCCGATCTCCCCGAGGCCGCCGCGGCAGCTCCAAGCCGCCGGAGGACCCCACCGACCCTGGTCTGCTTTCGGACATTCCCAACTGGCTTCGGAGTCTCCGGCTGCACAAGTACACGGATAATCTCAAGGACCTCAAGTGGCAGGAGCTTATTGAGCTCGACGACGAGGGCCTGGAGAAGCGCGGAGTCAATGCGCTCGGTGCGCGTAGGAAGATGCTGAAGGTAAGCAGTCGGTCCGAACACATTTCAGCACGCGTCATCGCTAACCAAACATGATAGGTTTTCGAGCAGGTGAAAGAAGCTCAGGAACAGGGCAAGCTGCGATAGACCCGCAGTTCGCCCCTCTGGACTCCCATGCGTGAACGAGTTCGCCCAAATTATAGATATACGATGGAAAAGCAACAACTTCCAGCTGGTACGGACGTGTATACTACGCCGTCAGGTCTGGAACACATACGATTACATGCTTTGTGCGCGGAGACCCGACTTGGACGTTGCTATGTTGGCCCGTCGTATGTTGAAGACTGCCTACACTGATTTCTTTCTTTTTTTTTCTTTTTTTTTCTTTTTTTTTTGCGCATGTATTACTGTGGTTATTTCTAGTGTATGGTTAGGGTAGAATGGGCCGAAAACTGGCAAAATTAATGATGCGACTTGTATGGTATAGGCATCCAAGGGATTGATAGCAACTTGTCTGAATGCGTCGTTACACTGGTGACGTTGGTGTACAGGGAGCGGCCCCCAACCTCCAGCCCGGCTGTTACCGGTTCTTTACCATTGCCTCTACACTCAAACCCCCCTTTGACTTGACATGAGCTCCGCCTCGTGCTAGAGTACGAGCGAGTGCTTGCAAGCTCGCAATACCATCGCATGAAAAGGCCAAACATCGCACCCGCTCCATCCACACATTGATGACCTGAGCGTATTCCCCCATACGTATCGCCGCCCTATGGATCAGCCGCCGGACGCCAAACGCATCGAGCGCGTTGTCCTAGCATGTGTCCAATGCCGGACTAGACACGTCAAGTGCGGCGCTGAGCAGCCCGTGTGCAACAGATGCAGGCGTGATGGAAAGGAGTGCGTTTACCAAAAGTCGAGAAGAGGAGGCCTAGACAAAGCGGCTCTGGCACGGCGACGGCTACGGTTGCAGGAAGAAGCCTGTAGTGTGCACCACGGCAAAGCCGCTTCTCAGGGCAGCACCGCTTCCGAGCAGCGTTCATCTCCAGACTTGTCCGACGCCCACTCGTCTCTGGATGTCTTGCAAAACCATGTGACGTTCCAAATCGACAAAGATCGCCTTCTGGAGCTGTACTTTGACAACTTCTGGCCTCCCTTTCCTGTTGTCCTACCGCTTAGTCGCCTACAGACTAGGCGCCTAGAGGGGAGCCATGGCATGACGGTGCTGCTGTCTGTCTTGCATTGGATCGGCTCAATGTACGCTCCATGGGTGCTATCGGATCCCTACTACGAGGCAGCTGTCAAGGCAGTTGACCCTCTGACCCTCGCACATACTCCATTCAACGTTCAAGCCCTGATGATGTTTGCCCTCGGGCAGTTCCACTGCAACCTCAAAGGCGAAGCCCGCAAGACGCTAAGCGTAGCCACTACCATCGCATTGGCGCTTGGTATGAACGAAAGAGCTTTTGCTCAAGCATATAGTGGAGGCGACCCCGTGCTGGCAGAATCCTGGAGGAGAACCTACTACATGCTTTGTCTTGTGGACCAGCACTTTGCTGTTGTCACCAATACGCCCTTTTACCCACTGCTGTCTGTGCCCAACAACGTCGATTTGCCCTGCGATGATGAGTATTATGAATCTGGGGTACGTCAAATGAGCACCCCGAGTATTCAAATAGTAACATGATTAGCAAATCCCCCCTGTGGCAACATGGGCCGAATACCAGCTCCGCGAGTTTGCAGAAGTCGAGGTGGTGTACTCTTCGCTCACGTATGTTTACGACGTCTCCATGATTATCGCTTAACTACAGTAAGCAACGTCGCCAGCCCAACGCTGCTAATTTACGTGGTACTGACTCCAACAGTCATGAATACATTCATCGCGACGTCTCTAGTAACTGAGACTATGATTGAAAACTGCGACACCAAACTCGCAGTCTGGTCATCATTGCTACCAGCCTGCAAGAAAGACCCAGTCAGTCTCAATGGCCAGGTTGATGAGATGATGTACGTGAGGAAAGTTGGTCTGTATGTTTAGAATGCCGCTAACACTCTTGTTGCGCAGGTTTATGGCCCACGTGTGTGTCGCCATGTAAGTACTCCCTGCAAATTTTTTTCGACAGCCCATTGAGTTCTTACAGCGTCATGTCGACAATCCATCGGCCATTCTCATCACTAGCCTACTGTCCAGGGGAGTTGTCTACGCGAGCCTTCATGGCGCCCTCCCCTTTTACCCTTGTGCCAAAGGCTGGCCGCAACGCACACACGGCTCGCGTGCTAAAAGCCACGGAAATCCAAACCAGACTGCTTGCAATCCCTTGTGCTTTGGAAAAGCACAACGTGTTCGTCATGTGTGTGACGGCACAGCTTGCTGCCGTACAGATAGCTGCATGCACCTTTCTGCTCGACGGCCAAGCGCTCTCCATAGCACGAGATCGCGTCCGTCTCAGCATCGGCGTTTTGAAGACCATGGGGGCGATCTGGCCTCTGGGGAAGGAGATGGCAAGAGAAGTTCAGGCTATCGCGCGGTCAAGTCTGTCCAGTACCAGTACCACTATCCAGCAGCCCGCGTGCGTGGACGTGGATCCTCCCGCTGCCGAAGTTGAAATACCGCGGGATGATTTGATATGCCCTGTCGATCCTTCGGCTCAGATTGACATCTACGCTGGTCTTACGATGCCTGTGGATTGGGAGACGACGCCTTTTAGCTATACATGTCGGAACTCGGCCAGCTAGGCTTGATGCTGTTCATTGGGCGGAAGGTATAACGATATCAGTGAAATATAACCGACAGTAGCCAATAACACCTCTCCAAGTATAGAAAGTGCCTGCAGGACGAAATGCAGGCGTATACATCGAAGGCGAGCTGGCGCTGTGTAACGCGATTCCGGATCCGCGGCGCTCAAGCGTGATCAGCGCTCGAGTGCCGATCCGACTGTGGATAATGGAGGCGGGCGCAGTGCCTGTTTGGTTAGACAGGACAACTAGAGACAGATGGTAACTGGCCAAGTCATGCATTACGACGAGCTAATGCAAACAACATGTCAGTTGATAAAGACACCAGCCTCCTCGGTCACCAGAGTGGATGCAACACAGGCAAACCCCCATCTTTCTCTTGAGCATTGCCCCCCACTCCTTTGACAAAGAGAGCATTTGTGCCGGTGTACCGAAACTGTGCTATATGTCTTGTTCTATAGCCAATTTCCACGAACCTCATTGCTCCACAAGAGACATAGATGTAGTACGCCTATGGCAACGCTATACAGGTGCATAATTGACATGATAGCTTTAGCATCCCGAGCCACGCGCTAGGGCCAGACAGTCGCCTTTTTCCCGCTGAGACGATGCCCCAATCTTGGAAAATGGTCACAACCGCAGAAAAAGCCGTCCACCCTTGATTCGTTATCAGTTGCCCAGCTGCATATCTGTGCTGCGAGCAGGGTGGGCCGTCAACGTCATGCCGCAACGGGGCTAGCGCCTGTCTCTCTGTTGGTCCCAGCCCCGCTGCAGATCGGCTTTTCGTGCTAGAGTGGGTGTGGGCCTGGGGCAGAAAGTCGTTCAACGTCAAAAGCCGCCCGACTGATTTAAACCATGACCATCTCTCTCCCGCTCATGCCAAATACAAGCATAGCGACAAGATGACGCTGCCGGTTTTCGCTTGAATGCAGTAATACGACGCTTTTCTTTCTTTTCATGCTTGCTTCAGCCGCAACTCACGACAGCAAAAAACGACTTGGATTAAAGAAAAAAACAGACTTCGCCGGCTCGGCTTCGCGCCGACTCATTAACAGCAAGCCGACTATTCTCTGGGGGTTCCACACGACACGCCTGGCGACACAATGAGCGACGTCGAGAAACAGTATGATGTCGCGGCGGACGATGCTGTGGTGAGGGGCGAAATTGGCGAGCAGCTCGAGGGTGTGGATCCTGTCCTCGAGGCCAAGATTGTGCGCAAGCTGGATCTTTTCATCATCCCGGTGGTGATGCTGTTGTATCTGTTCAGCTTCCTGGATCGGTGAGTGGAGATTCGTGTCTTTGCCTTTGCACGACTTTGCCAGCACTAACCACAACCAGAGTCAACATTGGCAATGCGCGCCTGTACGGTCTTCAAGAGGATCTCAACATGAGCGACTCTCAGTTTCAGACTGCAGTGTCGATTCTCTTTGTTACCTACATTTTGTCAGAAGTCCCTTCAAATCTGGTCTTGAAGAAACTTACGCCCTCACGATGGATTGCTTTCATCACCCTAGCTTGGGGTATCATTGCAACCCTGACTGGTATCGTACAGAGCTACGGCGGTCTTATCGCGTGCCGTCTACTTCTCGGCGCAGTCGAGGGTGGACTGTTTCCGGGCATGGCAGTCTACCTCACCTTCTTCTACACCAAGCGCGAACTCGCCCTCCGCATCGGCTACCTCTTTGTCTCTGCAGCGCTTGCCGGAGCCTGTGGCGGTCTGCTCGCCTATGCAATCGGACATATGGACGGCACTGCCAACCAGCGTGGCTGGCGATGGATCATGATTATCGAAGGAATTCCCACTCTCATCCTCGGCATTGCGACCTGGTTCATTCTCCCCAACTCGCCTGAAACCGCCTACTTCTTCACCGCCGAAGAAAAGGCTTTCGCGGCCGCCCGTCTGAGGCGACAGACGGGATACACCAAGAGCGCAGCCGAATTCCACTGGGAAGATGTAAAGAAATGCTTCAAAGACTGGAAGGTCTGGACCTTTTGCTTTGCCCAGTTTGGTTCCGACACCATGCTATACGGATACTCGACGTTCCTGCCCACCATTATCCGCTCCATCAACACGACGGCCAGCAGCGCCATGATCCAGGTGCTAACCATTCCGTGCTACGCACTCGGCGCCATCACGTACCTCGTTGTCGCGCACTTTTCCGATCGCCAGCAGAAACGCGGTCTCTACGCCATCCTCCTCGGCATCGTCAGCATCATCGGCTACGCCATGCTCATCAGCCCCGCGAGCCACAAGGTGCACTACGCAGGCTGCTTCCTCGTCGCCATGGGCCTCTACGTCTGCGTCGGCCTCCCGCTCGCATGGCTCCCCACCAATCTGCCTCGCTACGGCAAACGCACCACGGGCACGGGCTTGCAGCTCAGCATTGGCAATTGCGCTGGCATCATGAGTGCTTTTGTACGTCATGTCTTTTCTTTTCCCCTCCCATCATCATACCCCGATTGCCCAAACTATGACGCATACGTACCACGAGTTACTGACTACCCTTGACACAGATCTACCCGACTGCCGATCGCCCCCGCTTCATCAAGGGCCACGGCATCACCATGGCCATGGTCGGCTTCTCCTGCCTGTGTTACTGCGTCTTGTGGTTCTACTTTAGCAGCGTCAATGCGAGCCGCGAGAGAGGCGCCCAAGATCATCGTGTCGAGGGTATGACCGACGACGACATAGCCGAGATGGGCGATGACAGCCCTCGATTCCGATATACAATCTGAGACGAATACATGGCTGCAATGTTATGTTTTGAGGTAAAAGTAATGGAAAGGATGGGTTGGCTTAAGATTTAGATTTTAGATGCGCAATCAATGTTGTGAATGAAGAGATATCTTCTATTATTTCTTGCATAAGTACTTATTTGAGTTTTGGCCTTTTCTTGTTCTTGTTCTTGTTCCATGGGTATTCTCGTGACTCTACAGTAGTCTAGCATCATCATCATTCCCATATATTTCTCTCTCCCCGGACAATGTGTAAAAGCCGCATCGCTCGCAGCATCATCAATCCACCGACGCCCGCCAAGTAGCCTCTCCCACGCTATGTACATGCTAGACCCAAGACTCATACTGGTATGATTGACAAGCCTTCTAAAAGGAAATCATACATCAATATCACTGTATTTCTCTTCCTCTACTCTACTCTACTCTACCTCGTCACACACACACACCCAAAAAAAAATAACACGCATCACACCACCCCCCTCTTCACTGCCCCCAACCACCATCATAATCCACAAACATGCCAATACACCTCCCGCACTACTTCCAAATTCACACGTACAAACTTCTCACATGACGAAAACCCCCCCCCCTGTTTCCATCTTGCACCCGCTGCGTTCCCAGGCGTCGTCGTCGTCGTCGTCGTCGTTGCAAAAAGCCGGTGTAATACTGAGTCTAAGACGCGTGAAGTATGATTGTGAGAAAGGGGCAGGCAGGGTAAGTTATGGTTTGAGTCTAGTTGCTGTGATGGTTGTGGAGAAAGAAGAAGAAGAAGAGGAACAGAATGTGAAGGGACCTTGCGGAGTCGGAGCCGCAGCAACAGCTTCTCTGTTGTGATGCAGCGAGGAAAAAACGAGTATAAAGGACGTAGAAATCGTCTTGGTTAATTTTTTGGTATGCAGAGATATTGTAAAAGGGGCGATTTGAAGGGCATTACACGTACTCTCATGGGGACTTACAGTACTTACGCGCCCCGCCTAGGCCTTGTGGTAGTCAGGTTCACGAGATGTGGAAGTGAAGACGACGATAGATGGGTAGCACGAATGGCTCAATGCAAAGCGGCAAACTTTTCAATGACTACTTTACAACCTTGCCATGAATTGTGCTCCAATCAGAGATTTTCCAAACCATGCAAGAAGGACTCATTCTTGCCTACTATGCTCCAGAAACAGCCTTGCTCTTCGGCACAATCTTGAGCGAAAAGTCCACGTGCGGAACTCCCTGGTGTATACTGCTTGTGCTCACAATATCAATATCGGCACACACATACTTTTCGACATTGTGCTCTGTCAGTCCACCGCTGACCTCGACTAGGAACTGCTTCCTGTCGCCTGTGCCACGGCCCCATTTATCCTTGAGGTCCTTTGCGGCAATCTGAACACCCTCGGGAGTAAAATTGTCGAGCATAACGATATCAGCGCCTGCAGCAATCGCCTCGTCTGCTTCCTCAAACGACTGGCATTCGACTTCGACCTTGATTGCAAAGCCGCCTGCAGCTTTGGCGGCTCTCACGGCATTGGTAATGCTTCCCGCTGCGACAATGTGGTTGTCCTTGAGCATCGTCATGGCGCTCAAGTCCACGCGATGCGCATCCACACCACCAACCAGCATGCCGTACTTCTCCACGAGCCGGAAGCCAGGCGTAGTTTTGCGGGTACCAGCGAGGATGTTGGGGTAACCGGCTCCACGCAACAGGGTCAGCAGTTTATTGCTCTTTGTGGCGATACCCGAGCAGCGAGCAAGCGTATTCAGGGCTACGCGCTCGCCGAGGAGAAGATGGCGAACAGGCCCGCGAACCGTAGCGCAATGTGTGATGGGCTTGAAAGATGCGCCTTCTTGGATATGCCACTCCACGCTGCTGCCAATGTCAGTGTTCCGTAGCTTGCAAGTATGCAGCGGGCACGAAGAAACTCACGTGCAACCGAGTTGTCGGAACACTTCATCGAAGAAGGGCACGCCGGCCACTATGCCCTGCCCCGCATCAGCAAAGTCATGTCTACAACAAGAAAAAAACAGTTCCTCACTTCACTCTTCCCAAGCAGCTTGGCCTCTGACATTTCCTCTCCCACGACAAAGCCACCGTAGTCGAAGCTCGGGGTATCCTCCTCAAGCCATTCCGAGATGAACCTCTTGTACGTTTGGGGCAGCAGATGGGCTACTGCGCCGTGAGCTGGGGCGCCTTCGACCTTTGCCATGTTACCGTGCAGTCTGTGGTGTTTGTTGAAAGCGGGATTTTGGGTGAGTTGTGGTTTTGCTTGCTGTGGTTTGCAGGAGAAGCAGCGCGTCATAAGTAAGGCGATCGGAATCTCCGTCGGAACCAAGGTTATCGATAAGAGCCGCCACTAAGCGGCCGTGCTTCCGATTTGCTTCATGCGACGGATGACTCCGTTGTCGTGGTGTCGGATGGCATATGTATGCGTTGTTTTTGCCTTGAACTAATCAGCTTGGAAAGTATATTTATGTCGTTGCTTTGTTCAGAATCTGCTGCAAAAACACATCCATCTTCGCCTAGACTACGCCTATAACAACTAGCAGCAGCTCATCCGTAAGCCCTCATCCGATGACTCTAGGTCTTGTAACTGAACTTGCCCTCGGGTACGGTAGTCGGACTTTTGAGCATCATGATGCTGTGTGTATAAAATCAGTCATAGATGCAATGAGGAATCTGATTGAGTAGAGGCTTGACTAGGTGGCATAATGAAAGGCATTCACATAAACCGTTGATAGCTGCCTATTGCTATTACATCAGATCTATGTATACTATAAAATGTTCTGTAGGAACTCTCAATAACTGTTTTCTTTCTACTACCATACGATATAGGATATGCATCGTAACTAGGGATGTTAGCTGCAACAGCACATTGGCTTGACTGATAGGAAAGTAGCTGTGGTCATGCAACACAAGGATTGTCTCTCCTCGAATAAGGCAGACTCGTTCCAATCAAGATTACACCTACGCATAAGGCAGTAGCCAAGCCGAAGCATAACTTGGTATCCCGAGGTATTTTCGATGTCTCTCCTAGACCTACTCTTTGTACTCTGTGCGTATGCGTGGCATCATTTTGGCTGGATTGCAGTTGTTGTCGCCATCATATGCATTAACAGGAACTTGTTCCTCACATTCCATCATTACATCTCCATCCCGGTCGACCATAACACGCAGTCGCTTATCATAATAGTTGGTCTGCCTGCAGTGTGGACATGGTTCCTGCATGATGCGCCCTGTCTTAGTGAGCACACATCTACTATTATGCCTATGAGTAGTCGTAGATTCCAAATGGCCGCAGGAAAAGTAGGCGTAATGTACGGTGCACATTGTAGCAGCAGCTGTGTAAATGGATTCCTTTGGTGAATATATCGGAAGAAGTGACTGCTTTGTCGGTAGGTGATGATTTATAGTTGATGTTGTCTCAAATCCTGCTCACATCAGAGACAATGTTGTACCATACTTCGGCCTTTGTTTGTAACGAGCCATTTGTTGTGAAGAAACGGTGGAGACGTCGTACGGTCGAGGCAGGTATGTGAAGAGGCTCGCGCATTATTTGGCTAATTTCCAGAGCCCTCAAAGGGTCTTAAAACCGGGTTCAAAAAATAGCACCATGTGTTTCGATCTAGAAAACACATACAGCTGCGGCCATTCAACATATCACCAGTACAAGTGCGGAAAAGGATGCCGCTCTGCGAAAGAGTACGACATAGTAATACGTGTACCTTGTCAGCATTGCCATGAGCAAGAAGCGGCGAGCCTCGATCAAGAGTATGCGAAACTTAAGAGAGCTCGTGGCGCCGACGAACGAAGGATCCGAAGGCTGAGAGCGCGCATCCAGGAAATGAAAGAGGATAGGAGGAGGATACAAGCTCATGCACAACAGATAGTTGATGCAACAGGGCGGCGAGACGCCCGCAAGAGGGGCAATACAGCAGACTTAAGACAAGACGTTCAAGCCGAAAAACGCCAGAGCGGAGACATGGATGCTCAGCCGAATGTAGGGTCTGTGATATCAGAACTTGGCAAAGGCGTTGGGATAGAGTTTTCAGACGGCGAAGAAGGACGCTGCAAGGGCAAGGCCATGCTGAAGCGAGCAGCGGTTGATGGCCATGGGCTCCCCAACCAGGACTCGGACGATGCAGAGAGACTGGAAGAAATCGAGGCACAACTCAAGGCGTTGCTTATCAGGGGCCAGATGCTGATGGATGAGAGGAAGAGGATCAAGCGATTGGTGCAAGGGTGCGGGGAACATGATCCTGACGGAGCGGTGGCGGATAGATTCTTGGCAACCCCGGATGAATGCCCCGGAAGCAGCAGCTACACGCGTTCATGGCCTAGTGAAGACGATGCCGAAGACGGCGAAGGCTTGGCCGGGACAATGAAGCCGAGCAGCTTGATGCTGGGAGCACTTGGTATAGGAGAGAGTCACGGGACCTAGCAGCCGCAACCGAGGATAATGTGCAGCACAGGCCGCGGAGCCCTGGGTTGAACGAGTGCGAGTGCGAGTCCCAACTCCATGGTGACAGCTGTCAAGCCGTTTCAGCCGCCCAAGCCCATCAACCTGGTGTCATTGTCGGATCAAGAGTGTCGTGCTCATGACGCGCATCGGGTACCCGGGAGTCGGAATGGGAGTCGGGATCTTGCGCCAGGTGTGCTAGGGGCCGCGTCAATGCGCCGCGCTGAGTGTGAGCGTAGTCCAGGTTTCTTTTTGTCAAGTGTCTGGTGTCTTGTAAGCAGGTGCAAATATCCTGTTGCGAGGGACGCTGTAGTCGTAGATTGGACACGGCATGGGCCAATAAGCCCAAGTAAATAGTAAATCCGCCGAACAAAAAACTCGATTCGTCACACGGTCAGTTTCCCACACTGCTGCTCATCCTGTGGGCCTGGAGATGGCCTTGGCAAAAGAAAAAGGCTTCCAGCGCATTTGTTGAGCAGAATCTGTTTTTGGCCAGTCTCAAATTCGTTAGCCAAGTATGCTGGCCCACACGGTGCGATGGTGATGCAGGTGCTGAGGGCCGGTGATTACTGTATGTGCTGCTGGATATATTGAAGATTCCGAATGTTATATACGTGGTGCCATTGCTGACATGCTGACCGTGGTCGTATTCCAGTATGATGCCTGAGCGAGGGCGAGTGGTTTGTTACGGCGCTGTCCCTGCTTGAGGTAAGTACTTGAGGGCGAAGTCTTGGCAACTGCTTTTTCGAACCACTGCCCACCTTGGTCTCGCATACTTGGATATTACACGCCCTACACACTTCCATCCACCTTTAAGCGCCGAGCCCACCCGCCATGCACAGACTCTGATGCTGGTGGATTGCTGACGCAGGCTCATCAGAGAATTCACAACCACCCTGCTCCACAAGCAGACCGTGGTGGCCCAGACATGGTTGCCGCCCACTCAACACTGGCACTGGTGAGCTGATGCTGTAAGTAAGCTGATTCTTTCTTGGGCCATCTTTTCCGTCCAGCCTGGATTCTGCTGACTTCGGCGGATTTAGAAGACGAGGCATCGGGGGTTTTTGGCAGCCTGCAATCTATCTCTGTACGACGATAGGGCCGACTTAAATCAAGTCTCTCATCTGTGTTCTTTATCTTTGGCCCCGGCCTACGCGTCAATCCGCATAGGATGAGACGATGCAACATGCAATGCAACGGCGCAGGATTCTGGACGTGGTAGTGGAGGGCTCGCCTGAAGCCTGTTCCAAATGAGCCTGTGGGTAAACTCAGACGCCCACCGCACGTGCACCACGATGCCGCAGTGGCGTCTCCGCATCCCATTTCTTGTCCATCTTGGCACTCGACGTGCTCACGACTAAACAGAGGCCCTCCAGCTTCCAGCAGCCAGAAAACCACACACAAACCAAGGGCCAAAGGAAGACTGCAACTGCCGAACCCCCTCCAGATGACCAGTGACGCCCCAAAACGCCGTCCCGCTCTGCCAAGCACGGCGTTTCAACTCACCCACAACGAAGCCATGGCCCCCCGCCATGCCTCGCCAGCTCCATGAATCAATCCATGTCTGCCAAGAAGCGCCCCACCGCCCGCCAGCCAAAGAGAGGGTTATCAGCAACAATGCGGCCTTGTCTAAGGTTCTTGTATCGACTCGCCAAATTCACCGCTGGGCCCGCTCCCCGTTCCTTCGCGCCGCCAGCTCAAATGGGTCAAGGTTGCAGTGGAGCGGGCGTGCAACTAACCATGGTCATATTGCCTCCCTTCAAACGCACATAGCGAGGCAACTGCCGACTTTTTCTCCCTGGCTCTCGTCCTACGTCTCAATAACGCCTCTTTGACTTGGGCAACCCGTCGGAACCGGATCCTGCCATACGCTCTTATATGGGCTGCCGTCTTCCCCAGATTCCTTTCCCCAGACTCTCGGATACTGTGGGGCCACGCTTCGACGTCGACTTTTCCAGCTGCTGACTGCACACTTGGCCGCGACACCTGCCCTGACGACATGACGCAGCTAAACGGAACACCAGACGGTGTCATGGACGAACGCTCGCCTGCTGCCTTGGAGAAGGGAGACGGCGTCGTTTGTACGTCTTTTTTGTTTTTCCCCGTGGCCAACGACTGACGATTCTATAGACGACGAGGCCAACAGGAGCGATGGGTCCACAGAGGGCGAGTTCACGTGGACTCCCGAGGAGGAAGTCATGGTTCGCCGCAAGCTGGATCGCGTGATCGTGCCGCTCACAACATTTCTCTACTTGCTATGCTTCCTCGATCGGTATGTAGTGCGCTCATGACCAAGAACAAAAATCGTCAACTAACTTGCCCAAACAGAATCAACATTGGAAATGCACGTATCCAGGGCATGGGCAAAGACCTCAAACTCAACCAGGGTGTGCGCTTCAACTGGGTCACGTCCATCTTCTACATTGTCTACATGTTTGTCGAGATTCCCAGCAACATTCTCCTCAAGAAACTGGGGCCAAAGTACTACCTGCCTCTGCTTGTGTGCGGCTTCGGTTTCGTCTCGCTTTGCACGGCCTTTGTGCAAAACTTTGGCGGCTTGCTGGTTGCTCGAGCATTCCTCGGAATCTTTGAAGGTGGTGTCATGCCGTAAGTGCTTGCTCCATCTTTTCGTCAACGTCTACTAATGCAGTGTAGTGGTCTTGCTTTCTTCATCACGTGCTTCTACAAGCGCAATGAGCTTCTCTTCCGTGTCGGCATCTATGTCTCGGCCGCCTCCATGGCTGGTGCATTTGGTGGCCTGCTTGCTACTGCGTAGGTGTGATCAATGAAAGTCTCTTTGCATGCGAACTGACGTGTTACAACAGTCTCTCTCGTATCCCTCCATGGGGCGCCTCGTCCATGATCATCCACACATGGCGAAACATTTTCTTCTTCGAGGGCCTCGTCACCGTTATCATCGGCCTTTCCGCACCCTTTGTGATGCCCCGCAGCCCGGAAGAATGCTGGTTTCTGAACGAGCGCGAACGCATGATTGCTTCGCGGCGCCTCGTCCTCAAGAACGGTGCCGACGAGAACGAGAAGACGGAGCCTCACCACGTAAAGAGGGCCATGCTGAACATTACAAACTACTTTTGCGCCTTTGGATTCTTCTTCATCAACATTACTGTCCAGGGTATCTCGCTGTTCATGGTACGTTGCCATTTATCGTGAAACAGATCATTCACTGACATTCCCCAGCCAACTATTCTCGCCGATCTGGGCTGGACAGCGACCAAGGCGCAGCTCTACTCAGTTCCTCCCTACGTGTGTGCCTGTGTCATCGCCATCATGGTAGCTTTTGCCTCTGACAAGACGAACCGCCGCGGCATCTACCTCGCCATTTTCACAGTCCCCGCCATCGCCGGCTTCTGCATCATGCGCTGGGCAACGGACCCGCAAACCCGCTATGGCGGAATCTTCCTCATTACCATCGGTGCCTTCCCAGGCGGCCCCGGCTTCATGGCATGGGCCGCCAACAACGCCGCCGGACCCGCCATCCGCTCCGTCTCGACCGCCTACGTCGTCACGCTCGGCACCGCGGGCGGCATCCTCGCCACCTGGACCTACACCTCCAAAGACGCCCCTCGCTACCCCACGGGCCACACAATCAATCTCTGCGGCCAAATCTGCGTCTTCTTCCTCGCCATCTTCGGCATCTTCTACTGCAAATGGGAAAACAAGCAGCGTGATCTGGGTAGACGCGATCACCGTCTTGCTGGGAAATCCGCAGCGCAGATTCGCGATTTGGGCTATAGACACCCAGAGTTTAGATATATGCATTAGTTGCGTACTAAGGACATGCGAGATAGAAGATGAAAAGAACGAAGAGACGGATGAATGACACTCAACGCTCCCCCGTCAGATTCAGTATTTGGATTTCGCTGCTCGCACACTTTAGCGCTAATGGCATCATTTGGGGGGCGTTTGTCGCAATGGAAATGTTCAACCTTTTTTTCCATCATCGTAATGACTTGTCTTTTTTTTGGCTTTGGGCAAGTGAAATATGTGTGATGAGACGACTAGGACAGGACTTGGGGGAAACTTTTCCTCAATCTAGTGTTTCATATTCAGCTGATGTGATGTGATGTAATGTATACATTCAACGTGCCTATTTTTTTTAAACCCCCCCCCCCCCCGTAGCGCATGTGGACGGGCTAAGCCCAGGACTTATAGCGGTAAGTAGCGCGGCTTGCCTAGGGTTGCCTATTCCAAGTCAGGGTTGTTGCGTTAATGTTTATATTCAGCGTGGATATGGAGTAAGGAATTGAGTTTGTGTTTGGGCAGACTGGTTTGGAGAAAGGAATATCTGTGCTTTCTTTTCTTTCTCCATCTCTTTTTTTCCTGGGTACTGTAGAGTCCATGTTCTCTCTCTCTCTCGTTCGCTCTCTCGTTCGCTCTTTGGCACTGTACAATCAATATTTGCTTACTTTTCTTCACTGTACGATGCCGATTTACCCGATTGATTGATTGACTTGATTACTACCATGTTTGCTATATGCCATGTATCATACCTACACTGGCATACTGCCATACACATGCCATGACGCATTGATTCGTTGATTCATCATCCATCATTTCTTTACCTACCTCCCAACATATTACCCATCCACCTCCCGATATTTACCCACCCACCTACAAAGCAGCCGCCGCAAAAACAGCCGCAAAAACCGTCGTCCCAATCCCCACCCACACGCCCTTCCCAGACATCCTCAGCGCGACAGCCGCATTCCCATGCGCCCCACCACCACTTCCACTTCCACTTCCGCTTCCGCTTCCGCCCGTCGGACTAGGTCGTGGCGGTGGAAACGCACTCGTGGTAGGGGTCCCCGTAGTATTCTGGACGCGAATCCAATTCGAAGCGAGGGCCTCGGGCTCTGCTTTCGCGTCGAGCAAACCGGCATCGGTGAGGAAAGCCGAGAGATTGAATCCGACCCTGTTTTGCGCCAGAGCAGCGTACTGGGGCGGGATACTAAAGTTGCGGGGCTGGCGCAGCAGGATGAATGTGTATGCGTGCGGGATGTCGCCGACGGGGGGGCTGGGCTGGAGATAGGGCACGGGGTTCTGTGCTGGGATGACGAGTGGCGTGCCTGTCGTGTTGACTGAGAGCGGGTTTGCGCGCGACACGTTTGTGGCGAGCCAGTGGAGCAGCGGCACGCGCGTGTTGTTGCGCGGCACGTCGAGGTCCATCATTAGGAGGAGGCATTGCGCGGGGGCTTGCGAGAGGAGCTCCGTGTCCCACCAGACGGGCGAGGCAATAGTGGGTGCTTGGGCCGTGGCTGTGGTGGTTTGTTAGTGTTGCGTAGTGTGTGTGTGGTGACAGCGCGAGCCGTCAAACACCCGCGTGTACTATATATCAACGTACCACCTCGAGGAAGCTGTTCTCCCGGAGGCGCCACAGTATCGTTGCCATAAATGACCGTCAAGTTGGCTCCCGGCTTGAGTGGAAACCCCGGTGCAACCTCTGCGCGCGCAATACCCGCCAGCAAGACGGCCGCGGCACCGACCAATGTCTTGTTGCTCAACATGCCGTCTATCTATTCAGTCGCGTGTGTTTGGGGAGGGAATGGAAAGAGGGACGGATGGCCTGGAAGCAATTGGGCGGATGTGTAGGGACACACGGCCTTCTTATTACACTGGCGGGTCATGGCTCTCTCGTGTCGGCGACGCACTGGCAAGTCGTTACATGGGCTGATTGCTAGGCCCTCCCAGCAGCCGTGCGCTCATGACGTCTTGCAGTGCGCCGCCGCCATTTTTTACTTGTTGCTGCCTCAGCACGACAAATAGCCGAATCAATTGTTCCAAGTGCCGCGGCTGCTTGTCTGTTCCTAGTAATTGATAGTCTTCCCAGGGGCAAGTCTTGTGAAAAAGCAAATGCTCGTGTTGCAGGCAGTGTCGTATTTTGAGCAATCGCGCCGCTGGGGGCTAGCGTCGGCCAGCTGGCTGTCATGCCCCCCCAGCCCATGTGTGTACGACTGCGGTTTGGTCTAAAACTCTATCTTCTAAGAAGCCCTGCTTTCCGCCGTGCTAAGCAACAAGCATACAAACAAGCATGGCCGCTCAACATTTTCGAGCCTATGCTCTGGTAATCATGTGATCCCGCGCCGGGCCCACGCCAATCCATTTGACCTTGACGCCAACAAACTTCTCAATGTACTCGATATAACTCCTCGCCTGCACAGGCAGGTCGTACCAGTTGGTCAGGCCCGTCGTCGGCTTCTGCCATCCCGGCAGCGTGTCGTACTCGACCTCGACCTCGGCAAGCATCTCGGGGTTGGCGGGGAAACCGTCGAGCTTCTGGCCCTTGTACGAGTATGCGGTTGCAACCTTGAGTTCGGCAAAGTCGTCCAGGACATCCAGCTTGGTGAGGTTGATGGCTGTATAGTCGTTGCAGGCATGCGAGTGCTTGACGACGACAAGATCGAGCCAGCCGCAGCGTCGCTTGCGGCCGGTTGTCACACCGACCTCGTGGCCGACTTTCTGCAGTGTCTCGCCAACCTCGTTGAGCTGTTCGGTAGGGAATGGGCCACTGCTTAGGTCAGTTGTTGCGCATTTGCTACCACCGGCATGACACTCACGATCCGACACGAGTGGTGTAGGCCTTGACCACACCAATGACCTCGGTCAGCGACCGCCACCCAAGATTCAGGCCAGTCATGACGCCACCGAGGCCAGTGTTTGACGATGTGACAAAGGGATATGTGCCATGGTCAATGTCCAGCATAAGAGCGTTTGCGCCCTCTACCAAAATCTTTGCATTCTTCTCCTTGGCCGAAGCGAGGAGCGGGATCTGATCGACAACGTATGGAGCAAGCTTCTCGCGAAGACCCTGGGCGCATTGTCAGTCGAGCCGGCAGCGAGACGGGGCGGGGCGACAGCTAACCTTGTACCGGGCAATCTCCTCGTCGACGTCGTACTTGAGCAGGTCACCAAAGCGCTGCTGGAACCCGTGGGCCAATCGCCTGAGCTTTGCCTCGAAGATGGCCTCATCGAAGAGATCGCACATGCGGAGGCCACTCCGGGTCATCTTTGTGCTGTAGGTTGGGCCAATGCCCTTCTTGGTTGTGCCTAGGTCGCGTCATCAGCACGCTGTCCACCCCCCGCGCCAGCGTCGTTGGAGTCCTCACCAATCATTTCGCCGCCGAGCTCTACCTCTTCCAGACCATCGGCCAGCTGGTGCACGTCAAACACGACATGTGCGCGATCCGAGATGAATATCCGTCCGTCGGTGTGGAGGCCATGCTTCTCGAGGGCCTCGAGCTCCTTGAAGAAGCTGGGCACGTGGACGACGCAGCCGCTTCCAATGACGTTGATGCACGAGGGATTGACGAGGCCGCTGGGGAGAATGTGAAAGTCGTACGTGACGCCGTTGGCGACAATGGTGTGGCCGGCATTGTTACCGCCCTGGGCGCGGCAGCAGATTTGCGACTCGTGGGCGAGAATGTCGGCGAGCTTGCCCTTGCCTTCGTCGCCCCATTGGGCGCCGAGGACAACGGTAACGGGCATCGTGAGAAGACGGGGAGCGAGAGACGAGGAGGCGATGGGGCGGCGGGTGGGTTTTCAATCGCTGCCCATGGAGAAAGCGGACTTGGCCGAGTTAGTCACCACCACAACGGCTGGCGCGCAAAAAGATTTGCGGCGAGCCATGGCTGCCAACCGGCGCCGGGGGGGGGGAGGAGTAGGCGCGCGCAACGACTTGTAGGAGAGCGCCCGAGACGCGGTCCGACTGGATTCACCGCAGGCCTCTGGTTTAAGGTGCGGCAAGGCTTTGTCCAGAGTCGTTTTGCAAGACAATGCTCCTTCACTCTCCCTCTTCGTGCCCCGCCATGCCCCGCCATGCCGCCTACGATGCCGCCATTTCCCGCACGGGCCAGTGACGCACGGGTGTTTTCATCTGCCAATGGGATGGGATGTGTATGACATGTCACGTGTTTCATCCAAACGTATTGCACTACTCCAAACTGTCTGATTCTAATCGTTCAACCCTACCCCCGCCACACAGCTGGCCCCGGAGGCTGATAGTCCTGCGGATTCCCCGTGTACTTGTTCAAATCCACCAAAATTCCCGGATCAGTACTCCTACGCAGCGCAATCAGCCCACGATACTCGATATCAAAAAGCCTAACACGCTCACTTACTTGTACGCACCTGGCAGCGCTACTAACGGCCCTGGAGTCCCACTTCCACCAGCAGTAATCCTGACCTGGGAGCACGCGAGGTAGAATTGCGCCTTGTTGGGCTGCATGGCCATGTGCAGAGCAATGTGCTCGACACGCAGGAGGTAGTCGCCGGTGGGTGTTGCGGCGGGGATGGTGGTGTTTGGTGTGCGGTATTCATCTATGCATGCGTATTAACACATACCAATCCACTTCTATCTTCTTTTGACAAGTAGACAAGCAAACACACACAAAGACCTAAGCAAGATAGAAGAGACTGGGAAAACACACTCTGCCCCGGCCACGACATCTTTTTCTGCGCATCCACGCTCGGCATTGTCGTGCTAACTCTAAACCACACCGCCCCACTACCATCCCAGCTCTTCACATCACTGCCCGCAGGCACACGTGCAAGGTAGTACTGCGTGGGGCCTGGATGGTTAACCTGCTGTGTCGATATGTAATGGACTGTCGCGCCAGCAGGGACACTGACAATGTTGGCAGCTGTTTTGGATGTGTAGCAGCGGATATCGGCGACGGTGGGATTCTAATGGATTGGATTCAATGCGTGAGATTGGGAAGCCCGGGAATGGGAAGGGGGGGGGGATATGTTGCATACCTCAATCCCTTGTTTTGAATTCGCATTCTTCGTCTCGCGCGTGGCCCACCAATCCTTTTCCTCTGGCTTTCCATCGACAACGAGTCGAGGAAATGTATCTGTTCGTAGTTGCACGTTGTAAGCCTCTCATCACCATAGCAAAGTTGATGGTAAAAAACACACAGTGTGCGTGGGCTGCTGTAATAGCAACCGCTACTACTACTAGGAGATTGGGTAGTATGTGCATTGTTCGAGCGGCCAGTTTGATGAATCCTTGCGTCCTGGGTGCAATGCAAAAACAGAGGCGAAAAGAAAGGGTGGAAGATTCTCTCACATCCTCCTACTTACGACCTTGCTTATCTGCAATGCCTTACTTCACCCATCCACTCACTCACTACCTAAATGTACTTGCGGCAAATGAAAAAAAAGATGAAGTTGCATGCGAGTGTTGCACATGATTCATTAAAGAAATTTACCCAGCTTGGCGATTGTACGGGCTAAACAGGCTATAGGCCTATGAGATGGGGGGGAGCGAAGAATATTGCGAGCCATGAGGGCGTTGACCAGGAGACTTAATCAAGACTGTGCGACGTGTGCAGACGGGAGGGTGGTTGCTCGTTTATTTTGAAATTATGCGAGTGATCAGATGCATCGTGGGGCTGGGACGGCAAGTATTTATTGCTTGCATCAATCGAGATGAGAGGAGATCATACCGAGAGCCAAGGAGTATATCGTCTGGCGACACAGATCATGGTAGTAAATGATTAGCCCTCTCAATCACGACGATGCATGACGGTAAAAAGCCACGGTCAAGAGAGAGTGGCACGGAATCTAGGCATAATATCACTGCATAACCTTGAAATGACATTCATAATTCATAACTCTTCATCTATACTACGTTCAGAAACCTCTATCAATTAAATGCATAACGTAAAGCCCGTGTTTCAATGCAACTTGTAAACCTAGAATGAAAGAAACGAAACAGTCGTATCAAACATGACATCACGCAGCATTCGTCTTTGCAGCCGCAGCAGCAACGGCTTTGAGCGCAGCAGGGGCATCGTCCCACGGCATGACCAGCTCAACAAAACGCATCTTTTGTGTCTCGCCGCTAGAGAACTCTTCGTCGTGGAACAACTTCTCCAGGTCGTCCTTGGTCTCGACGCGATATGTCAGGACAGCGCCTTCAGGAGCACCAAAAACGGCGGGAATTTCCTTGTACTTCCACTCAGGAACGTCGTTGTATGCGTCTTCCCAGCCGTGGATTAGGCGCTCAATGGTGTAGCCCTTGTTGCAGATGACGAAGATGATGGGCGCGAGCTTGTTGCGGATCATGGTCGAGACTTCTTGGGCAGTCAGCTGGAAGGAGCCGTCGCCCGTAAAGAGAATGGTGCGCTTAATATTGAGTTCCTTTGCTGCGAGAGCGGCACCCTGGCATGAGCCCGTTGCGTAGCCAATGGAACCCCAGAGGACCTGTGAAATGGCCGTTACATTATCGGGGAAGCGCGTTTCCCAGATACCAAAGTTGGAAGTACCCGTCTCGGTGATGAGAACATCGTCCTTCCTGAGCCATTGGCCAAGCTTTGGCCAGAGCCAGGCGTGCGTGATGGCTGTGTCGGTCGACGTCGTCTCAGCGTGGGGCACTTCGTTGTTGGGCGTGGGACCAGACTCAATGTTCAGTTTGCCCATCCTGGCCGCAACCTTGGAAAGCACGCCGTTCATGCGCACATTAGGATACTCGGAGTAGCGCACCTTGCAGCCGTAGCTGTGAAAGTCGATGGTATTCAGCTGCGACATGCGAATGGTGAAGCCGGCTGTGTTGAAGTCGGATTTGATGGCGCCGATGCTGAGGACGAGATCAGACGACTCGACGCGTTCCCGAACACCAGCATTGGATCCGTTTCCTGCGTACACACCGCCATAGTTGGGGAGCGTCTCATCCACTGCGCCCTTTCCCATTGGCGCGACAAATGTGGGAATTCCGGACTTTTCCACGAGCTCATGCGTTTCCTTGAGGGCACGGTGGCGAATGGCGCATGCGTCGACCAGAATGACGGGGTTCTTGGCGGCATGGAGGTACTTGAGGATGACATCGACGACGTAGTCTTCGGCTTCTTGGTCGTTTGGTGGGAATTCCAGGTCAAGCGGAGTGTTGAGCCTGTCGCCGTCGACCTTTTTCGTCACCATGTCGCTCGGCAGCGAGATGTAGACGGGCCTCGACTTGAGATAGCACTCGCGGATGGCATTGTCAATCAGCACGGCCGCCTCGTGCTGGTGGTTGAGCATGGACACGGCACACGAAATCTCCTTGGACATGCGCGAAAAGACGGTAAAGTCGCCATTTCCGAGGGTATGGTGAAGCAGCGCTCCATTTTTCTGGGACACGGTCGAGGGGTAGCCGACAATGTGGACAATTGGCACGTATTCAGAGTAAGCACCAGCAATTGCATTGACAGCCGACAGCTCACCGACGCCAAAGGTGGTGACGAGAGCAGAGATGCCTTTTACTCGAGCATAGCCATCGGCAGCATATCCTGTGCAGCGTTAGTGGGCGGGTTGGCGGGTTGGCGGGTTGGCGGGCTCTGGCGCAGGCAGGCTGGTCGACGCACCAGCATTGAGTTCATTGCAGTTGCCGACCCATTTCAAGCCGACCTTTGGGATGTAGTCGAGGGCAACGAGGTTGTAATCGCCGGGCAGGCCGTGGACCGACTCGACGCCAACTTGTTTTAGTCGGCGAAAGAGGTACTGTTCCGGGTTTAGCTAGCGCCGTCATACGAGAAAGTGTGTACGCACCTCGGCGACATCAACGGGGTTCTTGATCTCCTGGGAGCGCAGGTCCTGTGCCATGATAGCAGCTGGCGATGCAATTGAGCGAGGGCGATGGGCTATTGGCAGAGTTGTAAAGGTGGTGGTGGTGGAGGAGGAGGTGGTGGCAGCAGAAGAGGTGGTTGTTGGGCGCAGCTATGCTTTAAGGGTCTGCACACGATACACAGCAATGAGGTCATGGGCGGTCGTTAGCGGGCAGCGCCTTGTTGGGCCCGTCGCTCGTGCGAATGTTGGGGTGGAACATGTACAGGCACAGTAACGCGACGTGCACCAGACGCGCTGTTTGTCAGCCCAGGTGGCGTGAGCGGAGACTTTTGCAGTGCTGTGGCGACCCAAAGCGTGCGCGTGCAGCCAAGGATGCGTGGTTGGACAACACCATGGCAAGACATGGCCGCGCTGCAACGAAACTCGTATGAGAAAAAGGAGTCTGTCGGGTCTGGAAGGTTGAGCGTGCAGCGGCATGGCCGGATGGGCAGGCTACACGAGATGCGGCGTGCATGTCGGCGGCAGCACCACGCTGCGAGTGCGAAAGCGCGAGGAAACAATATGGCCCGGTGGTCTCACGAGATATTCATGATGAAGATGCAAACATGCCATGTGCAGTGTTGAAATGGTGTCTAGCATTGATGTGGCTCCACTGGTCTAGGTCCAGGTATACGCAACCTTGGGGTGCTGAAGAGGTAGGCAGTTGCAGCGTGGCGTTGCAGTGCATGCTGATGGGTTAGCTATGTCGAAGAATGGCTCAAACGGACAGCATGGCAAATGAGGCCAAGCAGGTAGTTGGGCGGCTCGTTGCATGTGGGCAGCGCCATGTATTTACGTCTTCCATGGTGTTGCAGAAACAAGAGATTCGACGTTGGGAAGCGCGGCGGGGCCAAGAGGTTTAGAGCAGGGCGTGCTAAGTGTACCGGTGCCAATTAGCAATACCTCAAAGTGGTAAGCTATCTGACAGGTTATCTGACAGGTAAGCTTATCATGACATGCCTTGCCAGAGGACAGCCGGCCGTGTCGCAGGTATTGGGGTGCGCTCATGGCAGGGCGTGGCATGGGAGGGCAGCTGGCCCCAACGCAGTATACATTAGGCGAGGGACCCACTGGGAGGCATACGCGGTATATTGTGGTAGTGCACAGCGTTTGTATAGTGGGCGCGAGGCGGACTGGCGCTACAAGCAAGAGGACAGAGAAGGTTGGATACGAGGAGTGGGAGCAGCGGTGGCCGGAAGGGTGTGCAGCCGACCCGATGGTGTTGGGCGGTGGATTGCATGACTAATCGGCGAGGGTCCGGCTCTGCGAGGGGCAGCGTTGGTGCCGGGGCAGCCGTGGGAAGGGACATGTTTTTGGCTCGTCGTGTCAGTGTGTCAGTGTCAGTGAGTGCCAGTGAGTGTCAGTGAGTGTCAGTGAGTGTCAGTGTGTGTCAGTGTGTGTCAGTGTGTGTCAGTGTCAGCGTGAGGGTGATGTGTGTGGCTGATGGGGGACGGTGCACCGCCACAGCCTGCGGCGGCTTGACATGGCGATTGTACTCAAGTATATGATTGTGATTGTGATTGCGCGGGGCTGGGCTGGGCTGGGCTGAGCTGACGAGCACGAGAGCCGAGGGCGCGCGGCCATGTCGCCATAACGGCTGAGGTGCAGATGCAGCCGTTCGCAGCAAATCACGCGCCGCCCTGGAGCGGCATGCCACGCTTCCTCGCACTCCCGCATGCCTTGGAGATGCTGCCAGCCCATGACTTGGCTCGCTACCCGATTACCTAAAGCCCGCACATGCTGCCTACATGGACATGGACATGGACATTACATGCCAGACACAGCGTATTGCCGCCGTATCCATATCTGCTGCACGCCTGCACGCCTGCACGCCTGCACTCGCCAGCCAGCCAGCTGCCCGCGTACCTGCATCCGCCCGCCCGTCGTCGCATAGCACATAGTAGACGCATCGGTACAAGTACATGTGTACTGCAGACAGCACATGGGCGACAGCAACAGCGCCCGAGTAGACGTGCAGGCACAGGCACAGGCATGGTCGCGTAGCTGCGGCGCCGGGCCCGCTCCCGCGCCTTGGATCGACGGCATACCTGCAAGAGGTACCGACAAAGGAGCGTACGAGCTGCCAGTGCCAGTGCCAGTCAGTGCCAGTCAGTGCCAGTGCCAGTGCCAGTGCCAGTGCCAGTCGTCGCCCGCCCCCAACAAAGCCCCGACGACGTTACAGCTGGCAGCGTCATGTCATGCTGTGACAGCGCCCTCCTCCAAGATTCCCCCCCTCCCCTCGCCTTGCCTTGCCTTGCCTTGCCTCGCCTCGCCTCGCCCGACGCCTGCCCTCCGACCCCCAGGCAGCGCCGCGTCCAATCTCGACAACCCTTCGCACCCTCGTCGCCCACTAACAAGCTGCCTTTCTCGACGCCGCGCGCCCATCCCCCCCCTCTCCTCCCACCACCACTTCAGCACCACCACCACCACCATCATCATCATCATCATCATCATCACCATCTTCTCCGCATCCACCACCACCACCCCGTCGCCCACCACCACCGCCGCCGCCGCCGTCGCTACCGCCGCCGCCAGCCTCGCCCAATCGACGTCCCCGCCCGCTGCTGGCTGTCCTCAATCCCCCCCCAGCGCCATTGACACTGCCCAGCCTCGGTTCGTCGCCGCCGCCGCCGCCGCCCTCGCCCTCACCCTCGCTCTCGTCCGCGCCGCCGCTCGCACCGCCGCCCGCACCGCCAGCTGCTAGTGCTGCTGGTGCTGGTGCTGGCGCTCTTCTCCCTGCCACTGCCCTGCTGTTGCTGCTTCTCTTGCTGTCGCCGCCTCTGCTTGCTGCCACTGCCAATACCGCCGCCGCCGCTGCTGGCCTGCGAGCCCGCGCGCGCAAGGGCGCATACCGTTGCTGATCTGCTCACCACTCAACGGCACCACCCGCGCGCCCCCAGGGTCCCGCCATGCATCAGTACATCCCCCCGCCGCCGCCCCAGCCCTCGAGCACGCCCGCTGGCCACATCGCCCTCCCCCCGCCGCCCCCGCGACCAACGCCCTATAGCAGCCTCGGCGGCATCCCCATTCCTCCTCCCCCGCATGTCGCCAACAACTGGGGGCCCCCGAGGCCCCAGTACCAGCAGCAGGGCTACGACCCGGGCCAGTATCGCAACTACCCCCACAACATCCCCCCGCCGCCTGGCCCTCCGCCGCCCCAGCAGATTCCTCTCGAGCGCGAGCCGCCTCTGACCTCGGCCACGTACATCCCCGGCGGCGAGTCGTTTGGCCCAGGCGTCGGCATCCCCCCGCTGCACACGTCCAGAGGCTACCCAGAGCCCTACTACCGAGACGACTCCCACTCGGCCAACACCGACGCCCCGCCCCAGCCCTTTGCCAGCACCCTACTCGAGAGCGTCCAGAGCGTGCAGTATGGTGCCAACAATGCCTTCAACGTGCCGCCCACGCCGAATGCCCGGAACAACCTCAACATCCCCACCGACCGCACCCAAGCCTATGACTCGCCCGGCCCACCAACGGCAACCCTGCAGAACTCAATGATGCAGAGCCACGGCAGCGTCTTCCACCGCCCAGAAAGCAACGGCACCACACCCATCTCCCCCCATGATCCCGCCATGCAGTGGCCTGCCGAGCGCGTACAGCAATGGCTGGCGAGCAACAACTTTTCACGAGACTGGCAGGAGACGTTTCGCACCCTGGGGCTCGAGGGCTCCAAATTCCTCGACATTGGGCGCGGCCACGGCAGCAAGGGAAACGTCGCCATGATGCACCAGGTCATCTTCCCCCAGCTGGCCAAGCAATGCACCGCAAGCGGCACCGGCTGGGATCAAAACAGAGAGCGCGACGAGGGCCGCAAGCTCCGCAGGCTGGTACGCGGTATTGTCGAAAACGGCACTACCAGCACCTTTCGACATGCGCCGCCACGGTCGGATACGGGCATGACGAGCGCAGGCACCGAAGGCACCGTGGAGAATTCACCCTACCTCGGCTCGCGCGGCATGGACTTTGGCTCGACGCCCACAACGGCAGGCAACGGTGAAGAGAGCCCCGGCCGCCAGCTGCTGGTGCATTCGCCTGGCGCCGCGAACCCTCCCAGGCGCATCTCTGTACAGCAGCGCAACTTTACCGTCCCTGGCCTCGGTCCAACGCCCGACTTTTCAGAAGGACCCGCGCGCAGCCCCTACTCGCGCGAGGTCCTCCAAGGCCTCGACATCAAGCCCGTCCGACACAGCCCGAACACGTCTTCTGAATTTGGCCCGTCGTCGCTGGGCACGGGAAACCACCGTCAGGCCAGCCCGCAGCATAGCCCAGCGCTGCAATCCGCCCGCCTCGCGACCAACGGCCAGCTCAGCGCAGGCCCAACCTCCCAAGGCTCCCGCTACTACTCGCCCCACAATCGCGTCAACAGCGCCGAGTCGATCAACTCGACCTTTGCAAACACGGGTTCAGGCCCGCCCTCGGGCAGGTCGTTTGACGGCCGCTCGGAAAGTCGCAATGAGAACCGCAAGAATGGATGGGAAGGCACGCGATCCAACACAATGCTGGACAACATGCCCACCAGCGCCAAGGAGCACGACAAGGGGTTTTTCAAGAAAATCATGGGCGGGAGGAAGAAGGAAAACCATCCGTCGGGGGATGATACTAGTCTAGATTCGCCGACCAGCCCGGCAAGCCATCGCACTCACCCCAACGGGTCCCTGTTTGGAAAGTCCACCATGAACTCGAGTGAAACATCGCTGAACGAGCGCCCGCCATCCCGACGCTCTGCCCAGACCGACTCGGACAACCGCGCCGCCGGCCGCGGCCACGGCCACGGCAAGCACGATCGAAGATATGCCTTTGTCACGCCCGATGGCTGGAACTATCGCCTAGTCGACATCACAAACGTGGATTCGGCGGCTTCATTACGGACCCTATGCTGTGAGGAACTAATCCAAGGGCTAAGTCAGATGCCCGGCGTCGAGCTGCACCTTACCGTTCCCGGCCAGTATGAACACGATCGTCCCCTCTCCGACTCGAAGCTGCTGAAGGCTCGGTCGCAATACGGGAACAAGGTCGGTGAGTTGAAGATCTTTGTGAAAATACCCCAAGAAGGCGCGGCTTCGTCTTCTTCTGGGCTGGGTGTCTCGCTGTCCCAACCATCGGCCAAGGCGGCGGCGGCGGCCGCCGTCGACGACGATGCCTCCCAGCTCGACTCGCCTGGTGCGAAATCGGGAGAATCCACTCTGGTCCCAGACAAGAGCGCAGCTCTTCGCAAAATGGCAGAGAAGAACGAGCTTCTGCCTAGTGACGCGGCCGACCGGTCGCATAGCGGTAATAGCAGTAGCAGCAATGGCAGGCCACCAGAGTCGCCCTGGGAGCCGCGCGATGACTTGGCCGAGGAAGAGCGTCGGAAGCTGCTTGAAGCAGCCGCAGAAGAGCATCGACGCGAAACGAAGCGGAAGCAGGAGGAATATCTCAAGTCGCGTTTCCCCAGGTCCAATGGCCACAGTCCTGATCTGACTCCCGCTGCAAGTGACAGCCTTGGTTATCGAAGCCAACGGGTTATTGACTTTGATGAACCGCGCGCGTCGCCTTACGAGGACCTCAAGAAGCCCTTTGACGATCAACAGCGCAAGCCCAAGCAGCTCGTTCCCTTGAGAGAGCCGCCGCCCGTGCCAGCAGACACGAGCACGCTTTTGAAGGCTAACTCATTATCAAGGAGCAAAAACAGGGGCTCGTGGCCAGAGAGCGACGACGGCCAATCAAAGCACCTTACGGTAGATTCACAGGGTGAGAAACGAAAAGCGATACCCCAGGGCGCAGGCGGGCTGGGTGGCATCGCGGCCGCGATCATTGGAGCAGGCAATCTAGGCGCGGGCATTGGGGCGGCCAACAGAGCACCCAACAAAGGTCCAGTACCTCCACCAAAAGATGACGCTTCACCAGAGGCTCTCCGACCCTCACAGCAGATACTGCAGGAAAATGGCTTCGGGGCCAGGCCCGGTTCTGGCAGGAACAGTCCAGGTGGGTCCCCCCGCAGCCCTGGCGAATTTACCATGAGCAAAGGCAATATACCGTTCAGAATACCTGACTATGAAGAAGCTTTCGGCGATGACGCCTCCTCGTTTGACCGGACAGACCTTGCCCTTTCGATGCCAAACTCGGCAGTCTCCAAGCCCAGGGACGAGCGCTCTCGGTCGCCAGGCCGCAGCCCTCACACGGCCGCAGCCCCGGACTATTCCCTTACTAGAGAGCCATCACGCGTGTCCATCTATGGCCCGACGCATGATTTCGAAGAGGCCAGAGTCTCTTTTATTACAAAGTCCCCCAACCTGGATCCAATGGATGCAGATGATGATGATTCTGATGACGGCCTGTTCCAAGCACCGCTCGCCGGACGAGCCGGTCCCCCTCCTCCTGCAAAAGACACTCCCGTTTCCCGAATGGCTTCGCGTAGTCGAAGGCCCAATCTCACACTCAAGACTCAAAGATCAAAGAATTCGCTAGCCCAGGTCATGGAAAAGTCTGCCGACCAGAGCGCGACTGGCGACCATGAGTCGCAGCAAAGCGACTGGCACCCTGAATCAGCTGCATCCACAACCTGGACCGACTCTCCAGACGACACCAACAAATTCTCACGCCGTGAATCGTTTGCCAGTGATGTCTGGGCAAACCGTCCCCCAGCCGAGGCCCTTGTAGACCACCTTGACGAGCTCTTTCCCAACGTTAATCTTGACCAGCCCATGCTTGAGGAGGAGGAGACAGATGCAATTGTTGAGTCAATCCCTGAAAACAAGCCTCTTCCAGCAGAACCTATCAATGCGAATGGAACTCTGCACCGCGGTGGTACTGGCCTACAGTCGATTGCCCAACGTAACATGCGCAAGTCGGGCGTGGGCTTGGGGCGCACAAAATCCATTCGTGAAGTCGTCAAGTCGCAATATCAGCCACTGGAAAACAGGCCTCTGCCAGCAGGACCATCACGCGTGGCTACCCTGCGCAATGGTGGTGATATTATAAGGAGAAAGTCTACAAAGATGTTCAACGCCAGGACTGAGCAAGTCCGCCCACAGCGTGGCTCACGACTCGTCATGGAAACAATACCCCAGGACCATCTACCCAGCATGCCGTCTCGCCAGCCAACGTTCAAATGGATGAAGGGTCAGCTCATTGGCAAGGGCACGTTTGGCCGTGTCTACCTGGGTATGAACATTACGACTGGTGAGCTGATTGCTGTCAAGCAAGTCGAAGTCAATGCCAAGGCCGCCGGGTCCGACAAGGACAAGATCAAGGAACTGGTCAAGAGTCTGGATCAGGAAATCGATACCATGCAGCATCTCGACCACCCCAACATTGTGCAGTACCTTGGTTGCGAGCGCAAGGAATATAGTATTTCCATCTTTTTGGAGTACATTTCTGGTGGCTCGGTAGGCTCATGTATTCGCAAGCACGGCAAGTTTGAAGAGAGCGTCGTCTCTTCTCTTACGCGACAGACGCTGCTCGGTCTCTCGTACCTCCACCGCGAAGGCATTCTGCACCGCGACCTCAAAGCCGACAACATCCTGCTCGATCTCGACGGAACATGCAAAATCTCCGACTTTGGCATTTCCAAAAAGACTGACAACATCTACGGCAATGACGTGACAAACAGCATGCAAGGATCGGTCTTTTGGATGGCGCCCGAGGTGATCCGGTCGCAGGGCCAAGGCTACTCTGCCAAAGTAGACATTTGGTCACTCGGATGCGTGGTGCTTGAAATGTTTGCGGGCAAGCGGCCGTGGTCCAAGGAAGAAGCCATTGGCGCCATCTACAAGCTGGGCAGCCTCAACCAGGCGCCTCCGATTCCCGAGGACGTGAGCCGAGTGATTGGCGTCGAGGGCCTGAGCTTCATGTACGACTGCTTTACGATTGATCCCATGGAGCGGCCGACGGCAGAGACGCTGCTGCGGGCGCCGTTTTGCTTTTCCGACCCCAACTACAATTTCCTGGATACCGAGTTGTATGCCAAGATCCGGGGGGCCTTTCAGTAGATGTCCAGGCGTTGAAGGATGGGAATGGGGGCGGATGGTTTTTCTGCATTTTGCATTTTGGTATTCACGCCCAAGGGAGAAAAAAAAGTCATTTGTTAGCGTGGTTGCATGATCAAGGTACTACTGTCTCTCTCTCACTGTTCTGGTCTCTGTCTATTGCTCTACTGCCCTCTCTTTTTCTCTCCCTTTCTACCTCTCCTTTTTCTTCTTCTCTTTTCTTCATCATTGTTTGCTTTCTTGGTTTCGGTTTGGAGACACATGTACGCTATGTTATGTTGGTTGGTTATATACCCAAGCTCTGGATTTCTTTTTTTTGTTTCGTTTTGTTTTATCTATTTTAGGTTTCTCCCTTTCGTTATCCTCATTACCATCATCAAATTACTCGATCCTTTCTGGAAATTTTCCTCTGTTTATGGTTATTCTTATTCTTGTTGCTATTTTTTTTGATTGCTTTGAACAGCGGGTGCAGGGCGCCGAAATAGAGGCCCCTTGTACCGCTGAGTCGAGTCTTGTCGGACAATCTTGATTTTATTTCCTTTGTTACACGTTTCAGAGAAAGAGAGTGTGTGTGAGAATAAGAGAGAGTAGTAGCATAGTCGTGGTCGCAGCAGTAGCAGCAGCAGCAGTAGTAGCAGTACTAGTAGTCGTAGAAGTAGAAGTTGCCATCTGTCAAGATGTTTACTTGCATGTCTCTTCTTCTCCTTTTCTCACTACTCTACTTGATTGTTTAGTAATTACTTCTTCTCCTACACACCCGTCCAAGTATCTCTATGGCTATGCGTGAAAAGAAGTATAAGACGTAAGGCATGAGGTATAGGAAAGTGGTAAAAAAGAAATCATATGAAGCTAGAATTTAACGCGATGCATATACGTCCTTGGTTATACGTACGCATGTATACATACATACATATATACATATACGTGATAAATCTCCCATACTCTCTTTTCTCTCCTCCTCATCATCAAACATAACAACCAACCCATACCAATCCACGTAATACCAAGGACCACGAACAACCAGACCTAAAAAAAGATTCATCAATCACGATTCCCAAAACTAGAAAAACGAAGAGAGAAAAAAAAAACTAAAAAAAAAATTGGTTCTAGACACCTGTCATGCTTACTTACCCGCTTCCATCCTTACCCGAGTCTTACATGCCCAAGCCCCCCCCCCCCTGCCTAGCTCCAGGGCTCCAGGGCTCCAGAGTTCCAGAGTTCCACAGCCCTAAGAAAGTTTAATCCATGATTACAAAAATACACACACACACACACACACATAGACACGGAGAGAGGGAGAGAAAGAGAGAGAGAGAGACAGAAAATCAATATCACGTCAGCGCCAAGACACAAGACGCGAGACACTAGATACGAGACACGAGACACGAGACATAAGACGCAGCAAAGCGCCGCAAGGAAAGAAAATTATTTCATTTTTTTTTAATTTTGCCAAGGGAGGGAGGTTACATGATTTTGAAAAAAAAATCAACTAGTGTAGAGGATTGCCATGTATGTATGTATATATGTATGTATGTATATATGTATGTATGTATATATATACATGTGTGTTAAATTTCAAATGTCAAATGTCAAGTGTAAATATATGCAATATTCATCCATTCATCCATTCATTCATTCATTCATGAATGTATGGATGAATGGATGGATGAAAGACCAAAATGACGCATTACAAAGATGATGATGATGATGACCAAGATGATGACGGGTTACTTGCCCTTGATGACTGGTTGGTTACCAATGATGACGGGCAACCCATGATGACGGGCACCCATGCTAAATATTTGCATGATATAACCATGAATGTAACGGCCGGATACCAGGGGTGGGGGGGGGGAAATGAGGTGAGAAGTTTAAATATTAACGGTGTTTGAAGAGTTTTTTTTCTTCTTGTTCTTGTTCTTGTTCTTCTTTTTCTTTTTTTTGCGGGTCTTTTATGTACTCTTTCTGTTTGGCGTCTTCGTTTTCGTTGAATTAGGTGCGACGAGGGGCGGGATTGTTTCTGCTATTGTTGGTGTTGTTGGTGGTGTTATGGGGAGGGTACTTAGTGGTGGGATTGGATAGGTCGGGCAGGTGTGGCGAGTCTGATGTATGTATGTATATATGTATATGCTTGTGTATAGATAAATAGATAGACGAGTGTATGTAGATCTATGTAAGAATGATGACAAAGTACATGTATGGAACAGGGATTCAGCTAGGTAACATGTACAGTACGTCGATTAGATGGTTACTAGGGAGGGATGTATACCATGAGATTATTGCTGGAAATACTACATAGAATACGTACAGAATATTTATTCGCTTTTTGTGATTACCCTGAATACATCCTCACACTTGCGGGTTGGTACAGACTGTAGGGTCGTAGTGCGTGGACGCGACTTGGGAATCCTTGGGTTGTTTTCGGCTGAGAGTGCAAAGTGCAGTGCAGTGCATATCGGTACGCACGTAAGTAGATGCAGATACTCTCATGTGGCTGGCGTCGGGTATATTCTTGGAGAAGGCGAGACTAAAGGTGGTGCAAAGTTAAATTTAGCAGCAGTTCATCTACGCAATGCGTATCTGAGTAATTAGGCTCCGAGTAAGTAGGCGTTTGGTCAAGGACTCCCTAGGACTGATGGTAGTAGTAGTCTCGGGGGGCTTGACAGGAATAGGGATATCCTTGCGTGTTGGAATGCTAGGTGTTGTGGTGGCTGTGGAGGTGCAATTCCGGGGTAGAGAATCTTTATGCTGCCAGTGTAAAGGGAGGGGGGGGGGGTGAGGCCAGCGTACGTGCATCAATGGATAATAGTGGAAGCCATGACTTATGGGCTTGTAGGCGACTTTGGTCAAGGCCGATTCATGTAGGTATAGAATGTAGTAGACGAGCAGGTGGCGCTAGATCTAGGCCATTGTAGGCCAGTGTTTAAGTTGGTTCAGGGTGAGCCAATGACTTTGTCTCGAGCCATATAGCTGCTTTGGGTTAGGGGCAAATTCAATAGTGAGATTTGGCAAAGTTACGGCAGCGTACCGAGGGGGCGGACAGCTTGGAGAGTGTTGGCAGTATCTTTGTGTAAATCAGTGGGCAGAGAGTAGCAAGGTGAAACGGCGGGCCAAGATTTGGCAAGGCTGAAACTGGCAGCGCTATTGAGCAAAAGCCTGCTGGAGAACCAAGGGCGGACATGGTCGTGGCTTTTGACTATTGAATGAAATGCTCGCTACGAGAGCCAAGAAGGGCGAGGTTGTACGGACGTATAAGTAATGAATGTCGGGTTGTTGAAGGGCGGAAAGCGATAGGTGAGTTAGCAGCATGGCGGGGGGGGGGCTAGGCTAGGCCGACTGGCACACGACATGGCAGATTGAGGTGGCGTGTGGAAGCGGGTCAGAAGGCGCACGGAAGCGTCTTTTTGCGGGAGAGGATTAAAGTCCGATGGTTCATGGAGAATGCGAGTGGGCGTGGACAGTGGCGGCGGATGCATGTGAGCGTGTGCGCAGTGGATGAGTGGACCAAGCCTGTTTTGATGTCATTGCATAAGATGGGGAGAAGGGCTGCACAGCGCACGGGCCAGGGCGCAGATTGGCCGCCTATTTCCGGCAACAGGGCAGAGTCGTGGGCGCCTTGTCCGAGGAGAGGCAACGGCAGCCGGGGGTGGATGTATGTATGTATGTATTGTATAGATGGGTAAGACGGAGATGGCCGGAGTGCAAGGGTCGAGGTATGGAGTCTGTATGGATGCATGTGGATGGGTACATGTATGGAGCAAAAGCTTCGAGGGCGTCAAGCACGGCGCCATGTGGGAAGAATAGGAGTCGGAGAGATGGAACGGCGGGCAGGACATGGAAGGCGTCGACAAGTGGAGGCGAGTGGTGAAACGGGCCATGGTTGGTTCGTGGATTAGGCCGACCAGCTGGCGCAACATGGCCCAGGGGAGAAGCGAGCCGCGCCATCTGGCCGTTTTGGGGCAGGGGAAGACAGGCCAGGTCGGGGCAGGACAGACGGCCGAGATGAAGATGGCCAGCCACGGGCGCGCGTCGCTGGCCCGGGGCGTGCTTAGTGTAGGCGTATTACGTATGCGCGTAATGTGTAGTGGTGGTGGTGGTGTGCTATAGGGAAGTAGAGCACACTTAGGTGTGGAGTCGAGTCCATGTATGCGTGCAGCCAGGCAAATGCAAAGGCGATGGGGGAGCGTGGTGGTGGACCGCGCGTGGTTCTTCAATGGGGGCGTGCCTGGGGGGAGGGAGTCAAGGTGGCTGTGCAGGCGTGCTGGTGGCGTTGAGCGGCTTCCATGAGGCGAGGGCGGCCGTGATTGGCTGGGGCGGTGATTGCGTCGACGACACCTCGCCGCGTGCACGCAGCCAGCACTGACGCCGTGCACATGGCCATGTCTGTCTGCGTCTATCCATCAGACGACGCCGGCGTGAGCGCCTCGCCACGGTCAGCAGCATCATATTACTGCTGCTCGATACGACGACGCCTACTGACTGGACACTGCCTGGGCGTACCTACACCTACTAGCACACGCTCGGCGGCGGCGCCAGGCCTGCGACAGGCCATCCGCTTGCAGCCAAGTCAGGGGCAGCCCGTGCGGATCGCTCGCCGCTTGTTGTTTTGGGCCCGCCCGCCGCTCCACCGCCGGCGCCCGCCCAGCCAATCAGCGCCGCCCCCAGCCGCTCATGGCCGCGAATGCCCCCCCCCCCTCCTCGACCGCCGCCCGCCCAAATCGGCAGCCAACCGCTCGCTCCCCAAAGCCCGCGCAAGCACGCTCCCATGGCTCGATATATCATGCCGCCCGCCCGCCCGCCCCTTGTCCTCCTGCACGCCTCTCTGATTCCTCGTTGTCGTCGTCGCGCGTCGAGGTCTCTTCGTACTCGCTTTTTTCTTTGCTGACCACTGGGCCCTTGTTCCCACGGTCGTTACGCTCATTTGCCTCCGTTTTTAGTTTCTCACTTCTCCCTTGTCCCTCCCTCTCCTTGACTGCTTCCCTCGGATCCCCCCGCCTGTCGTTCCTGCCCCCTTCATCCGCAAAGAGAAAGAAGAACTAAAAAAGAAGGCGCCGTGCCGTCCCCTTCCCCAACATGGCCAGCTTCAGCAAGCCTGCGAGCATCATGCCCATGCTCTTTGTCCTTTTGTCGCTCCTGCACTTCACTCTAGCCTTCCAGCATGGCCACCATGCCCGCGCATTCCCCGAACAATTCAGCGAGAAGCTCCCAAACCTCGAGGACCACATCAAGCGCCAGTCGTCCAGAGGCGTCATTGCTATTGTCGGAGTATGCAGCACCAACTACGACAAAACCACGGGCAAGTGCAACCCCGGAAGCACCGCTGCGCCCCGTCTCGAGCTTCGTCAGCTGGCCCAGAACACCGATGCCTACAACCTGTTCCTTCTCGGCATGCAGCGCTTCAAGGCAATGGACAGGAACGACCCCATGTCCTACTACGCCATCGCCTGTATCCACGGCCGTGCCTTCATCACCTGGAACACGTTTGGCCCCCTTGTGAACAAGGCTGGTTTCTGCCCCCACGTCATGACCATCTTTGCGAGTTGGCACAGAGCCTACAATGGTCTTGTCGAGGTATGTTGCGTCGCCTACTTGTGCAAGCTACCATCATCTAATTCTCGCCCAGCAAGCTTGGTACAGGTGCGTCCTCGAGATCGTCGAGGAGTTCCCCCCCAGCACAAGACAGCACTGGAGAGACATTGCCGTCAACCTCCGCATGCCCTATTTCGACTGGGCTCGCAATCTGCCCCAAAATGTTCCTACCGTCCCCACGCTGCTGCGCGACAAGACCATGCCCGTCAGGACGCCACGTGGCGACATGACGATTGAGAATCCCCTCTACAGTGCCAAGTTTGGCGCGTCCATGCCCCCGGAGATGGGTGGAACCCCATGGAACAACTTCCCCGAGACGCTGCGACGCCCCGTTGGCAACCCTACCCGCAGCAATAACAACGAGATGAACGGTCGTTTCGATACGATGCGCATCTCGCTGCGTGACCGTGTCTTTGCCCTCTTCGCCAGTAAGGCGCCCGTGGGCGCCGCTACCACGGCAGCCATTGGTGTCCGCACCGACATGAGCGGCAGCGGCGTCGACAGTTACGAGGCCATCCACGATGTCGTTCACAACTTGGCTGGCGGTGAGTCCGGTGGCTACATGTACTACTTGGACATTGCTGCTCATGATCCCCTTTTCTATCTCCACCACTTCAACATAGACCGTTTAACCCACATGCACCAAATGATCGTGCCCAACACGTGGATCCTCTCCGGTCCCGTATCGCATCCCATGGCCCAATGGCAACAGAATGAGATGAAGAACAAGTATAGCCCTCTGAAGCCATTCACAAAGGACATTGCGGGCAACTACTTCACTTCAGTCGACGTTATTGAGACGCGTACTCTTGGATACTACTACCCCGAGACCAGCGACAGGTCCTACCAACAGACGGTGCGCGCCATCAACCAGCTTTACGGTACCAACGGCAGGACCTTGAGCAAGCGCGACGGTGATTACACGCCCTCTGGCCAGTACCTTGGCCGTCCTATCAAGGAGGGCGAGTACCACACGGTTCTGTCCGTCATCGCCAGCAAGTACGCCATCGCCGGATCCTACACTATCCACTGCTTCGTTGGCAAGCCAGATAACTCGACGTCTAAATCCACATCCAACTCGACTGCCCCCTACCCCGTGCATAACTCAACCCTCTCGGCCAGCATCTCGGTTGGTGGCTTGAACATCTCGGCCAGCATCGGCTCGACCACCCCTGTCTACGGTTCCTACACGTCCGAAGTCATGTCGGACCCGGACGATGCTCCCTATGACCCATCTACCGACCCTACTCAGGCCCCCAACTTTGTTGGTTCCTTTGGTGTCCTCGGCGGCATGATGGCCGGTGGCGGCAATGCCTCTCAGCCCGTCATGACCAAGGGCTCTATCCCCTTGACTACGTGCCTGCAGGGTAAGGTTGCCTCTGGCGAGCTCCAGTCTCTGACTCCCGAGCACATTGAGGCCTATCTTCAGGAGAACCTCTATTACAAGGTCATCACCCAGGATGGCGAGGTTGACGCCGACTCCATCCCCCACCTGCATATCAGCGTTGCCTGCACCAAGGCCAAGCCTGCCGCCTCGGATGACGAGCTCCCTGACCTGAGCGCTCCTTACAAGGTCCTCCCCAAGGCCACTGCCCATCTCCCCGCCGGAAAGCCATTCACCTACGTCCCATCTGCTATGGACATTATTCTGCCCGAAGACCAGGGCTACGACCTTCCCAGCAGCGATGGCACCACGCCCAACCCCAGCCACGGCGTCTTCCCCAAGCCGGCCATGATGCCCTGGCAGGAGTCTGGCTACTGCTACAGCCAGCAGACGATTGAGTATGTCGATGAGGGAGGCAACTTCCTATACCGCCGAATGGGCTCTGGCGGCAATTAAATGTTGGCTTTTGGGCACAAGGCCAAGTGGCGGGGTTGGCTGCATCCAAGAGATTTTGGGGGGGTTTTCCTTTTCTTACATAATACCTTTTGAATGTGTATCGCCGCAACGAAAGATCTTCTTTCTTTTGTATAAATAACCTTTGATATCCAAACAAGGCCTGTTTTGTCGTTTCGGTCATGTACTGTTGGGTCATGCACTGTTCGATGCTCGCAGCATGTCACTATACCATTTCCTGGCGTTTTAGTGTCGCAATCCAACGCCATCTTCTCCTGAACGCCTTTGTGAATATGCGTCTAGTGTGTGTTATGTCTGTACCTCGACGCATGCTTGTTCTGATTGGCTCCCCAGTCATGGCTAGCGCTAGCGGGGGGCATTTGCACACTCGGCGCGAGCAGCACATCACGGCAGTAGCTCTCATCCTGCTTGACTATGATTGTCTATCTCTAAGTAGGCGCCCCTCTCTCCTCAGGTACCCCAAGGTAGGTCACGTATACACCATACCATTCACATCCACGTCATTGCCTGTGCGCGTGCATACCGACAATGCCCGTGCCAACATGGCGTGGCCCTCTCTCTCTCTCTCTCTCTCTCTCTCTCTCTCTATGCAATGGCCCTGCCACGGCCATGTCGTCGTCCATCACAATGCTAATTGCGGCCCATAGAAATTCACAGCACCTCTCCCTCCCCTCTTGGTCCACCATGCCTGCCATGCTGGATGATCCAAGCGCGCCAATCATATTCCGGACATCAGGCGACGTGCCCTATCCTCCGCCTGGCGGCCCTCTGCCTGTAGGCATTGCGCCGTGTCAAGTCACGTTGCGCGACCGTGTCACCACTGCCACCATCATACCCTTCTCTGCCCCAAACCAGGTGCCCCTCACGCTGCTAGCTTACCTATGCGACCAGCTTGGCCGCGAAATCGAAAAGGGTGACACGTACCCCATGGTCGAGCCACTCCCGCTCGACAACTTCGGCCCGTACTGGTTCGGAGTCTTCGGTGCTATTATGTTGCTGGGCGAGGTCCACGACGGCCGTGAGCTCCACGAAATGGCCCGGCGAGGCTGCGATTGGGAAAGGGAGTGTCTGGGCAGCTTTTACATCAAGCCAAACTACCCCGGACGCTCGAGTCATGTGTGCAATGGCGGCTTTCTCGTCACTGACGCCTCGCGGAATCGCGGCGTAGGTCGCCTGATGGGCGAGACATATCTCGACTGGGCCCCCAAACTGGTGCGTTGTTTGCACACACACACACACACACACACGGCCGACACTCGTATACGTTCGCGCTGACCCATGAACCCATGTGCAGGGCTACACGTATTCCGTGTTCAATCTTGTTTATGAAACAAACGTTGCTTCTTGTCGCATATGGGATGCGCTCGGCTTCAAGCGCATTGGCCGCGTCAAGGGATGCGGAAACCTCAAGTCGTATCCAGGCGAGCTCGTCGACGCCATCATCTATGGTCGCGATTTGGGCCAGGACGACGAGTTTGTGTCCGAGGAGCGCTTCGACAAGATTCGTTTCTATTTGAAGAATGGTAAATACCCCAACGGCGCCGATCGTGCAGAAAAAAGCCGCCTCCGTAGTGCAGCGACCCACTACAAACTCACCCTCGGTAATGATGATGAGCCGGAAAAGCTATGGCTCAAAGGCAAGGAAGTCATTGCAGATCCCAAGCAGCAATATGAAATTGCCCAGGACATCCACCATAAGCACCATGGCGGCATCAACAAGACGACTGCCGCCATAGCCGAGCTCTACCACTGGGTTCGTATCAAGGAAACTGTCAGCCAGGTCATAAGAAACTGCCCGGAGTGCAGCGAGATGAACAAGGGCCTGTCGGCTATGCGGCAAGGCCAGAATCAAGCTCGCGCCGAAGCTCGTTGCGCCTCGACGTTTTCGAGTACTACCGCCTCGCAAAAGCCGATGCCGCAAACGGCATCCACCAGCCTGACCCCCACGCCGCCTAGTTTGTTTTCCCCGTCTCAGCCTCCTGCTTCCGTCCCGTCGTCATCGTCGGATTCACCGTCTACCCAAATACATGTCGCTCAGCCTGCTCAACCTACACATGTATTCCACCACCACCACCAACAGCCATTCGACCTGCCTGTTGATCCCGTCCTGATGGATGGTATACAGTCATCCGTTCCTGCTACCGATATTGTTAGGCCCGTCGATCTACCTCCTACATCGCCTTTTCTCCCCATTGCTGCCTCGACTGTAAATACTCAGAACGAGACGACGTTAGGTTAGAAGCGTTGTCTAGCTATCGCAATGGATGAGGGGACAGGGTGTGGGAGTCATGTGACCGAGTGGTCTTTACCCGTATATCGCCGTGGTTCATGTATGTATGTATGTATGTATGTATGTATGTATGTATGTATGTATGTATGTATGTATGTATGTATAGGAGTGAGCGTAGCCAGCTGGATTCGTGCGTGTTGCAAGTAGCGCTTTACGTGCTTGAGGCAATGCATGTGTCATGTGGATATGCTTTTTTACGAAAAAAAGAATCAAAGAAAGAAAGAGAGTGTTATCATGATACAGCGGGTTTTGTGTTGCGAGATAAAGCAAGTTTGCATGTACATGTACATGTACCTGCACATGTGTCTGAGACAAGAAATAAGAAACAAAGCAATAATGATTCGCATCCTCTGCCGTTTTTGAGTTACATCCATATTTGTATGTGAATCATGTCGCTGCTCTTTTGTCTGCATTTTTTTTGGGGGGGGGGGTGGGGGGTTGGTTTGGTTGGTTTGATTGTCGCCCGAGTGTACGTACATGGAGATGTATGTGCGAGAAATGAAATGAAATGAAATGAAATGAGGAATAAGTATTGGATAATAATTGTTGCAGAGAGAAGAAAAAGATAAGGTATGTTGTATGTTGTATGTGTCTTTAGAGGTTATGTAGAGTATTTCTTACGCTAGACTACAGTATGGATAACGTACTTATGGCGATTTATGTGTTGTGGATGGGCTTTCTCTAGGGTCCTTTTTTGTGTGTGTGTGTGTGTGTGTGAGAGAGAGAGAGAGAGAGTAGAGTCATGCGGGAATAAAATAGTGCTCATAAGGGTGAAGCTCGAGTTGATTACCAGGTGCAAAGCGGTATTGTAGGTTATCCTAAGGAGTCGAGGTGTGGTTTACCAGCGAAGATTTCGGGTTTTGCGAAAGAGAGGGTTGTGATGCGTGTCTTTATGTGGGGTTCCTTTTCTTAGTGTTTCTTTCGGTTTGGTCACCATGCATGTGAGGGTTCGTTGTATCATTCATGGTAGATGGGTAAGTGCGTTGAGTGGGCGAGTCAATGGGCTAGCAAGTCGAGAGACAAATTGTATTGAGAATCCCAAAGTCGAGGAACAAGTGTGCAATGTGTGTCTGGAAATAACAAATATGGCAGTGTGATTGCGTACATAGAAGCTACTTGATTATCTGGCTGATACTTGTTTTCTTGCGTCTCTACCTTACTTCAATTGCACGAACTAAATGCACTACTTACACTTCTACCATGATTGCTAAAGGCCCAACTCAACCAATCTGCCCAACCTGACTGCCCTATCGCTACCCATATTTCTCGTGCATCAAACACCTATCCCTCAAACAAGCCCCACTCGTTGACTTGGAAACTCTCCAGCACCTTCGCCCTGATGCCATTGGAATCAAGCATAAGCGGAGTCTCGGCACCTGGCTGGGCTGGCGCTGCATATTCGCCTGGGTAGTGTGGCGTATTGATGCTTATCATGAGCTGTTGTGAAATCAATATTAGAATGTATTCATGTGAGAGTGGTAATGAGCAAGTGGGAAAGCAATGCTTGTAAGAGTTGAAGGTAGAAGTAGGGCAAAGAAGAAGAAACTTACATCAGTACCTTGTTCTTTGAGTCTGAGAAGAACAAGCTGAATATACGTATACTCTGGCGTTTTGCGGTTTGGCCGTGGGGGCGATGAAGTTGATGTTGGCGACGGGGGCGTTTGGATGAATGACAAGCCCAGGGCGGGGAGTTCAGGACTGTGACGAGCATTAGTATTTTTCTTTTGTTCCTTTCGTCTATCGTTTATTTGCTACATCATCCAACGTTTAAAACAGTCTAGCAGCTCAAAAAATGTGTTGGAAATAACTTACGGCATCAGCTTCATGCACACCTTCTCCTGCGCAATCACGCTCGTTGCGTCGCCTGTTCCATCGACGAGATCCGCAAAGTGATATTGCAGCGCCTCGTCATCACTGGGCTTGTCGACGTACTCGAGTATCTCGACGACAATGCTCGTGTAGCCATTGGTGTCGAGGTAGACTTCTTGGTGGTCGGGGATTTGGCGAATGTTGCTGTGGGCTGTTAGATGTGTCACGTGACGTTTCCGAGGGTATGCTGTAAGAGGTGTCGCAAGATATGTTTAATGCGGCTCTAGCACAGGCGGGTATAGGCTGGGAATATGTGCATGCGACTTACGATGCATCGGCAAAGTTGGAGGGGAGATCCATGGTGATTGCGCCACCATAGAGGGGTGTATTTTTGAACTCCATGTTTGGTACGTGTGTTTCTGAAGTGTGTTGATCTGTGGCAGTGTGATTTCTAGTGTTGGCAATTTCCCAAGCACTAGCGCTGTAGGCCTGGTTTTTATGTCGGTGGGTTGATGTTTGTGTTGGTGCAAAAGGCATTTAGGTAGCTAGCAGACAGCTCCAGGCACCGCGCGGGATGGGTGCCTAGGGGAGCCTGGCAGAGTTTGCACCGAAGGTGGGAAGTTGCACTGAAGATGTTCTGCATATCCTTTGTTATATAGTCAATAGTGTATTTGTATGCAATCTTGCATTTGCAAGCTTTGGAAATTCAGATTGAGATTTACAAAGACCGCACAAAACCACAGATGGCTGCGGGACTGAGTATGATTGAAATTTGGGTATCGTATAACTTTTGACACCCTCCCTGTGTCGATTTCCATTTTGAACGCCGTGCAATGCATGTCTCTCTTCTATCCTAATGCGTTGTTCCAGCTAAAGGCATATTCCAGCCATTGCTCTATTTCCTCAGATACGCTTCTCTCCCGTCAAAACCATGCGCATGATGTCAGGCCATGCGACTTGCTCAGCCGGACGCTGCAAGCTGATCCACCTCCATGGGCGCTGCGGGTATGGTGGTGCGGGTTCCGTTGTTGGTGGTGAGGCCTATGGCAGCCTCTGCTTCTTTCTGCGAATACGGCTCCTCGCGCAATTGCTTCACTCTGCGGATTGTTAGCCTCTGCGCATACAGCGGCATTGCGACGTGCTACCTCCGCTTGTGGACCTTGCCCTTCTGGTGGGCGGCGAGGTTGGCGTCGCTCTCAAAAAACTTTGCGCATTCCTTGCAGTAGTGCTGGCCCAGGCCGGGCAGGTCCTCTATGGGCTTTTCATTCTTGAAGGCGGCCAGATGCTTGTCGTCGCGCAGGTCGGCGTGGATCTGGTCCAGGTCGCGCGTGTAGCGGCGCGTCTTCTTCTTGGAGTCCTGTCCGCGTATGGCTGGCATGGCGAGGCGAGGGGGCTGAGGGAGGGGAGCTGGATCCGCGGCCGTCGGTTATCCGTGATGAATCGTCGCAGTCGGGTGCGGGAAAGTTTGGTTGTGGGGACAGCCGCCAGCCGGGGCCCGTGCGCGAGTCTGCAGGTCAAAAAGGCCTGAGGCGCTAGGCCCAAAGCGGCACGTGGAGAGGGTGCTGCTGCTCCAGACGCCAAATTTGCTGCGTCTGCAGGCCTGGGGCGACTCGGCAGCCGACTTGTTGGGCCGGAAAAGTCGCTCACCAGGCCCAGAGGACACATGTGCATGTCCAGTGTGCAGTGTGCATGCACATGTCCTGCCCAGCACACGGCGGCGAGTGCGAGTGATTCGCAATGCAACGCAACGGGCGTGGGCGTGGGCGCGGGGGAGTCGGCTAACGGGAGTCGCAGTCGCATATGACGTCTGAGGGAACGCCCATGCCACCGCAGACAGACACGCACGCACAACACGCCCACGCAACACGCCCACGCCTACGCACACACACACTCTCTCTCTCATACAAGGCCCAATAAAATAGACCAGCCCAGTGCCAGGCGGCACGCACACACGCAGCACGCCCTGGTTCGAGTGCACAATTGCGTCCTGATTACACCCGCCCCCCAGCACGTGAAACGGGCCAGCGGGAAGGCGCTGCCCACTGCCGTCCTGTTTTTGCTCTGGCGCCGAGGTATTCCGCACCGCGCTGGGGCTAGACGAGCCAATCAGCGCGCGCGTGATGGCTATTAGTTATCGCCCAACTTGCGGCAGCTTTGAGACCTTATTTTCCTCAGCTCCCTCCCTCCCTCCTCTCTCCACTCCCATTCTCCTGCAACCCTCACCATGCAGAAGTTCTCCAGGCTCGGCCGCCTGGGCCAGAGCCTTGCTTCGCGCAGGCAATTGGCCACCGTCAGCGATGCTCCCCTCTCCCGCAAGGTCGAGATGACCAACTGGGAAAAGGGCCACTACATCAACTACAAGAAGATGAGCGAGAACCTGGGCATTGTCCGCTCGCGCCTCAACCGCCCCCTTACCTTTGCCGAGAAGATTCTCTACTCCCACTTGGACGACCCCCACGGCCAAGAGATCGAGCGCGGCGCCAGCTACCTCAAGCTCCGCCCCGACCGTGTCGCCTGCCAGGATGCCACCGCCCAGATGGCCATCCTCCAGTTCATGTCCGCCGGCATGCCCTCGGTTGCCACTCCCACCACCGTCCACTGCGACCATCTCATCGAGGCCCAGGTTGGTGGTGAGAAGGATCTGGCCCGCGCCAACGACATCAACAAGGAGGTCTACGACTTCCTGTCCACCTCGTGCGCAAAGTACAACATTGGTTTCTGGAAGCCCGGCTCTGGTATCATCCACCAGATTGTGTTGGAGAACTACGCTTTCCCTGGTGCGCTCCTCATTGGTACCGACTCGCACACTCCCAACGCCGGCGGTCTGGGTATGGCCGCCATTGGTGTTGGTGGTGCCGACGCTGTCGACGTCATGGCCGGTCTTCCTTGGGAGCTCAAGGCCCCCAAGGTCATTGGTGTTAAGCTGACTGGCCAGATGTCTGGCTGGACTGCTCCCAAGGGTACGTTTTCCCAATTTCCCCCCATAAGCGGGGTAACATGCGCTAACCGCAAGCCACAGACATTATCCTCAAGGTCGCCGGTATCCTCACCGTCAAGGGTGGAACTGGCGCTATTGTCGAATACCACGGCCCCGGTACCGAGAGCCTGTCTTGCACTGGTATGGCTACCATCTGCAACATGGGTGCCGAGATTGGTGCCACGACCTCGGTCTTCCCCTTCAACGACCGCATGTACGACTACCTCGCTGCTACCAAGCGTAGCCAGATTGGTGACTTTGCTCGCGAGTACGCTCAGGAGCTCCGTGAGGATGAGGGCGCCGAATACGACGAGCTCATCGAGATCAACCTCTCTGAGCTCGAGCCCCACATCAACGGTCCCTTCACACCCGATCTAGCCACACCCATTAGCAAGTTCAAGGAGGCTGTCAAGGCCAACAAGTGGCCCGAAGAGCTCAAGGTCGGTCTGATCGGTTCCTGCACAAACTCTTCCTACGAGGACATGACCCGTGCTGCCTCCATCGCCGAGGACGCCATGGCCCACGGCCTCAAGGCCAAGTCTCTCTTCACTGTCACCCCCGGTTCCGAGCAGATTCGCGCCACCATTGAGCGCGATGGCCAGCTCAAGACCTTTGAGGAGTTTGGTGGTATGGTTCTCGCCAACGCTTGCGGTCCTTGCATTGGTCAGGTATGTCGATTCACCAAAGCTTTTTCATGCATTTTCTGACATGCGAACAGTGGGACAGAAAGGATGTGAAGAAGGGCGAGGCCAACTCGATCATCTCGTCTTACAACCGTAACTTCACTGGCCGTAATGACGCCAACCCCGCCACCCACTCTTTCGTCACCTCCCCGGACCTGGTTGTCGCCATGACTATTGCTGGAACTTTGAGCTTCAACCCTTTGGTTGACGAGCTGCAGGGAGCGGACGGCAAGAAGTTCAAGCTCAAGGAGCCCACTGGTCTGGGTCTCCCCACCCGGGGCTACGACCCTGGCCGGGACACATACCAGGCTCCTCCTCAGGACCGCTCTTCCGTCCAGGTCGCCGTCTCTCCCACCTCCGACCGTCTCCAGCTTCTGTCTCCTTTCGAGGCATGGAACGGCTCTGACTTCAAGGACCTCCCCATTCTCATCAAGTGCCAGGGCAAGACGACCACTGACCACATCTCCATGGCTGGCCCCTGGTTGAAGTACCGTGGACACTTGGACAACATCTCCAACAACATGCTGATTGGTGCCATCAACGCCGAGAACGGCGAGGCCAACAAGGTCAAGAACTCTCTTAACGGCGAATACGGCGCGGTTCCCGACGTTGCCCGTGACTACAAGAAGAACGGCATCAAGTGGGTTGTCGTTGGTGACTGGAACTACGGCGAGGGTTCTTCCCGTGAGCACGCTGCGCTTGAGCCCAGGCACTTGGGTGGCGCTGCCATCATCACCCGCTCCTTCGCTCGTATCCACGAGACCAACCTGAAGAAGCAGGGTATGCTTCCTCTCACTTTCTCCGACCCTGCCGACTACGAGAAGATCGGCCCCAACGACAAGGTCGACCTGGCCTGCACTGAGCTTGCTCCCGGCAAGCCCTTTACCATGACCGTCCACCCCGCTGACGGCAGCAAGGCCTTCGAGGTCAAGCTCTCCCACACCTTCAACGAGGGCCAGATTGAATGGTTCAAGAACGGCAGCGCTCTTAACACCATGGCCAAGGCTGCCAAGCAGTAAATGCTCTGAAGGAAATCTGGACAAACACAAAATCACCACTGGTGATGTAAATACAGCAGGACGGAATGCCCCGCGAAACCCCAAGGGTTGGGGAGAGAAAAGTCCGCCTCCGCATGTATCAGGTGGATGATGATGAGAGGACTGGACGCTTCCGAGAAGTAACATTGGAAGCTTTCGTTATCTGTGTACTAGGCTCAATGAGGTTGAGTTTGCTTGTATTTGTGACGGTTAGCATGCAATGTATGAATGATTTTCGTTGTTAACGTTGGCTCATGGAATTGTGACCTTTGACTGACTGTTTGGTTTGGAAAAGCTGTTGGCCTTCGCATGCGTCGACGCAAACATGTGAAATGTCCTTCGGCCGTTTGCGGTCTCGGAATGCTTCGGAACTGTGTTGGGCAAAGCGGGGCTAGGTCCATGCAGCGGCGGCACCCTGGTTCCGACCAGTCGCTGGGGCAACCATTGACAAACACTGGTGACATGAATGTCAACGGCCCGCCATCCATGCGACAACATCATTCTTGAGCCAATAATTCACTCAGAGCTTTGAATATCCCTACACATATACTACATAGTTGGATACTGCCAATATGGCGCGTCTACGCAAACCGAGTCCAAATGCACCAACCATCTTTATGCCCCCTAGCGACACGAGCGCGACACGATCCAGTCCCCGGAAGGCTACCTTGCGATATGCATCGTTCCAGGAAGACGATACCTCAATGCTGGTACCAAAGGCCTCGAGCCGCGCGTTGCGGGACATCAGTTTATCGCAAGATCTGGAGAACTCGTTCCCAGCAACAAAGTCAGCCACGCCCAAAGACGCGCTCACCCCGCGCAAGCAACGCGTACTACGGCCGGTCGAGAGCAACAGCCGTCTTCTTCGTAAGCTAAGTGACGAGAGCCTCGCGAGTCCTGAGAAGAAGCAGAAAGAAAGGAGAGAACGCAGTGGCACCGTCGACATGGATGTGGACAAGAGAAAGAGATTGCGATATGCCACAACCCTAGCTAGGACCATGGCAAACAAGCAAGGGAAGAATAGCAGGATAGATGTTGTTGGAGAAGACGAAGCCCATGAGGCTGCCCAGAGGTCAGGGACCAAGGGTCCTTTGAAGAAGACTGATGAGATGGAAGTCGATGTGGAAGAGGCCGACGAAGCCGAGACTAGCCTGTGGTGTGGCGATGAAGACGCCGAAACACCAGAAGAGGTTGCTGAACCAGTCATCGAGATAAGCGATGATGACGATGAGGAAGAAGAGCCCGTCATGACGGCCCAGAGAAGAGGTCGACAACCGCAGGCCCGGCGGGTAGTCTCTGACAGCGAGGAAGACGAAAGTTACACTAGCTCCCCGCGAGCTGTCAACCACACTCGTCGGCCGTCTTTCAAGATTCCGGATCTCAAACCGGTAAAGTTGTCTGCCCAACAACCAGCTGACCTGGTTTCCATGCGCCCACCACACCGGAAAGGACACAGCACGATATCAAATTGGGCGCAGGACGTCATCGATCTTGCAGACTCGCCTGAGCCCCCTTCATCGTTTATTCTTGCAGAGCCAACCCATGTCCGATCAAGCTCTTTTGCGGCGTCATCTCGTCCTACAAGCTCTGCCTCGAATGCGCAGCTCGCTATTCTTACATATTCACCAACGCCCACTAAAAGGCGATCACCGTGCAAAGCTCCACCTATCGAACGTCCAGGTACACCTCCTTTTGCACCTTCTAGTCCCACCAAACTCGTTTCTCCTTCAAAGAAGAAGCCTACTATTCCAAGAGCCTCGCATATAGACGGGCGACCCAGCCTGGATGCATTCTGGAACCCCATGGCAGTCAATGAGTGGAACGAGCATCATTCTCCAGCAAAGCCGATTGTATCACCCAAGAAGCAAAAATGGCGCGAGGACATTGTCAAGATGATGGAAGGCGTAGCTTTGGAGGACAGCAGTGATGAAAGCTATCACAGTGCCGTAGAAAGTCCAAAGAAGAAGCCTGCCAAACGAAACACAACCAAGCAGAAGACACCAGACGTTGACCCAGCACCGACTGTCAAGCAGATCCGCGAGCAGCGCAAGGCCTTTTCTGAGACCAAGCATGCCATGGCCGAGGCGTTCTTGACGGAGCTCGACACCACCATCGCCTCAGGTCGCATCCACGAACTATCAAAGTCAACAGGCGGCATAAAGCTCGTCTGGTCCAAGACACTCAAAACAACAGCCGGTCGCGCGAACTGGCGTAGAGAGCAAATTCGCATCCGGAACGGCTCGCAAGCAACAGATGTGCGAACTGAAATTCGACACCACTGCTCGATTGAGCTTGCCGAAAAGGTCATCGACGATGAGGAACGCCTCTACAACGTGCTAGCACACGAATTCTGCCATCTGACCACGTTCATGATTAGTGAAGTACGCAACAACCCACACGGAGCCGAGTTCAAGGCCTGGGGCCGCAAAGCAACCGCTGCCTTTGGTGGCAGCAAGGGCGTTGAAGTCACCACCAAACACTCGTACCAGATCGAATACAAGTATATCTGGGAATGCGTTCTGTGCGGCTACGAATTCAAGCGCCACTCCAAGTCTGTGGATCCCACACGCCACTCGTGCGGGAAGTGCAAAGGAAGGCTTGTGCAGACAAAACCCAAACCGCGCGGCACTGCCGGTGGCGCTGGAGCGGCGGCTGTAGGACAAGACGGCAAAAGGGAAAAGAGCGAGTACCAAGTCTTTGTCAAGGCAAACTTTGCGAGGGTCAAGAAGGAGCTTGAGGCCCAAGGCAAGGATACACAAATGGGCAAGGTGATGGAGGCTGTGGCGAGGGAGTACAGAGAGAGAAAAGAGGTAAAGGCGAAGGAGGTTGGGGAGCTGGAGGCTCAGCTGCATGGGCTAAAGATTTAGGCGCGAAGTTTTCCCTTTTTGGTCTGCTTGACGACAACATTACGATTATATTATGATTGTGTTTGCGAGTACTATAACATTGCATGTACGCGAGAATAACACATTCGCCGTGTTTGTTTTCTCATGTCGATAACCCGCAAAGGAGAGGTGGTGAGAGTCCTGATGCCAAGGCGTTGGCGTTGTTGTGAGGTGAAAGCGCATGCTAAGCCACTCTGCCTTACTTTCACCAAGCAAAACACCTCTGCCTGACCGCGAACAATGGGATCCTCAGGTTGATGTTCCGTATAGGATTGACCACGTGATGGCTGCTGTGCAAGGCTGACGCGACCATGGCGCGTGCATTACTGAGGCGTACGCGTGTTAGCCTCGCCGACAACTCTATCTTTTCCAACCAGCTTTCTTCACCAACCGTCTTTGCGAGCGCCTGGCGTTCGGCCTTATTTATTAGGGTTCCGTGGTGAGAGGCGGAGTCCAATGCATGCCTTGGGTCAATCGTGGTCTCAGGTGGTTCGTTTATATTTCTAAAGGGAGCAGCAACCCCGCTGCTATGAACGCCTCCTGCGCCTCGCTTGCAAGCTTATACATACCTGCAACTTCACCCATACGATACGCCTCTCCCTTGACTTGATCCCTGAACAACCTTGCCCTGCGATTCTCACCACCATGGCCTACTACCACCCGCCACCAATAGTCACACCTCCACCAGTCCCTTACCAAGGGCCTCCACCATTACCATTGGAGTGCCCCCCCGGCAACGATTATCCAACCGAGTTGTTTAGCTTTCTGGAGCCGGCAGCGACCCTGAAGAAACATGGATATGTCATGGACCCGCTCACAGATGAGGAAATCAAACAGAAAGCTAAATGCAGACACTGTAACCAGAGTGCGTACATGATGTGGCATTGCAGGACCGTGTAATGGGCGATACTGACCCCATGACAGCAATCATGAATCTAACAAAGCATCTGCAAAAGACACTCCAGTACCGCCTCCATAATCCGACCCCGCCTCCGCCAGCAACAGCGTACGATCCGTTGCCCACTCTGTTGATGCCCGTGGGAAGCGGCTGCTATGAAGCAAAGCAATGCACAGCGCCATGTAATTATCACCCAGGAGGGTTTGACAAGGGTGCAAGGGTAAATGCAGTATTAGCAGTTCTTCAAAGAATCTCACTAAAATCCCCTAGTGCTTCAATTGCTGCGGCTACACTTTGGCCGAAGCCAAGTGGTGTGTCACCAACAACATGCACGAGATACGTGACTATGGGCAGCGTGAACTTGAAGATTGCTATCAGTTTCACATGACCCCCTCTGTCTTCAATATAAACAACCTCTCGCTCCGCGCTGCCGTTGCCATCGACTGCGAAATGGGCACGGCCGTCACAGGCGACTCTGAGCTCATCCGCCTAACCGCCATCGACTATCTCACGGGCGAGGTGCTCATCAACAACCTCGTTCAGCCCGACCAACCCATGCTGCATCTCAACACCAGGTTCTCGGGCGTCACGTTTCCGCAGCTCAACGAAGCCAAGAAGAAGAAGACGTGTTTGATGGGCAAGGCTGGCGCAAGACACGCCTTGTGGAGATTTGTGGGCCCTTATACTGCGCTCGTGGGCCATGGCGTGAACAATGACCTTCGGGCGCTGCGTTGGATCCACCCGACAGTGATAGACTCATTTATCATTGAGTGGAATATCATTCAGGAGAAGAAGGCTGCCGAAGAGGCTGTCGCTGTCGCTGCCGCCGCCGCTGCGGCAACGATTCCCGTCCCAGCGCAAGAGCCCGAGCAGCAGATACAGCAGCTGGCAACGTCTCTGGAAAAGGCATCTCTCGCGGCCGAGGATGTCGGCGGTGTCCCGCTTCCCGAGGAAACGACCGAAGAGCCCGCTGAGGCGGCGGAAGCTCAGCCGAAGAAGAAAGAGAAGAAGCCGAAGGGGTCGGGAGACCTGTCGCTCAAGACGCTGGTGAAGAAGTATCTTGGGAGGGAAATTCAAATGCAGGGGAACAAGGGCCATGATAGCTTTGAGGATGCGCTTGCGGCGAGGGATCTGGTGCATTGTATGGTGATGAAGAAGCTTGCCGAGAAGTAGGGTACGGGTACGGGGCTACGAAAGAGACGCCGGGAATAGTCGTTTGAAGGGGGGAGAGGGATAGTGGATTGGTGTTTTTCCTTTTGCTTTGGCGAAATCTGGATTTCGTGCAAGACATGTTTTACGCTCTCTTTGGAGTGGCCCTAACAACTGGTTTCTTCTCTGCCTAGCCCTTGCGTACTCTGACTTGCACATCATCCAGCAACGCCCTGTAATCCTGCGGCCCATAGCCACTCATCCACTCTCTCGCCTCGCTGCCTTTTCTGCGTCCCTGCAGCCCCAGATCGCCCAGCAAAACATCGAAATAAGGCAAACCGTCAAACACCAGATCCGGAAGCACATGCCCGTAGCTCATGGCGCCGCGGAGCACGCAATACTGCGAGTCGCGATACGTCTGTTGGACAACGGCAGTCTGCGACTCGGGCAACGCCATGGTGCCATCCAGATACGAAGCTATCCACATGGACTGGATGTACGCACAGGGAAACGTACCGAGACAATGCAGGGCGCCTGCGAATGCTATGCTTCTGTCCTGCAGGTACGCCGGAGGCGCAATAAAGCGGTATAAACGGTACGGCTGAATTTTCCCACACGGATCCTGCTGGCGAGCGTACCGAAGTGACGCATCGGGATGAGCAACGCGGCTTGTGTCTCTTTCCTTGAGGTAGGGAAATGCGTGGTACAACGTCTTCTCCGCCTCGTGTATGAGAGACTCTTCTTTTGGCGTCAGCGGAAGCGACGACGGCACGCCGAGCTGTTTTTGCAGCGCGGGCGGCTCAAACGTAAACGTGAGTGCTTTCTGCCAGCCTGTGGCGCAGACGACCGCATCGGCGTGTAGGACTGTGCCCGATTTGAGCCGGACTTGTTTTTCCGCCTCGAGAGCGTTAATGTCGTCGACGAGAACCTTGATGGTGCCGCTGCGCACGAGCTCGAAGAAGCTGGTGGGGTAATTGTGAATGGACAGGGCGTTTCCGACTTCAAAGGCGCTGCGCCATGGGCGCAGTTTCTTCGTCTCGGGATGCGCGTCGAGGCCGTTGAGTGCAATAGCGTCTTCGCTGAGGACGTGCCAGAATAGGGGTACGATTTTCCGGCCGAGCCAAGTGCCGTGGAAAAAGGAGCGCAGCCAGCCTTCCAGGCCCGTGGTGCGCGCCCAGGGACAAGGCGACAGGAAGCCGAAGAATCGGGTGTGAACGAGTTTCTCGAGCCATAGTCCAAATGGAGTCACGTGGCTGGGGGTCATCCATACGGGTCCATTGCCATCTGGTCGGATTAAAAGGGTTGCTGTTGACGAGGGCTGTGTGGCACAGGCGTATGCGACGTCCCAGGCGGATTTCCCCGAGCCAACGACTACAGTGTGTGTATTTGGCCTGGCAACGTGCGAGTAGTATGTTGGAAAGTCTCTGGCGTGCATGACTGGCGACTGAAAGGTTGCAGAGGTGGGATAGTCGGGGAGCAAAGCCTTGTTTGTATTGCCTACTGCGATGACGAGTTTCTTCGCCCTAATGTCGAATACTTGAGATGAAGATGCACAGTGCAATATCCAGCATTTGCTGTCCTCGTCTTTCTCGATCACCTCGACCTTTGTCTGCAAGCGGAGGAACTGCTTGATGTCGGCCCATTCGGCAAAAGCACAAAGGTACTCGAACATCTTCCGTGCTTCAAGATGCTCTCCCCTCTTTACGCCGAATCTCTTTTCGTCCATGGGGAAATCCGGGTGTTCGAACATGCCCCACAGGTTGTTGGTTCTTAGACCTGGGAAAACGCGCTCAGGAGCCCACGGCCCGCCGATTGAGGGCGCAGAGTCGAGAATGAGCATTTTCGCTGAGGGGTGCAACCGGTGATAGGTATGGGCGGTTGTGAGCCCCCAGAGGCCTGCGCCTATAATCACAAGATCTGCTTCTTCCATTGTGGTGATGTGAAGTGCAGAGAAATCCTGCTGTGCTTGCTATCTATTGATGGTCTGTAAGAGAGGTCTTGCGACAGCAGGAAGATTGAAAGGTCTGGGAAGATTCGGGCCACATGACAGTTTGCCAACGGACTCATCTTATTGCTACCTAAATAGCTGGGTTATCAAGACAAGGGTACATTGGGCGCCTGATAGGTTTTTTTATTGGCGCTTACAAGCGAGGTAACAAGACTATGTAAGCTGCTGTTTTTGGAAAGCTGAACGTGCTGCCTTACTCGTGGTGGTTGCATGAATCGTCAAATTCGTGGGCGACTTTCTGGTAGTCTTTCGGCCTCTGATAAGCTGGAGTTTGGTGTTACTGTAGATCGCCTGCTTCTGTCGATTTAAAACAAGTTATTGGCTATCAAAAGCCAAGCTGCAATGTAGTACTTCATCACTGGTTCCTCACAGTACGTCTACTACCTGAAATCACAATTTCGCCTTTACGGAACCGACACCAGCCTTGACCTGGACGGTGCCGGATGAATTGGTGTCGACCATGACGACAACTCCTTCCGAGGCAGTGTTGTCTTGCTTCAGGGCTATCTCCTGACAGTCTTCATTGCCGACATCGTTGGCAAACTGTACGACCACAAAGTCAATGGGCCGATCTCCAATGACTATCATAGGAGCGTGCCATGTGCCGGCTCCGTATGTCACAGCTTGAGCTCCGGTCGCAACAAAGGCGCGAAGGTTCTTGAGATCTGGCAGGCCGGGCCCTTTGGGTCGTGCTGACGGATGCAGTCGAGAGAACTGGCTCGGACCAGGCGTCTTTTCGTTGGTAAAGGGACTGGGCCGCGCTCGCGCGAATATGTCCATGACGCTCTTCTTGCGCTCAATGTGTGGTGTGGGGTATGGAGGCGGTCTTCCTGTACGACGACTTGAGGCGCTGGCAGGAAGGGTGGGCGCGACTATGACCAGATACTGCGTGTGCTTGTCTTGTTGTGACAAGCCCATGGGTATGAATGTCTGTGTGGTAAAAGGGTGGCGCTCTAGGATAGTAATGTCCAGCAGCTGCTTTTCAAAGCGGCCGTTTTCATCCTCGTCGTCGTCCTCGTCCAGGTCGAGGTCGCCCCAGGAGCTGGGCATGCTGATGCTCGGCTCGTGGGGTCGCAGGTCCCGGGGCGCGCAGACAAACATGTTCATGACCGCTCTGGCCGGCTTCTTGCTCGGCGCAAGGCTGTACAGGTTGGACATGTGGGTGACATCGAGGTACTTGGTCGCGGAGCCCTGATTGGCGGAGACGGCCTCGGGCGCCTGCACGCGGTCTGGGACGGGGAGCTTCGCTGAGGGCGACGTGGTGGGATTCTCAATGACGGTGCCGAACTGGGCAAAGGCAGTTGGCGTGAGCAGCTCTATGGGGATGCGGATGGCGGGGGCGGGCATGGACGTAGGCATGTTTGCGATGGGCCGCCTGGACGGTGAGGGACGGGGGCTGCAGTGAGCATGTGGAGTTGCTGGAGCTCGGCGGCAGCTCGTGAAAGGGCGCTACGGCCGCGATAACGATAAGACATGGGTTTCTTCTCTGCATATTCGCATGTGCCTGGCAGACGAGGCCACACACGGCATCCAGACATTGTGGTTTTGGATGCCGGCACAATCTCATGGTGGGGTTCTCTTGTGCTATGGCCGGCGGCGTCCATGCGCAAAAAAAGCAATTCTCCCCTGGGGCGAGATGCGACATTGCAACCGGGCTGGCCAGCCATACAGTAAGTACACACACACACACACTTGGGGCGGGCTGCAGATCATTGCGCCGCGCATCCTTCTGCGCAGGCGACACAAAGCCCAATCTAGAGTAGAATGCAAAATGCCGTCCAGACAAGATTGCCGACCCCAGAGAGCGTGCGACCACGGCGACGCCCGCATCCCGTCCCAGCCAGCAGTGGCAGCGTGAGGGCGAGAGCAAGCGTGAGCCCAGCGAGGCTGATGTCACAGAGTCCAGCCAAAACGCCAACGGCCCGCATTTTCCCCGAGCACTAGCGCGCATGCCCACGGATTTCTTTCTCGACGGCCTGCCTCCATCACTCCCTCCTGCCTCGCTCCGCCATACGGTCTCCCTTCAATTCCCCGACCCGTGTTCCCTTTCCTCTTCTCCATCCACCCGTTGCCGCTGCGTGCGCCCAAAGTCTGCCCTTGGCCCTCCAGAGCCCCAGAAACTACGTCACCCTCCCCCCCCCCCAACCAAACCCACACCCGACGTGTTCCTGTCTTAGCCTTAGCCAGATCGCCAGCACATCACATCCGCTCAGGCACTTGAGCCAGACTTCGCGACCACCAGCACCTTGCCCCACGCCCGCTCTGGACACCTTCCTGTGACTTTGACTAGTTATCATGGCTGTCCCTACTCAGTTGGCTTGTATGTGCGCCACAAAGGACAGCAACACGCTGTGCGTTGAAACACGCTAACTCGCCGACTCGCAGACCGTTCTGCAAAGGGCATCGGGCTCTTCAACGCTGCGCCCGTCTACGAGGCGCTTCCGGGATTCGTGCGCCCAGAGGGCAACCTTCGCTGCTGCGCCTACTCGCCAGACAGCAAGTATTTCGCTTGGGCGACACCTGAACAGTAAGCGTCTACAAGACACCACAGACGTCATAGATGGGCCTCTCAGGGCAGAGGGCTGAAAGATGGCATGTTGGTAAGACGACCACGAGAGTCTCTCGAGGAATTGTCCTCGTGTGCCAACGCTTCGTCATCCTTTGAAGCCCCATCTGTGCGCTTGTCTGGGGCCAGCCCAGCTACGCCAGCATACTGACCTCGCCAGGGTCTCAGTCATTGACGCCTCGGTCGGCCACGTTGTCACTACGCTCCCCACACCCAACGTCTACGAGCTCGGCTTCTCCCCGCTCGGCACATACCTCATAACATGGCAGCGTCCCTCCAAGGACGACGACGGCAATGCGACAAAGAACCTCAGGGTCTGGAGGACGCTCTCCGACGAAGCCGAAGATGACGGATCGCGGGCAGTGATCGGCGAATACGTCCAGAAGAACCAGAACGGCTGGAACCTGCAGTACACCTCTGACGAGAAGTTCTGTGCCCGCGTTGTGACAAACGAGGTGCAGTTCTTCCAGTCAAACGATCTGCGCAACCCCTGGAACAAGCTCCGTGTCGAGGGCGTGACAGAGATGGCTTTGTCGCCCGGCAAGAACCATTCAGTTGCTGTTTTTGTGCCGGAGCGCAAGGGCATGCCCGCGGCCGTCAAGGTGTTTGCGGTGCCCCAGTTCAGTCAGCCAGTCTCGCAGAAGACGTTTTTCAAGGGTGACAAGGTTCAGCTGAAGTGGAACGATCTTGGCACCAGCCTGATTGTCCTGGCTCAGACCGAGGTGGACAAGACCAACAAGAGCTACTATGGAGAGACCAACATGTACATCCTTAGCGCCAACGGCACATTCGACTCGCGTATTCAGTTGGACAAGGAGGGTCCCATTCACGATGTCTCGTGGTCGCCCAACTCGAAAGAGTTTGGTGTTACCTATGGCTACATGCCTGCGAAGACGACCATTTTCAACCAACGCGCAGTGGCCCAGCACAGCTTTGACCTGGGCCCCCGCAACACCATCATTTTCAGCCCGCACGGCCGTTTTGTCATTGTTGCTGGTTTTGGCAATCTAGCTGGTGATATGGACATTTACGATCTAGAGAAGAACTTTGCCAAGGTCTGCCACGTCAAGACGTCCAACTGCACATACTGCGAGTGGAGCCCGGACGGTCAGCATATCCTTACTGCAACCACTAGCCCGCGCCTGCGCGTGGACAACGGCATCCGGATCTACCATGTCAGCGGCGGCCTGATGTACAACGAAGACATGGCGGAGCTCTACCACGTTGTTTGGCGACCTCAGCCAACGTCCATGTACCCGCTGAATGATCCCTTGGTCACGATACCCACGCCGCACCCGTCGGCCCTTGCATATCTTAGCACTCAGAAGACTCCGTCCAAGCCTGCCGGCGCCTACCGCCCTCCTGGTGCGCGTGGAACGGCTACCCCGCTGCACTTTAAGCGTGAGGACGAGGGAGGCGCAGCCTATACCAACACCGGTGTCTCGTCGACCAATGCTGGTTTCTCGAATGGATTCGGCAAGCCGCGTCGTCGTGAAATCCCCGGCGCCGATAGTGCTGACGCTCTGCCTCCAGGAGCAGCTCCTGGCGGGGGCGTCAGTCTCACTGGCGCTCAAGATGGCGAGGGCGAGCTCTCCAAGGCAGCGCTGAAGAACAAGAAGAAGCGAGAAGCTAAAAAGGCCCGCGAGGCTGCCGACAAGGCTGCCGGCTTGGGTGCGGACGGTGCCAACGCGGCCAATGGAGCCAACGGTCGTCCAGAGCACCGCCAACGCAGCCGCAGCAAGGGTGGTTATGAGCAACACGGAAGGAGCGCCAGCCAAGCGCGCAACTATGGCAACAGCCCCAACCGTCAAGCAAGGCCAGATGGAAACCGTCGACAGAACGCGGGCCAGCACGGACCGAACCAGGCTCCCACGATCAAGACGGAAGGCCAGGTGCCTCCGCCGGATCTTACAGTGACCAGCCCGGGAGACGGCGGCCCTCAGGACAAGAAGATCCGCGGGTTGCTCAAGAAGATGCGGGCGATTGATGAGCTCAAGATGAGGCAAGCCGGCGGCGAAAAGCTTGAGGACACTCAGATCAAGAAGATTAGTACCGAGGTGCAGATCAAGAAGGAGTTGGAAGCTCTCGGGTACAGTGGATAAATGGGAAATAATGTGGAAAAATAGCGATGGTAGTGCAAAGTAGAGGGATGGTGGACGCACCGCAGGCGTGTAGGTAAGTGCGTGGTGCGTACTGCAGTTGAAAAACGATGAAATGATGTTCTGTTTATATGATGTGCCAGACGAGTCTGAGGTGATTCACTGATTGCATTTGGTGGCCAGGAAAACAGTGTGGGTTCATTCATTCATTCGTAAAGTCGTGTACACAGGATGCTAGGATGCCATTCAAGGGCAGAGTCTAGTGAGAAGCATGTCCGCCCTGGGCTCCCAGCTCCGAAGCCAGCTCGCTGCCCTTCTTGAAGGTGCCATCGGGGTTGCGCTAGAAGAGGGTCAGCACATGGTTCCAAGTACACGACACTTCACGCGCGTCCAGGCTAACTTACACCACTCTCTTCGGCCGTCGTCTTGGCCCCATGGCCATGAGAGGCATGACCGCCCTGAGCACCCAGCTCACTGGCGAGTTCGGAGCCCTTGACGAAAGTGCCGTCGGGGTTGCGGCCTGGCTCGCTGCTCGACGTGCTGGTGGTGGCGCCGTGAGAGGCATGGCCGCCCTGGGCGCCCAGCTCTTTGGCGAGCTCCGAACCTTTGGTAAAGGTGCCGTCGGGGTTGCGGTCCGCGTGGGAGCTTGACTGAGCGGCGGTTAGTACACCAGCTGGGGGAGTGAGTATCAAGAATGGCATACGTCGGTGTTGCTCGAGCCGTGGGACGCATGACCGCCCTTGGCGGCGATGTCCTTGAGCTCGTCCTTGGGCAGGTTGGCGAAGTTGGCGGGGTTGGTCGAGGCCATTGTTGGTTGAGGTCTTGTCTTGTTGAGTTGAAGGTTGAGTTGAGTTGAGTTGGGCGTTGGGCTGGTGTGAGGAAGGTAGCAAAGATGCGGAGAGTAAAGGCAAGTCTGTATATATGCCTCCCTCGGTCGCGCTCCCGTTTGCTTCCCCCGGCAACATCACGTCACAATTGCGGGCAGTGGGTGTGCGTGTGAGACGGCACCAGGCCACAGTCTCCACATGTGACTCTGCCGGTGCAGATCAACGAGTGTATTGGGCGGCGTGTTTGGGTGAAAACAGGCTTCATCGCAGCTCCGAAACGGCTGCCGCCTGGTGGAGAGGTGAAGACCGTGTCGGGGTTGGCTGTGATGTCATTCCATGTGGGCAAGACGCGTCTCGCGCGCTCACGTGGCAACGTGTCTCGTGGCGGCCAATCAGATGCATCTGGGCCACTGACCCGACATCTCGACGTCACCCAGGGTTACGCGACTGCCTGGGGCTGGGAATTGATTACGCCCCCCGTACGTCCCCTCTGCTCTCTGACGGGTGCACAACGCATTGCCCAGACCAGATCCACTCAGCAATCCATCATGAGCTTGAAACGCAAAGCTGCCGCCGCGGCCACGGACGCGTCCAAGAAGCCCAAGCAGAACGGCAGCATCACGGCCTTCTTCAGCGCGCCAAAGCCAGACCCCAATGCACCGCCAAAGCAGATCGCCGCCGCTGCCAAGTTCGACAGAGACGCGTGGGTTGCCAAACTCACCGACGACCAGAAGGAGCTTCTGAAACTCGAAATCGACACGCTGCACGAGAGTTGGCTTCCGCATCTCAAGGATGTACTCGTCACGCCACAGTTTTTGGAATTGAAGCGCTTCCTCAAGAAGGAGCTGGACAGCGGAAAGGCCGTGTATCCGCCAATGAAAGATGTCTACTCATGGTGACGTTACCAATCAATCAGCAACGTGTGAACATCATGACTGACATGTGTGCATAGGTCCCGGCACACACCGCTCAACACAGTCAAGGTCGTCATAACTGGCCAGGACCCCTACCACGGTCCCAACCAAGCCCATGGTCTCTGCTTCTCTATTCGCCCACCAAACCCTGCCCCGCCTTCGCTCCAAAACATTTACAAAGCCCTCAAAAAGGAGTACCCAGACTACAAGCCGCCGCCAAACCGAGGCGGACTTTTGACCCCTTGGGCCGACCGTGGTGTATTGCTCATCAATACCTGCTTGACTGTACGCAAGGGTGAAGCAAACTCACACTCCGGCAAAGGCTGGGAGGTGCTCATGCAGAAGGTTATCGACACTGTAGCCAAAGTCCGGTCGAATGGTGTCGTCTTCCTGGCGTGGGGATCCCCTGCCCAGAAGAGAACACAGGGCATCCCACAGGACAAGCATCTTGTGCTCAAGAGTGTGCATCCCAGCCCACTGAGTGCAGCGCGGGGATTTGTAAGTCATCGGCTAGTGATGCCATCACATGCATGTGCTAATGAGGGATAGTTTGACTGCGGACATTTTACAAAGTGTAACGAATGGCTTGTTCAGCGATATGGCAAGGATGGTGGTATTGATTGGGATCTTAATGTTGACCCTGAGAAAGCAGGCGTCTAGGAGGGAAACGCCGCTCTATCACCATTGTGTTGGATTGGATAACAACTTCTCTTCTCTTCTCGGTAGGGTATGGTTCGGCGTATGGGTAAAATGTAGCTTGAGCGTGCATGCAATTCTGTCTATCCTGGGATGATCAGCTGCGATGCAGTGAGCAGTTCTGGGCCGAGCGTTCGAAGCAGAACAATGACGTGGTATTTTGATAGCAGTTCTGGTGTGAAGGTTTCTGCGTCTTCCGTGGCATGCAGTGTCACTGAGGGGTGGGCTGTCACAAGGTACTGGAATAGGCGGAGGCCAGCGGGGATAGAGGTATGGCGGTAGGATGTGGTTTTGGAGAAGATGAGGATATGTAGGGGTTGCTGGTGGTGGACATTTTTGGTGTTGGGGTAGTTTAATCCTAGAGAAAGGCAGTTGTATATACATGTATTGGTGTCGATGGATGAGCTTGATTGGGCTGAACTGCTTGCTTAGACTTATAAGTGACGTCATTTACGGATATTTTAGTACAAGAGTCTTTTGCATCTAGGGGAAGGGGAAACGGCGATACTAAGGGGTCATGCTTGGGATTGATTGGTCTTGGGTTCAGGATATTGCATGTTACATAGTGAATTGACCATGTGGCAGTTTTGAGCCGAGGTAGAATTTCAGGTTATATCATCACCGACTGATGATGGTCTTTTGCCGAGTGCTTGTTTGAAACTAGATGTCTTTGTGAATTAGCACGGGGTAAGCTCGCTTTTGAGTATGAAGAGATTGAGTTCTTTATCTTGGGTTAGAAGCTCTCGTTAGGTAATAAACGCTAAAACAGCTAGAACGCTAGAGAAGCCAGAGAAGCCAGAGAAGCCAGAGAAGCCAGAGAAGCCAGAGAAGCCAGAGAAGCCAGAGAAGCCAGAGAAGCTAGAATGTACACCTTTTAGCTATACTATTAGCTATAAGAACATTTCTTAATTACTATAAAGCTTTAATACTAATAATCTTATATAACTAATTATATAATATATATTTAAGCTATATAAGTCCCTATATAACTTAGCAAAATCTAAAAGCAGCTAAAGCTACACCTCCTTTCAGCTCCGTTATGGGCTATAGGAATGTTTATTTTAACTTAATCTAGTACCCATCCAAGCAGGACAATACACAGACACTAGGGGCATGTGAAACCAACTTCAAAATATCAAACACTACATCTTGCATAAAAGGCCAAAATTTGCAACTACAGAACCTTAATGCTATTGCTATGTCAGCCCACAGTCTCTTCACTGTATCACACCGAACTAACCCGTCATTCAGTGAAGTCAAATACCAGAATCGCAAGGCCAGTCCTTGATTCAGATCATCCACCAGCAGTACACCGAACACACCCTACTTCTGCCATTCATACTTCGGCTTCCCACCCAAACCTCCGCTAGCATCCGCCTTGCCCTGGTCGACATCCAACATCTTCGAATACAACGGACTTCCCTTTGTCAACTCCCTCCTCCTCGCCGCAATATCTGCCTTGCGCTTCCCAACCAAGATATCGCCTCCTCCCAGTCTCTCCGCAATTTCAGCGTCATCCATGCCGCGGATCCACAGCCTCAGAATCGCTTCGTCTTCCCACTCTGCAAACTCTACTTTCTCTTTCCTCTGCCACATGGCTAGCACGTCTTCGGGAACAAGCTTGTTGGCCTTGAGATAGCGCCATCGCTCCTGCACGGCTTCCGGCGCCAGCTGCATCGCGTGCGCAGTCTCGACGCAGGTAAGGTGGCGCTTTCGCCCGGAGATAATGGCCGCGTCGAGGTCTGGAGTCCATGTTATGGCTGCTGCTAACGCTTTCTGACGCAGCTCTCTGTAACAGTTTTGCACGGCGTTTGGAGACCGATCCATGGCTTTGGCAATGGCGTCGAAGCTGGCGTACTGGGTGTCGCGTAGGTAGATGAGGTGGGCTTCTTCGGTAACACTCCAGCGTCGGCTGTATTCCTTGAGGGGCGTGGAGACTGGTGCGGCAGGAGGTACCAAGTTCATGTTGGATAATTGTCTGGTTGGGTCTGATTGATGGAGTCGAGTGTGTGGGGTGGAGTTTTGCTCGCTGGAGCTCAGTTGCCAGAAGGGAAGTAATATACGAGAAAGGAAGCTATGAGAAATGAACGGTGAAAGAGACTTGTGAGACCCACTCTCAGCCCGTAGTTTGGCGTATATACGATCCAGCACCATTCATAGTGAGTTTACTTCATTGTGTGCCTACAGGTGAGTGCAACACACTGAATCCAGTAAGTGAAGGTAAATAGTACACAGCTCTGTGAGCACCAGAGTCTTCACTACGCCATCTCGAACATGCTATGGAGACCAAGCCAGAAACACTAATTCCAATGCTATTCGTGCGCGTGTCTTAGAGCGCAAAGCTGTGTAGTTACCACCCGTCCTTGCAAAAGCTACCCAAGGCGTAGATGGACATGCTCAATCGTCAAACACCATGAACTCATCCATGAACTTCTGCCCTTCTATGCCCGCTGCCCGTTCTTCGCGCCTCCAAAGTTTGTAAACCTTCATGACAGCGTTTCCGAGTGACACGTCCAACATGGCCCTGGCCTTGTCTTGATTTAACAAGTTGCCCTTTTCCTCTATCTTCTCCTTCGCTTCTTGTACCTCCATCGCTGCTGAGAACCCTTGTACCCGCATCTCTTGGATTATGCGGCTGTAGTGTGTCCAGCGGCCAGTCATCTTGCAAGCGCTGATTCCGATATCGTCAATCTCTTCTTTATCTAGGGAAAACCACTCGTGCATAAGATACGGTCCAACAGCGTCCAATGCGAGGAAACCAAAGAGGAGCCGGCGACCGTGACCTCTGGAAAGCTGTTCTTCGATAGCGACGAAGAAAAACTTGTTGTATTCGTAGATAATACCAGTGCAATTGAGATTTGTATTCTTAGGGTCTAGCGGGCTCAGTTGAATAAGGTACGGACAAGAGTCGAATAGACCTGCAGTAACAGGTACAGTGGGTGCGGGCGTGGCTGCTTCAACGGCGTTAGTCGATCAGGTATCCTCTTTGAAGTTAATGCATCTTACCTTCTAAGCCTACTTGCATCTTAGCCATTGTTGCGATTTTCTAGGAATACAGCCTTGTGGTGGCTGTTGTTTCCCTAAGGCGTGGTTCAGCTTTGGCGCATCTGACGCTGCGATTCAGCCTTAAAGCGCTATGATACAGCGGCAAGAGATGCTACTATTATCAATGGCTTCACAGGCGTGATGTTTTGGATCTCAAGGGCGCTAATGCTAACGTTCTTAGGTATGTCAAAAGGGTAGTTGCTATCTCCATATGCTGATACGATGGAGGAAGGCAGAGAGTGTAAGATACAACGCATGATAGACATTGAGAAATAAGGAGAGAAGGCACAAGGTCATGCTGCTTTGCTTAAGTCGCGTCTAATAGTTAGACTACTACTAAGGTGAAGTATCCTAAGGTGAAGTGTGAAGTGAAGTGTGAAGTGAAAGTTAAGTATACGCTAAGTAGGTATATGTAGTGTATTGTAAGTAAAGCTTTTATAGTAAGAACCTTATAATAATATATAATATAGAGTGTAAAGAAATAAAGATAATAAAAAGGATATAGTTATTCCTAGTATAGCTTTAAGCCTTAAATTCTTATTCTACGCAGCGTGGACTAAGCTTAACATCCAACTTCCCAACCGTCATAGTAAAGCAGTCCCGACTCTTGTTGTCAATGGTGCTTCCATCCTCACCCTCAGCAAAGGTAATTTCAAACGAGCGGACTAGATTCGCAACAACACTACGCATCTGCATGATTGCCAGTTTCTGGCCTATGCAGTTGTATGCTCCTGTAAGGAAGGTGAGAAACGTGCGCTTGTCAATGATGGCGTTGGGATTCTCGGTAGTCCAGCGTTCCGGCATGAATGAGAGGGGTTTTTCCCAGTACCGCGGATCACGTTGCAGGCTGTATATCGGTGTCCATAGCAGAATGTTGCCGGGTATGTAGGTTCCATTGGGGAGTGTAAGACCCTCGGGAGGTGATTCGCGCACAGGACCAGAAGGAACTGCAGGGTGCAGTCGCAAAGTCTCATGAATAACGCCGTCGAGGAACTCGCAGTCTGCGACATCACTCACTTCAAGGTGGGTTTTCTCCGGGTGGATGGCGTCTATCTCATCTCGAAGTCTTGCCTGAATGGCGGGATTGACGCAGAGCTCGTACACTAGAAACGACAGTGTTGCTGCCAGAGTGTCACTGTTTTCACGTCAACTCCAATCTTCTGGTCATGCTAGAACAAATAGGATGTTACAATATGCACATACGCGATGCAATCTGTCGGCTTAGGGTAGATAGAATACTAAGGTGCACATACCTGCCAGCTACTATTAAAAGCCTCGAATCAGCGATCATGTCAGGTGTAATCCGGCTATCTTCGTCCAATAGCCACGAGAATACATCATTTTCTTTTGGCGTACTCTAGTATTTGTTAGTGGGGTAAAACTCCTCTTGGAAACCGTTCTCAGGGCGTACTTTGATTCGTTCTCGTAGAACCTTGGCACTCCAGTCGGTATGCTCAAGAAGTGGCTTTGCACCGGCGCTTGTTCGCCCCACAAGATTCAAGGCCCAACTAATGTGTGAGAAGACACTTAGCACCGACATGCTTTCATGCAAGAGTTTGATGATATCATCTTCTTTGCCCTTGTCCATCATTCCGAAGCTGCGGTTAAACCCTATGTCTCCCATAACATCAAAGCTGTAAAAGTTGACCCAGTTGGTAATGCGCACCGAGCCCTGCATCGACTCCTCTTTGAGTTTCGACATAAGAGCAAGCGCATGTCGGTTGAGACGAGGCTCGTATTCGCGCAGAGTCTTTGCGTTGAAGGCACGATCCCATATCTTGCGGCGTTGTCGATGATCCGCCTTGTCTGTGGTTATATTGAGCGATACCCCAGTGATATCACCAAAGGCTTCATACACAGAAGCCTTTTTACATTTAGACGTTGGTCCATGGATCAGAGAAATGGCTTCGGCGCAATACACAGTAACTTCTCGTGGACCGGTCCTGATCACATCCGCTCCATACTTTTGATACATTTCTTGCTGCCATTTGAAGTAGCGAAAATTGGTCGGGAGAACACCGGCAAATATGCCATATAGTTTGGAGAATCGCGCCAGAAAAGGCCCAGGGAACTTGGTTTGTCAGTGCCCAAAATAGAAGCAGATAAAATGGAAATCAACAAAAAGAAATATACGGTTTCGGAACTGTTACGTGTTCACACACACACCTTTCTAAGACGGTGGAAGAACCCGCGATGTACCAAGATGCTGGCCATCAGCACGGTGAAGTACACTGAGGCCACCGTTGCCGTGGTTTGGATTGCACTGAATAGAGTTCCAGGACGTGGTATGGTCGCATATTCGGCAGCTGCCACTGCTCCGAAAGCGAGAGCCCATGTACGTAGGATTAGATGGAACGAGTTGTCCCATTCGGCGATGTGAAGAATGTGATGGGTGGCTAGTGCTAGCAAGGCAATGAATGGTTTGTTGCGCAAAAGAGCGCCGACGTGATAAAGTGCAGATGCCATTTGAATGGCCTCTGGAATGTTTTGGAAGTGGGAACAGACTGTAGAATATATCAACAGAATGCAAAGAAATAGACATCTGACATGAGATAATATACGTCAAACACGAGGATTAGTATTCAACAAACTTTAAAAATCAGCGAGACCCTGTTGCTGAGTTGAAAAGGGGGAAACCGATGATGCAAAGCCCCTCATTTTATGGGAGACAGCTGAATCTATCAGCTGGTTTTAGTTGATAGGCAGCGCCTCTTGTCTGGAACTTGTAGGCGCTCGCCAATTGTCAGTAGGCTGGAATGGCGCTCCACTAGGCGGGGCCGCTAACCTTGTACCGGGTTCAGGTCACGACCCCTTGCTTAACATAAGCAAGTTGCCAAATCCTTCTTTTTGTGTAGCCACTGAGCCCTCTCAATCCAACGGCTGTATTTAACCTATGCTGTGATCCTCACTGAATCAGGAAGAGTATCAAAGTCTTCATCAAGGCCTCTGCTCATGAATCAATCTCATCGCTGTAACGATCTCTCGTCACCCTATCCTTGCACATACCCTAGATGATGGCCTTTTTATAAACAACCGGAAGCCTTGAAGATATTTCGGATATGCCGGCGCCATGCCTTAGTCAGTCGTTCTTCGCTCGAGTGCAGTTTTTTCGTGCGACCATCGTCATCCTCATCGTCGCAAAGAAGCAAGTCATTTCTGGATAGCTCGCAGCAGATTGAAGTTCTTTCCTGTGTGACAACCTGATAGTGGATACGGAAGCTGACTCGAAAGTCGAATTTAGGTTTACGAAGAATATCAGAATAGCCATGTTGCTCATATCCTGTTCGTACAAGCATCTGCCGTCTCATGAGAGACAAGGTGTCTGCCATTCTGCAAATCTCTGGTCGATCAAGTATCCAGTGTACCTCCAGGCACTCGGGATTGTCCAGTTTTAACAGTGGATGGATCCAGGAAGCCACCCATGGGCGGGGACTGGCCATCCTTTGCGCCTCCCATAGCATGCTGTCGGCAGGCGAGGGAATGACAGGTCTGTAGAACTGGTGTAAACCGTCTATGATTAGACTGAGCTTCCGCAATCGCATGCGTGAAGTCGATAGCAAGGTACAGAGATCGGTGAAGTGATTGTAAGCGTACCGCAGCACGAGTGAGTCTGTCGATCTAGGAACGACGGGGTAATGGGCTTCAGCCGTGCCTCTTAGGTTTGTTCCCTCTCCCAGGGTAAGTTCCATGGAGGATATGAGCCTCAGCGAGTCCGCAGGCCGATCGCACAGGAATGCGAATGCGGTGGGGACGCACTCGGTCGTTTTGAAACCAAAAACATTCTTGCTGTAGAAGACCTTCCTCGCCTCATGATATATCTGCTGACATGTTTGCAGCAAATTGATTTCGATCCTGTCTTGAAATGGCAGATTGCATGGTCTGGCGAGCTGGTAGGTCATCCGAACGTGGCTCGGGGGATCTTCAGGGTCGCCTTTGAACGAAGGCATGCCAATGTCAAATCTCGGTACAGACCAGACGCGGCGGTGGTTACGTGTACGTGTCAATGGGTATGATCTAGCGAGTTGGCTATAGAACTCGGGACATCGTTTTGCATCGGCCTCGGGCACAGTAGCCGCCGCACGTTCGACGAGTATAAAACCGCGGACGAGTGCATATTCATAGATGAGGTCTCGAATTTCTCGTGGAGTTGCGAGGAGTCGCGAATTCATGCTGTGATGGCCTGCGAGTTTTGGATGTCGGTTGCTGTGATAAGGACGCGGCCCCGCGGAGATAAAGAGGCCCACGGAAAGTGATGACGCTATCGTCCGGATGGAGCCTAGTCTGTCTGGGCTGGGCATACTAGCACTAGCAGCTAGCACTAGGGTGAACTTTGAGCTCCCCTCCCCCTACCACTACTTTCCCCGCCTCCCCGCCTCCCTATGCGCTGTTTCCATTCATGCGGTGCCGTTCGAGTCACATGCTGCTTTTCCTTATTGAAAGCAGCCTTTCTATCTTTTCACTCGTTATCCAAGACATAACCAACTTTTAGTCACAATCTGTTTCAGTGAATGCAATAAACATTCCCACAGCCCGTAACAGAGCTAAACAAAAGGGTGCAGCTTTAGCTATTATTTTAGTAGTCCTGGCTGTCTGGCTGCTCTGGCTGCTCTGGCTGCTCTGGCTGCTCTGGCTGCTCTGGCTTCTCTGGCTTCTCTGGCTTCTCTGGCTTCTCTGGCTTCTCTGGCTTCTCTGGCTTCTCTGGCTTCTCTGGCTTCTCTGGCTTCTCTGGCTTCTCTGGCTTCTCTGGCTTCTCTGGCGTTCTGGCTGTTTTGGCGTTTGTTATGTGATGAGAGCTTGGCGAAACTAAAGGCAGAGATTCCTGACATCTTAGTACTTATTTATTAAATAATAGTAGAGCTTTTTGAAGCTAATAATAATTGATTCTACTAATAAAGTCTTATATTCCAAGCCCTTATAGGAAAAGGATAACTAAGCTAACATACGTGCCTAATTTTAATATACAGCTAACGCTGCAATTAAGATAGTTACTAGACATAGTTGGCGACTGAAGTAGATACTTGGCATGTGTGAAGGACCTATCGCTATTAGACTCCTAGCATTTTCTAGAAAAGCTAAGACTTGTCACACTATCAGCATGCTATTAGATTCGAGGTAAGCTTTCGCGCGTAATGCCGTCTTGCTCCTGAAAGATGCCGACGAGCTCGAGCTCCCAGTGCGCAGAGAAAGTGGGTCAAAGCCAGCTATGGAAGTCACCCAGATTCAGATGCTTTAGCCGAGTCTTGAAAGCTGATAGTAAGCTGCATGTAAAGACTTGCTTTGTCCTCGCTTCAGTACGAGGCAAGATGGATGTCAAGAGCGCCACGTCCGACACCGAAAGCTCCGCGTCTTATAGAGACGATCTTCCAATGCAGGTAGAATTGAATAGAGAAGAAGCATATAGTCGACGCCAATCTCCGCTGTGAATTAATTGATCATTACTCATTGTGTACACCGATGATCAGCATTACGGCCAAGCAAACAAGCCCGTGAGAAACAGGATGCTCGCCATGAAGTTGCAATTTCAAGTGAAGCGAACAAAGATGATTGTGGTATTGTACATATCCGTCGCACTGTGCCGGGGTCTCCTGATGTGTAGTGTCGAATGTCGACTGCCGTTGTCTGCCATGTGTCCCACCGGGTTTCGGCCAAAAGATTGTCGATCACTCAGCGAGAAGCAGGCATAGCAGGGATTTATCGCTTTTTCGCGTCGACCTTCTCCTCGAGCGTGCGGACGTAGCCCTCTATCCGTTGCACGGCGGACTGAAGCGCCTATGATCATGTCAGCCGTACTCCGCTTGCTTTGCGATACGCCTCTCTGGCCATTGCGCCTTGCTGGGCAGGTCCAAAGAAAGCGGGCGACGTACGTAGATGTCCTCGGTCAAGAGCTGGTTCGAGACGCGGTATTCGTCGATAACGTAGTAGTACATGCCTGCGCCGGATGTTGTTGCACCGAGGAGAAATCCAAAGAGCCTGCGCCGTGTCAGCCATGCCGTTGCTTTCAGCAGCCCCAATTGCATTGAACGGTTCTCGCTCTTGTTCACCGCCAGCAAGCAACGGGCGCAGGGTTGCATGCAAGTCCATGAAGACCCCGCCGCGCCGCCATTTGGCCCGGCAGACGGCCTCGTCCTTCCATGAAGCACTTACCCTCCGCGAAAAGCACCAACGGGCTTCTTGACAGGCGCAGCAACGACGTCCTGCCTCAATGCAGCGCTGGTCTGGAATGCGCGGGATGCAGTCGCCATGGGGGCTCGGACTTGTGCGCCGGCGCGAGCCGCCTGCCTCAGCAGCTGAGCAGCCATTGTGTTCCTTTTTGCTCTTTCAGGCGTGTCGTGGCTTGTGTCGGCCGATTGCGAAGAGCCAAGTTGGGCCGTGGCTGTCGGGGCGAGGAGATGTTTGGGAGAGTCGCTCGTGTGCCCGTGGTGACGTGGGTTGAGCTCTGGGCGTCGAACAGCCAACAAGCAAGCTCTCGCTCGCCTGATACGGCGTGGTGGGGCACTTGGCCGCTGTTTGCTGACTCAGCCGTCCTCCCCCGCCAGTCTCGATTGAGTGGACTATGCTGATGCTGCTGTGCCATGCATCGTCTTAATTTCACGCGGCAATTGTTTGATATTCGCCGCCACAGACACGGTACTTACGGTGATGAAACTGCGCTGGTCGCTTTCGTACGCGAGCCCATTGGTCCACGGCCAAGGCAGCCTGCAATCCTATGCTTTTTGCATGCACGGCCACCAAGCCAAAGCTTGTCCCGCACTCCGGCATGCATATCAGGATCGGCTTTCTGATACGTCCAAGACTGCCGTCTTGGTAGTCAGCTCATTCACCACATGAGAGAAAAAGAAACGCGGGTGCAGGCCCCTGTGCCTGCGGCCATGGCGCTGTGATGAGTAAGAATGACCTGATTGCTACGAGCACCACACATGTACCAAATGGGATACTTCTACTTGGATATTTACGTACATAGTATGATTACAGCGGTTTGACTAACCAGCAAGCATATCTAGTCGTTCAAACGCCTATAAGTATACCACATCATCACCATTCTCAAGCCCCAACGCATCAGTGCCACATAAGACTTCACACCGACTGAGACCTATATTCACTATGTCAAATACCGTTTCCTTTGACTGGTTCATGTTACTAGCGAGCAAAAACGATACCGCCACTGCAGATCCTACAGGCTGGAAGCAGGGTCTCTGCCTTGCGTAGGACACCCAAGGTCCTTTGTAAACCTCGCATTCGCTTCGTTGATATACGCGTGCTTTTTCTAGATAATCTGTCGGTAAGATGAGATTCAATGTTCAAGTCCATGGCCGTCAGCTCGTTGATAGACGACATGGGAAATCCATAGTTCCAAGGCATGGAGAGATAGGGACCCGATAACCCAGAAACTTTGTCTCCTGCTATAGTGTAGTTATTTCATGATCCTTCTTATCTGTATCTGTCACATTACACGGCTATAAGAGTGCAGCATACCGACTTACAGTGCTAAGACGAAATGCTGGACCGAGCGAGTCCCATGAGGAATCAGAGAAGCTGCAAACTTCAAAGCAGCATGCTAGGCAAAAAGAATCATAGAGACGTAAACAATCAACATTGGAGATGCCGAAATCTTGTGCAAAACAGAGTAGACATTATATGTACTAAGGGAATATCAAAGCTGAAAACAAACAACGCCCTGCATGCTTCTATGGAAAAGTGTTTCGGCTAGCAGGCAGCGTCTGGGTGCAGTCAACCATCTTGCGCAGCTGTTCCCTCTTGACTCCAAACATGCTGACCTTGATGTAAGCCCTGGCGTATTCGTTATTCCAACCACCTTGGTTACCAACAAAGCGGCTCCAGTCGCCCTTCACTTTGGGGTGCTGCGAGAGCGCCTTGTCACTGGGGAGGACAAAGACCTTTTGGTTAGCAGTCGCGCCGACGGGGTTGTTGAGTGTGTCGTTGTAGAACTCGACATCCCAGACGCCATTAGTACCGTCGAGAGGCTTGTTGACAGCCGCTGAAGAGGTGTCGACAAAACGTTGGCGGGCTGTGGTATGAGCACCCAAGAGAGCTGCAAGTTCGCGCTCGGAAATGCCCTTTCTTTTGAAGAGTGCAATCAGGTTGTTAGGGTCGTCGCGCGTATCAGGGAGGAGGCTACCCTGATTAGCCTTGGTAGCATCCTTACGTCCGATGAATGTTCGCACGCGCGGTCCTTTCGGGCACGAGACGGTGGCGTGATTGTGAGCATATTGTACAAGATCGGCATATCCCACCTTGTACTTTTTCTGCACGTCGCGTAGCACGTTGCGTATATTTTGAAGACCATTGTTTTCGCGTCGATCTTGCTCGCCAAAGTCCATAATCAGCGATCCGTCAGCGCCACCATCGCCAGAGCCCTGCTCCCAGGATCCAGCGTCGTGGAAACCCATACGAACTGCTCCTCGCGCGTTGTCATTACACTGCCTGTCTTGCCCGACAAAAAGTTTTGTCAGCTCAGCCGAAACATCATACCCTTGGATTTTGTCAGTTTGGGGTGCAATAGAGATATGAGTGGATCGACTTACAAACGCAACACTTGTCTGTACTCCCCTTTCCACATTTCTCGGGTTTTTGCGTCTTTTTATCATCCATAGCAGACATGTCGCCATTTGAAATCTCTTGCATCATAATTTCGACTTCGCCAAACACATCATTAAACATGTCGCCACCATAGGCTTTTCCCGCTGTTGGCACTGCTTCACGCTGCTGCAATGGACCCGCTGATGTCAGGAGAGAAAGGCCAAGAAGGGGCAACGCCATTGCAATCGTGTGAACCATCTTAAAGACCGTGGGGTATATCAAAAGTCGGCAAACAAACAGGAAATGGTATGATAAAGGAACGTACAGCAGGATCGGCAATGTGATGTACGACCAGGAAGCAGTGAAGGAGCAACCCTTATATATCCTGGGAGAGCTGCTAACGAAGACAATGCACCATTGACTTAGCAGCCACATTGATGTTCAATCAAGTATAGCATGACTTAGCCAAATGCATGGCCGTTCTTGAAAAGGAAATCCACCACAACCACACACTACCCGAAATAACATGCGACCCTTGCACACGAGACAGGCCGATCACTTGGGGAGAATCGTTGAATGAACACAGCCAAACATCTGTTGGCATGAAGATACGGTAGCAGGGGTGCAGGTCAAAGCACAGCCTTGGGAATGTCGGACAGAGTCAGGCCCGCACTGTTTGCACATGGCGAAAGTGAATCGCTCAACGCTTAGACAGCCAGAAGCAATTTGCCGGGGCTGCTCCGTGGCGTATTGATAAGAGAAGTAGCATTTTCCAGTACAATACTTGGCCCGAAAAGCACCAATCGCAAGATTCCTAACGGTGCAGCGTAGACAATAACGCATCATTTGTGCGTGCAAAAACAGCCTGACGAGTCCGTATCGACGGTCACAAGTTATCCATCATAGGTTTCCTAGCTGCGGAAACGTTAGTCCTTGCTTCTCTGGCGTCAGGATTCACTATGGTTTAGGGTCCAGGGCAGGCGAAGGTTTCGTGTGTTGTCGCGATATTGCAGGGTGGCTTGTTGCGGCATCGGTAGACTGGGGGACGGGCCGGCGTGTCTGTCTGGCATACCAGAATCCAATACAGCCCGCATGCAGGTCCGAGAGTGACGACTGGACTGCAGAAGACGAAACTAATGGCCAAGCCTGCACGGACATCCATACGCCATAGAAGAGCAAAACAAGCCCTTGGTTTGTTTTTCCGGGGGTGGTGGGGGCAGTGCTGAAACCTTGGGGAGATCCTCTGACCCTCACCGTGACCTTGCTGGCGGGTTGGGTCGTGAAGAGAATCCAACAGTAGTATTATTCGGCGATCGATTCTTGTTGGGGCGACTCTTGTTCAAGAAGCTGGATCTTGGTTGCCGATTGGAAAACTATGCTGCGCCATATTCGAGCTCTTTTCAGCAAGTGGGCTCATGGAGAGCCGAGCGGTGTATGGCTTGCAAAATGCAATCCAACATTATTTAGCATTATGTGCAACCCCTTGAATACTAAAACAAGCTCTTTTTTGCGAGTATCAACGGCAGTCAGCTTATAACTATGATTTTTGCACGTTTTTGCGTTCCTGGACTGGGTGCCCTAATTGGTGCGTGCGGGAGAGTAACTCTTATGCGACAGTCACTCGCAAATCTCCAACAGATACAGTTCAACCTGGCGTAAGGGTCTTTCAGAGGAGAAAGGCTCTGGGCCAAGGTGCTAGTCAGTCGGACTAGACTCGATAACTGGATGTCTCGTATGAACGTGATCTCGCACAGAAGCTTGGCGGGCTCAAGATGCTAAGTTGGGTGGAGCACTGCCACATGTGGTTCTGAGTCAAGACTCAGTCCAGGCCGCAGTGTAAGGCGAAGTGTATAGGCTGGGCCCGGTCACGTCCTTTTCGTGTACATCGAAACAAGGCTGTTTCTCTTGGGCGACTAGGTAGGCTGGCGAAGCATCCATGGACGTACTCCGGACCACACACATGATATCCAGATCGCAGGATCCTCTCTACGTGCGCCCTGGATGCATAGCGGAGGCTGAAAAACTACATAGAGTGTCTGGCCGTGTACAAGTGAGGATGCATCAAGTTTGAGGGGGAGGCACGGAAGCCGGTCATGCAGAAGCAGGTGAGTCGCGTCTGCCGTGTGTGAAACGACGAAGAAATTAGGGACGGTCCGCCAGGAAGAAGTATCAGACGACGAGGAGGGTGTTACTCTGTACACCGGGTGGTAAAACAAGTCACGGTGTGGTTGAGCGGACGGCTGGCGGGGCAGCGGCGCCAAGAGATTCTTGGCACGATGCGCCCCTGAGCTAATTGGCGCCCGCAAAGCTCCCCCGGTCTTTTCGACTCTCATGCATTCCGCCCGTTTCCATCTCAGGCCTCCTGGATATTGATCTCGCAACGCTACTCTTTGCTCAAAGCAGCTTTGTTTTTGGCCCCCATCCCCCTCGCCACACGTTCGACCGCGTCATGCACCCTGATGTCGGGCCCAGAATCGTCTGGCAGCAGCCCACCGAAGCGTCGCCGCACAGTTGAAGGCTCGTGCTGGCCCTGCAAACAAAGACGCGTGAAGTGTGATCTCCAGAAGCCTTGCTGCCGTCGATGCATCACCTCCAAGACCGAAGACTGCAGCTACGACAAAGTGCTGCTTCGGTGGAAGAAGCGGCCTGCCAAGACCGTGCCTGAATGCCAGTTGCAGCTGTCTTCAGGCCACGCTCTGAATGGCCTCGACTTGGCTGTCAATGAACGGAAAGCTCTTGACTACTTCCAAGCCTGTCTATGGCCTCTTCTATCCACGGCCCATGACCCGTGTCCGCCTCCGGTTGCACTCGCCTTGCGTTCTCAGCCAGTCCTCCAGGCCTTGTGTGTATTTGCAGAAGAGCATCGTGCCCTGCAAGGAACAGGGTCGTCCAAGCAAGCTCTCAACAAGAGGCGTGCGCACTGTCTGGCCGCCATCCGCAACCATCTGGGTGGTGGGACTCCTGAAAAGAATGCTCTTTCTGCGCTCCTAGTAGCGGTGCTACTGCTATACTTCTTGGAGGGTTATGTGAATTGCACCAGGGACGATGCATCTACCCATTGCCACTTTTCAGGCGCACTGGCTATCATCAATGCTCTTGGAGGCTTCGAAGCCACATGGAGCTCGTCCGACAGAATCACTAGAATGCTCCTTTCCGAGTTTGCATCTACTGACCTGACTGATGCTCTACTTCAGGACAGGCCACCTTCCTTCCCGGCCATCGTATGGAATTGTATGGAAGCTCGCTCCGTATGGTGGCAAACGGTTCCCGGGAGCACGTCTCTTGGCTCTGTTCTGTCTATTCTGGCTGATATGAGCTTTTACCGTCACCGACTCAAGAATGGCGCAGATCTCTGCCCGGATCAAGTACAGGCATTCGAGCGTGCTCTTCAACCTACAAATCCAGCGCTTGACCCCACGACCGAATCTGAATCCGATTCCAGTGGTGATGCAGACGAAGCATTGTTGAGTCCTTCACTTACAGCATCGCTTTCGCTCATTCTTGCCTTCCAGCACGCGGGTCTCATTTACCTCTATAGTGCAATCCATGACATGCCAGCCAAACACGTTCTTGTGCAGCAGCACGTGCATGCTTGCCTCGAATATATTCGAGGAATGGATGCGAGATCGAAAGCACAGAATTGTGCCCTTTTCCCGCTCTACGTTGCTGGTGCTCATTCACTTGAAGAGGGACACAGGACCTTCGTTTCGGAAATACTAAGCAAAATCCACAAGAGTTTGCGATTCGAGTCCGTTTCATCTATACGGACAACTCTCGAGAAGTTATGGCAGCCATCCCGGCGCCCTACTACTTGGGTCGAAAGCTTTATGGATACAGCTACGCATACCCTGGTTATATGAACAGATGTTGTTCCATCTGAACACTGCGAAAATACAACGCGGACGCGGTCACAGAACACTGGGAGAAAACATTCTTCCATTCGCAAGCTCAGTCCATTTAAGCCGGTCAACCATTCGCCGATACCCACAACAAATGGCCATACTTTGCAATGCACAGATTCAGCGGGTGCTTCTACTTCAACCTCGGTTACTACACCTCCGAAGCCAAGCTTTGTGGTCTTTCCGCCAGTCAATACCGACCAGTGATCCGCCATGTCGCCCCACCGTTTCCTGACCCATACTTTTGCAGATCTTTGGATATTCTATGGATACGATCAATTGCCATGCAAAGTTTTCCAGAGACTACATTAATCAACAGAGCAGTCTCTTCTCGACATTTCTGAGCGCAAGATCCACACGTTCTGAAGCATGTGGGTAATGGCATGATTTGGGGGTGACTGCGTGACAGCATACCCCGTCTAAATTGTCGACATGGCGGAAAACACGGCAAAAGGGATTTCGACTCTGCACAAGTCCTGCTATTACGCGAGTGCATCCACGATCGATGCAACAAATGCAGAGTATGAAATTTGCATAAAGTGAGCATGGGGCACTCGGTCAGTAGTGCAAAATCTCACTCCAACAACTGAGAATCGCAAGCACCATGCTTGCAGGCAAAGAGACGGAACTGGCTAATATATGAAGCGACTTTCTGGCAAGTCTGTTGACGGCGTGTAATGGCGATAGAAAAGTTCAGTTGCTAGAATTTGCTCTATTTTCCGCACTTCTGGCATGGCCAATTCTGCTGTCGTGAGATCCACCTTCCTGTCGCGAAGAGTCACTGTGCACCGCCCTCACATTCGAGTTGGTTGGATTCATATTACACCTATTTACTGCGTTGGGTCTCTTTGGGTAATGGCAAGGGATCTGTCTGATATGGTAGGTTCAGCGGCCTTGCCTATTTGTTGCAGTGCTTGGCCTCATGAAGAGTTATCTTGCGGATCATTCTTGACCGCATGTAGCAAAAATTGAGGCAAAAGAGAGGCCCACATATCCGAGAAGCCGGCTTACATGAGTGCGATCGATAGCATCAGACAATGTTAATTGTTAATGTTAGGTCTTATGATCTGGGTAGAAAAGATTTTGTACATAGGTATGTTTAGATCAGTATCAACCATGGAGCAGCTTCCATCGATATCTGTGACTCCACACTTTAGCTTAGCGACGTGTTAATTGTTGGCTGCATTTGCGTTTACTTGGAGATGATATAAACTAAGGCGTAGCAATGCAGTTTATAGTCAGAGTAAGAAGAAAACAAGTACATCTTGGTTGTGTATAGCCATACGCTCACCTGGGTTGACACTGATATCGCGTAAGTTCTCCTATAGTATTTCATAATCCCGTTGCCTAGGCTAGTAAAAAGCTATTAGTTAGAACCCATGGAGCGAAAGCTCTATCGGCCATTTCGCCACCGTCCGAATTTCATCACCATGGGCATTCGGAAGATGGACTAGGATAAATGGATAGAGATAGACTCAAACTTCATCCCTAACCATGACGTTAAAGTCGGCGAACACGATAAAGTCTTGGACTCCTGCGTGCAGTATGTTGACCACGAGGTTGCACGGTTGGCCTGTTTCGAAGTATTTGAAGAGTTGACGCGATACCTTACCCATCGCTACCCAGAGGTCTTCCAGCTTAACGGCAACACACTTTGGAATACCGTGACGGGTGAGAGCTTTCAGTCCCCAGCGCCCAATGCAAAGCGGGCTATGGTTACTGCCGCTAAGCCTTTGCAAGATGATCTCGTCATCATGGGTTTGAACGACGATGGGCACTATCATATTGATGGCGGAGCAGTCTGTCTTCCGGGTGCCATATTATCAGGAAAAGCTTCAGAAGTCCATGAATCGTATCTTCGCTAACGTGACATGCGGCAAATTCGTCGTACGAAACAACGTGAGTTATCCATAGATCCAAAACCATACAAGCGCGTCGTGAACCTAACTCGACGCTGCAGTTCTTCATCAGCTAGACGACGGTCTCGCCTGGTTCCACCGCATAGGAGACCAAAACTTGGATGCTGTTGCTTCATGGGCGACCGCAAACTCCTCGGCCCTCCGTGTTGAAGACATCCACTTTCATTCGGAGCGATAATCGCTCCGTCGGCTACCTAAATCAAAGACTATACTCTTGATAATCCACACGTACTTTGAGCCAGGTACGACTATTGCCAGAGAGCCGCATGTACCTGGTGAATTGGCAAAAGCAATCTGTAATTGGGACGAGACGATGTGTTACTACAAGGGCAGAAAGCACTGGGAGGGGCTACTTTTGCCTTATCTGGTTGAGGAACGAGGAAGCAGATTGATGGTGGGTTATTGGGTGAGCCAGAAGGACAGTGCCCTTTCTGGACGACGGGGATACCCGAGAATTGCTTGCGCGTCTTGCCAAATACAGCGTCGTGAAGTGTTGGATAGGGGTTGGTATTCTTGTTAGCATTGAGCCAGTCCTGGACATCGATTCCAATACAGTGTGTACACCCCGAAATTGATTTGCCGTGAACGTGGTGTGAAATTGTCTATGCTGAATAGCTCATGGGAAGCGTATTTTGCCATGGCCTTGGAGCAAAAACTGGGGTATGGTATGCATACGTTGCGACAGCCGGATGACGTGTGACAGCGCGTCGTAGTGGCGTTGGTTAACTTAACCCCGGCCCTCGCGCTTATCTCCGCAAACAGCTGCCGCCGCCGCCACCGCCGCCTTTACACGCGTGAATGTCGCCTTTCGATACGCGTTACATCTCTGCCCTGAGGCTCTATACACGCAAAAGCTTACTGCGAATGCGAAAGTACCCGCCATGGTCCTCGGCTTCGAGCGCATCAATGAGCGCATCCAACGCCCCAATGCACACATCAACTTCATACGCACGCTGCCCGGCCCAACGTCCTCGACCGCTGAGAACATCCTGAACCGCGTCGCAGCCATCTGCTATCCATTCATGAAGTCGCACATGATTCTTGTGCAGGCGCTCGAAGAATTTCCCTACAACACCGAGTTTGTGGGTCGCAACTTCAACGCTGGCGAGGTCATACAGTTGGTGCTGAGAGATCGCAATGGGCGGTGGCTGCCCCAGCGCATGGTGGAAATGGTCATGGTGCATGAGCTTGCCCACTGCAAGCAAATGAACCACTCCAAGGCCTTCTGGAAGGTGCGGGATGAGTATGCGACCGACTTGCGCGCCCTTTGGGCAAGGGGCTACACTGGCGAAGGATTGTGGGGGAGGGGCAGGGAACTCGATACAGGCGCAATGCAAGCTAGTGACGGGGAGCCGGTCGATGTTCCCGAGCATCTATGTGGTGGCACATATGTTCACAAAGGCGGGAAGAGAAAAAGAGGTGCGAGGGAGAAGCCAACGTTAAGCTATGCCGAACGGAAGCAAAGAAGGATACTGAGAAAGTTTGGTGCAGGAGGACAATCCCTAGGCGCTGACGAGGACACCAAAGTCAAGCTTGAGAATGGAGCACATAAGAAAGGAAAACCCAGGGTTGCAGGGAGTGCACGAGGTCGCGAGCTTAGAGCGGCGGCGGCATTGGCACGTTTCGATACAGCAAAGAAAGACGACGTCACCATCAAGAAGGAAGAGCCATCATCAGACAGTGAGACGGATGACGAGTTTATCGAGGGCGATCAGAATGGTGCAGCAGTCGACGTGGATGGCAAGAGCATGTTCGACGACAAAGGCCGCGCACTCATCAAGGTCTGCGAAGACGAGATCGACCGAGATGGCGATGCCAGGCGAGAGCTGGATGAAATAACTGGCTTTGGATCCTCTCGTAAAGTTTCGAAAAAGCTACCACCGCCAACCAAGACCCCGGGCAAGCCGCTACCACATCCAAAGCCGACAACGAGTTCCGCACCGACGGCCACGACTAAATCCAGTACCATTTCCAAGCAAGCCTCTTCGAAATCGACTGTTACACTCCCGGACCTGTATAGTCGTCGTGCTGATTCTTCGCGTTCTACACATAGCCACCCCCATACGCCTTTACAATCTTTCGCCTGCGCGTGCCCAATCTGTTCGCTTGAGAACACTGCTGACGCGCTTACATGTGCTGCATGTGCCCATGTGTTGAAGGAGGATTTTGTCGCTGGTCATTGGACGTGTGAGACCTCGGCTTGTAAGGAAAGCCTGTATATCAACGCGGGGGATGCTGGTATATGCGGCATATGCGGGGTGGCGAGGCACAGGTGACAGAGTGGACTTGGACCTATGCGTTTGCCTTAAAAGGCGAGTGCTTCATAGTGTTTGAAGCAAAACGAGCATAGTCTTATATTAGCGATTACGTACGATACCCAACTTCATAGCGTGTCAAAACTTTGAACCTTCTACTGCCATTCAATGAGAATATTCGTAGGTCATAACTTCATTCGATGTAGCAAAAAACGTCAAAACATCAAGCGGACCCCTGTGACCACAGACTGATCACACCATGACAATGAACGCCATGTCCATGCATAATAATAACCCCCCAGTTGACTCCTGGACACATAAACGCCTTGAAAATGCGGCATTCCAGTCGCTTTACTGGTAACACGAATTCTACCTCGCGATCCTCAAGTGCGAACCACCAACATTCTTCCTTGCACTATACGGAATACCCATTCCCCTTCCACTGTTCCTCTTCATGCCCTCCAACTTGGCCTTGAGCTGCTCATGAATCTTTTTGTTCTGCGCCCAACCGTCCGCCAGCTTCTGCATGCGAAGGGCAGCGATCACAGCAATTGCAGCAGACTTGAGTTTGGGTCGACGATCATGAATGGTAATGTCAGGCGTAATTCCCATTTGAGAGATGAGGTTCAGGTCCTGTTGGTTACTGCAATACAGTTAGTCAAGTGTCCAGGACGAAGAGAAGACAATTGTAGCAACGTACCATTCATTGTAGGTAGAAATTTGCATCAGGAAGAACTTCTTCTGATACCCGAGAGCCTCGCGGAAGGCCTCCGCTCGTGAGCATCGTGCCCGAAGGAATTGAATTTGCTTGGCCAGGCCGTTGATCTCTTTAATGTGGCGTTTCGTCAGAGCTTCAGCTTGCTCATCAAGGTCAATCGCATCTTGACTTGCTTTTTGCTGTATAGCTCTCGAAGATGCTTGGAGTAGACGTAGCTGTGATTCCTTTTCGCGGAGCTGTGCTTGGACATCTCTCAGCTGGCGCTCAACGGACAAATGCTGCTCACGCGCAGTCGACTTTGCTTCAGAAAGCAGCTTGCGGTGCTGAGCATCCTTCTCCCGGATCCGTGCTTCCAGGTCTCGAATCTTCTCCTCCAGTTCGAGCTTTTGCTCGCGTTGAGCTGCTCGAGATTCAGACTGCAGCGCGCCGTTCTCGCTTTCCTTTTCACGCAGCATCGCCTCAAGAACACCGATCTTCTCTTCAAGTGAAGCCTTCTCTTCAGCGACTTCATCGGCGTCATCTTGAAGAACTGCGATCTCTTCTTCATAGTCTTCCTTTTCACGGTTTGCGGTATCTCTGAGCTCCTCCAGTGCTTCCAGGCGCTCCTCTGCTAGTCTTTGAAGCGCTTCGACTTGACTCCTCTGAGCGTTGATCTCTTCGCGGAGATTCTCGAGTTCGTCGTCTCGCTTGCGAACAAGATCTTGCATCACATCGAGCTGGGTATCTGGCTCATCGGCATGGCTCCTCAGGGCATCAAGTTCGGCTTCACGATCCGAAATTGTCTGCCGTGCGGTTTCCAGTTCCCTGGTTCGATCGTTGAGATCGCTTCTGAGCTGCTTGAGGTCTTGGAGTGTGGCTTCCTGTGCTTCAACCTTTCGCTGAAGACTTGCTATGTCGCGGTCACGAGCTTGTAATGTTGATTGGACATTAGAGAGATCTCGAGAAAGCGCGTCGCGTTCCCGCGTAATCTTCTGGAGGGCCTCAATCTGTGTGTCCTTACCCGAGACTGCTGCTCGGAGGTTGCGCATTTCGTCTTCAATGGTCCTGCGTTCTTGGCGAAGTGTTGCAACCAGTGTATCGCGGTCATTGTTACCTCTTCGTAGCACCTCCACTTGCTCATCTTTGCTTGAAACTTTGGCAACGAGGTTGTCCCGCTCGCGGCGAAGGTTGGTAAGCTCACGGGAAAGAGCGTCACGCTCTTGTCTTGCGTTGTTGAGTGCCTGCACTTGAGCATCTTTACTGTGGAGATTTGAGCGGAGGCCGGTGAGTTCCTGTGTCGCGTCGTCACGCTCTCTACGCAATCTCTCCAGTCCATCTAAATCGCGATCCTTTTGGTTGAGATCGCGACGCAACTGCTGGAGTTGCTGTTCGTAATTCGATACATCCTGCTGCAAGCGGATGATTTGCTGCATTGCGCCTTGGTGCTTTTTGCGGAATTCTTCGAGTTCGTCGGCTTTGGACTCTGCAGCGTCGACCCTGGATTGTAAGAGCTCAATTTCAATACCCTTTTCGCGAGTAATTTCCACGACCTTTTGTCGAGCGTCGTTGGCGGATTGCTGAGCCAGCTGAACTTGGTTGTCGCCCTGAGATTCCGCCAGCTCCAAGCGTTCACGCAGCGCCTCCATTTCTGCCTGCCTCTCATTCTCAATGGTCTGAAGGCGTCGTTGCAGTTCGCGGAGCTCAATGTCCTTTTCACGCTCCATTGACCGTAGGCGTTCCTCAATGATGGCAATCTCTCGTTGTTTCTGCTCGTTCGCTTCGTCAAGCTCCCGCTGTTTCTGTTCGTCCGCTTCGTCAAGCTCGCGTTCCAACTCATCCAGGTTCCGTTCCAGCTCACGAATTTCCTGTTGCTTTCCGTCTGTAGCAGAGTCCAGCTTCGACTGCAACGAACTGATCTCAGCATCCTTTTCGCGTTCGACTGCGCGGAGTTGTTCTTCTAACTCCTCGATTTTCTCGTTCTGTTGGGCCAGCTGGTTCTCCTTCTCTGCTCGAACATCTTCCTGCGCTTCCTGTGCTCCCTGAGTAGACCGCAGCTCATCTTCTAGCTCGGCAATGCGTTGGGCTTGTTGCTGGAGCTGACGATCTTTCTCCTCATCACCGGCAGATTGCGACTTCCGAGCTCTTTCCAACTGCTGCTCGAGATCTTTGATTTGCTCCTCATTTTCGTCAAGCATCTGATCTCTTCTTTCAAGCTCTGCTTGTGCGTTCTCCAAATCCGCGCTGACCTTCTCTAGCTCTTCTTCCGTATTTTTTGCGTCTTCCAGCTTTTCTTCCAGCCGTTCAACCTCGGCAGCGCGCTCTTCAGCCAGCCGTCGTAGCTCGTCCATTTCCTCACGCATGCCCTCGTCGGCATGCCGCCGCTTGACCTTCTCCGCATATTCTCGCAATTGTTGTTTGTAACTGTCTAGCTCTGCTTCGGCGGCCTTGAGGTCCTTGGAGTAGTTTTTGAGGTCGTGGGACATGGTAACCTTCTCGGACTTGAGATTGATGTTCTCTTCCATTGCTTGTCGGTTGAACTCGGGGCCCATTTTCTTGAGGTTCTCCTCGAGGAAATGGATTTTGAGTTTCAGGCCAAAATTCTCCTTGTCGATTTGGGCTAGACGCTGCATGTAATGTTAGCAAGCTTGAACAGTAGGCTCGCCACCATTCTCCCGAGCCTTGCCTGATACGTACATCTTCCTGCTCTCTCAAGGTGAGCACATTGCCGTTTCCGCCATCCATCTCGCCCTCTGCTCTCCTTGGCAGCGCCATGGGCGTGCTCATTGTACTAGAGCTGGGATCGGGCAGCTGTGTCTGGCCATCGACCGACTCGGCAAAGGAACTTGACTGCACGTCGAACGTGCTTGCCTCGGGCAGCGGCGTGTTGCTCACTTGGAAGCCGGGCTTCATGGCAATGGGCGTTGTCATCTTTCCGTCGAGGAGTCCGTTGACCTGGCGCGTCCGATTCGCGGTTGCGCTCTTCAGCATCGGGGTGAATTCGTTCTTGGTATTTGGGTTGCGTCGAGAGGTCAGCTGGGCCCGCGGAGTTTGCGCGCCGCTCATTTGCTTGAAGAGGTTGTCGCGGTCTGCCGGCGCATGGAACGTCTCTTCCATGCTGAACGAGGGCTCGTTGGTGGTGAAGCGCGTCATATCGCCAACCTCTGTGCGAGGCGTCTCCAGTAGGTGCGCCATGATGTGTACGTATGCACTCTAGTAACGCATGGGGGAAAGAAATGAAGGGTCCTTTGGGTTGTGTCGAGTTTGGTGTGCATCTTCCGGATACTTTGGGTGTTGTTTGTTTGGGGCGCTCGGACCACGACAGGGATGCTGCCCCCCACTAGCCGCACTCGGCAAAATCCAAAAAACGACCCAGGGCCAGTCACGTTATGTGTTTGCCGCCTGCACCAAATCTCTCCACCAACTCCTCCGCCCAATTCATTTTCCAGTCCTCCATGAGGCCCGTTCCATAGATTAGCGCGATCCATAGCAGCGCAGCGCTTCCACCAGGACATGCTGGATGCGCAAGGTATCAGGAGTTACAAGGCCTAGCACACGTCATTCGCATCATGGAAAATCAAAAGGATGACCTCAAGTGGTTCGGTGAGGGATTTGACGGGTTTCCGAAGAAGTTACCGGACGATGTCGTCGAATACATGGTCTTCATTATAGACTCCAGGCTTTCAGATCTCCAGACTAGAGAAAGACTACAGGCTTTCCAACGCGCTCTCAACACTCTGGAGAAGAAGTTTCTGAAAGAGTACATCTGGCAACGCGACCCACTCAAACTTGAGTTGGTTCGTGAAGAAAACCAATGGCTCCTTCGCGGTCGCACCAACTATGGAGATAGCGTCGCAGATGAATGGCTCATCGTCTACTTTTTGCGAGAGCTGAGCAGGGAGTTCAAAGACGCCTGGATACGCATCTACGACAGCGATGGAGAATTCCTCCTTATCGAAGCTGCGAATGCACTACCAAAGTGGCTCAACCCAGAGGTTGCAGAGAACAGAGTCTGGATCAACAATCACCGACTGCTCATTATCCCTCTAGGAAAGGAGGAGGAGCCCGCGCCACTGTCCCAGACGCAAGCGCTGCAAATCATTCATGATACACCGGCCCGCCCACAGCAGTACATCAAGGTTGAGAAAGAGGCATTTCATCGGTTGAATGGTTACCCAGCCGCCATATCAGACAACCAGCATCATGCAACCGTGCCACTCCCAAGAAAAGTTGCACATATCCTGCATGTCAACCCATCGTACATTGCACCAGTTGTAGAGGCATTTTATCTCCGCGACCCCATCTCAATACGTCTTTTACAGCCCAGCAAGTCAAAAAAAGCCTTGATTTTCCCGCCTGAAGACTTCGTCGATGTTAGTGTGCGCTTTACGAAAGTGCTATATGCTCAACTTCTTGGACAACACTGGGAACCAACGGAACCATGGAATACTGCGCTAGAACAACTCTTGAAATCGGGCAAACCGACTGAAAAGACCGAAATTGGTATCAAGATTGCAGCTGGAATGCAGATGCTACTTTCGCACTCCATCTACATCTCTTACAAGTCCACGCGCGAAATTTCTCTTCTGCTTGAGGATCTCGATAATGGTGATGATGCGCTTCCGACAGATGCAGAGATTACTAGCTGGCCAAAACGCGACGATGACGAAGGTTGGCTGAACATTGACTTTGCTGAATTTGAGAAAGAACTGGAGGGCAAAGGTGGTGGGGCGAAAGATGGGTTTGGAGACAAGAATGCTCAAGAGAACCTGAAAAAGATGGTCGCCCGCTTTAACGACTTCTTAGCTGACAATGAAACGGGCGCAGACGGTGCTGACGCAGGGTTGGATCCAATGGATGTGGACAACGACTCAGATGCTGAAGGAAGAGGATGGGAAGACCCTGAGGATAGCGACTCCGATGTTCAAACTAGCCCCAAAGGGAAAGCCAAGGCGGAAGAATTCACTGGACACGCAGGAAATGATACAGACGAAGAGACCGACGCTGCAGCTGATGCCGAATATGCCGAGTATGAGCAATCTTACGAGAAGTTTATGATGCTTTCTGCTGCTGAAAAAGCTATTCTCACCGATGAAGCGCGGGCTCTGGCACGCGAACAAGACGCCGAGAAAGAAGAAGACGAGGAAATCCAAAAACTTACCGAAATGATGGAGGCGGAGCTTTTCAGCCATGGCGCCTTGAATATCAATCCAAAGCCCGACCACAAACTCTCGATTGAAGGTAAAGGCAAGGGCAAGGCGAAGGTGCCTGCAATTTCAGAAACAAAGGAATATGGCGATGACGATGACGATGACGATGACGATGACGATGACGATGACGATGAAGACATTGATTTATTGGACGAAGACCACAACCTTGTAGACAACATGCTCAAGGCATTCAAGGGCCAAGCTGGAATGTCTGGGCCAGCGGGAAATATGATGAAAGCCATGGGCATTCAGCTTCCTCAAGATGCTGATGATGAAATCAAAGGTTCAGGTTCTAAAGTAAAGAAAGAGAGTACGTAGCAGAATTTTGATGAGCAGAGTAATTAGACCGTAACAATCTTTTCACGACATGTTATAATGTATCTATGTACGGATGGCCCACAATTATTCCTGTGCTTGCCATCGTCTGCGGTTGATCGAGCAGTGGGACAAACTGACCGGTGACGTTCATTGCTTATTTTCTCGTGTATTCCAGTGCATCATGTGCTCAACGTATCACAATTAATCGGAATTGTTGAATATGGGTGATGCGGGTAATGGGAAATATGGTATATCCTTGAATTTGGAGTCTTGGTGGCTCCTCAAGAATCAGGTTCAATTCAAGCCTTGCTACTATTTTTTTAACCTATCTACAAACGTCTCACACTTCTCCAACACTTTGCTATGACACGAAGACAACAGCAAAAACAGGGCAGTGGATTATATCTGGATGCGTCTACCGGATAAGCGCTAAATGATTTTATGGATCAAACGCCCTAGAGGAGGCACCTCGGCCATATCTCGGTACAACCACGGTATTGGTCCTGGTATTCGGCCTTTCACCTCCGAGTTGAGATGAGACGCTACGTTCCACCTTGCCAGAACTAGCCCTTTCCCAGTAACACGAGATCCAATTTATGCAATTATTAGATTCGGAGTTCACCTGTTGAACCAATACAATCTCTGGTATGCCTAAGCGATTCGCCCCACGTGTTCTTGATCGACCTTGGAGAGAAACTTTAATGATTGTTCATATCATTGAGTATCTCGAGTTAAGCCCACATCGTTGCAGTATGAGTCATATTTTCTGTCATCTTTATTTTCCTCCGACCGAACAGAGCTGCATCTGGCCATCTGAGTGCTTAATGCTTGACTTGACAGAGCTAGCACTACGATAAAGATGTTCTCTGACACAATCGAAGAGGATATTGCCGCTCAAGGTGCTGAATGCACCACCTATATTTTAGCTTTGGAACCAGCAAGATAATTCTTCACAAGCTTAAGGATCTTGGATGGTCCAAATACCGGATTATGAAGATGTAAAAGAATTTAGCAGCAATTGGATTTTACTGTTTGAGTGTGCTTCATGTCTAGCAATACTATTTACAGTATCACTCTTTTGTCCACAGCATTGTGCAATAACTCTCTGGACGGACAAGGTCAAAATATCAAGTATTTTAACGCAGATTGTAAGAGTTTACAACGTCAGTTGGAAAGTAAAAAACCACAAGAATGTTGATGGAGGTTAGAATTCCCCAGATAAGCGCATCTCACACGTCGCGAGATGAACAGCTGAGGATGTTCACCATGAACAAAACTACCTTCCAATAATATTCAACGATATTCCATATATACCGCGATGGCTTGGACGTTCCCTGCAGGAAAGCATTACCGATGATATAACTTCAACAGCTTCCCGGAATAATGGATAAAGGATTCTACAGAAGCGGAGACGTGAAAAAAAATCCAAGCTTGAAAGACACTGCAAATACGTAATAAAATCTGCAATACAAATACCGCATTACGGGATCTTTTAGCTGAACTTACGTCAGATTGTTAGTGGTATAGCATCGTCTGATAGGGGAATAGTAGCGCCTTGGCTGAGGATCATATATTTAGCCCAGTGACCGGAGATCGACCAGATCGTCACCGTATTGTACCTATTCTCATCACTATCTTGTTGCTTGTTTTTTAGGTCACCCTTTGCGCCACAACAGTTATTAATAACCAAGGCAAGGAATTCTACGAAGAATTTCCCAAGACTCTACCGATTTTGACCCATAGTACCTGCAACACGGAGAATATGAAGCGAGTTCCCAGTCATGACAGCAGTAGACAGTAGATCTTCAGGTTACCGAGGACTTGTTTAGCACTTCAGTTTAATTTCGGGAGTTTATCCAATATGCATTCCAAGAAACAATGCAAGGATCCCTAGCAAGCAGATGATATACAGAGGCTAATAAATATGGCAGCCACTGTTTCGAATGTCACCAGCGTGCCACGCTTTACTATTATTGATAAACGAAATTGCAGCTGAAATTAAGTTCTCACACAGAAACTCTGGAGGTAGCTTCGCATTCTGAATGCGCCATTTGAGCACGATGTAGAATCGTTGAAACATGAGGGCTGGCATATCTATGATATCTACCGTACTATTTCTACTATCGTTGTATTTGTAGCGTCTAATTTGTGCAACGAGGCTATGTTAAGTTCCTAATACAATCGATACGGCACTCTCGATGGAGCATTATGTCAGGGCTTAAGTTTTGCGACACTAGCAAGAACAGCTAGCTTAAAACACTTCTATAAACAACTTACATACGGATTCAAAACTATGTTAGTAACATAATACATGCTCCTGCATCCCTATTGAGTGTGGAAAAAACAGCAATCATGCGAGATCAGGGGATGATCTTGCATAATGAACTTGGTACTAGTAGGGATCATCACCACAAGCCGAGATTGAGTTCTTTATGTCGTTAGTGTATTGCAGGGACATAAGCGCTAATACTAGCACAATCACTGTGCTATATTACCAGACCCACATTTCCTACCCCTTGCATGTGCAAGAACTCTTAAGACTGTGGATGCTCATGTACTTAAAGTGCAGTCCCGATCCCCCTACTTCTGCCGCTACACCTTGCTATACAAACCAATACTTCTGGCACAGTAGTTTAGTCTTTCCTCCCAAAATCTGGGTATTTGCATCACTCTAGCCTGCTATATCAAAATGCAGTTCTCAATCTTCGCTCTTGCTACTATCCTGTAGGCTCGAACAATTACCCCAACCTTGCTCAATATAAGTGCTAATGTGCATTCTTAGTAGCTCCTTGACATTAGCTTTCCCTTTCCACGGAGATGTTGAGGCCCGTGACAATACGAGGGCTAAGGCAGCTTTTTGCCAATGCTTCAGTAAGTCTAGAGCGGCCACGCACTAATGTGATTACTTCATAAATTCGCTAATCTGATTTTTTTTTGTTTGGCTATAGACCCGGACGGTGCTTCTAATGTAACGGCTACTGTATCTGTCTGCGCAGATCTTCACGGACACTATAAGCTGGTAGACAAGATCTCTCCAAACGTAAGTGGTTCTTTGTCCAGAATAGACCTATTACGTCTTGGTATAGCCATTCAGATTGACTGACGTTACTAATCACAATCACAGTGCTACAAGTTGGGAATCTCATCTCTTGAACAATTTGCCAATGGTTGTATTGCTGAGCAAGGATTTGGGGGTATGTGCTGTGACAAGGGAACGGTCCTGGAAAATTGCCCAGCTCTGGCAAACGTTCCGCCTCAGCCTACACCTACACCCAAACCAGGCTCTCACTAGTAAATGTATATTCTATGTCAGGTGAGAGCAACCAAAAGACTACTCCATGATTTCCGTCTGAGATTAGGCTTCTTATCAGACATTTGTTTAATGGAAGGATATCTAATTCTAACACGCTAGCCGACATGTGGATTTCTCATAAGCCCTTTGTACTATTTCACGTAACTGTTTTACATACACATAATAAATGTTTTCTGAACAATTACCAAGAGAAGATAAAGCGGTCATCGAATTTGAAAAGAGCTTCAACTATTCTAATCTTTGATTTCGTTGGAGCAGTTATCATCAAGAGACTTCACAATTGCTGTCTTAGAAAAAGTCGGTAGAGTCCAAGTGAAGATATGTTGCATCGAGCAGCACCGCCGATTTCGCTTGCCAGGAGATTTTGACCATGGCATTGACTAAACTTATTGGTATTTCATCCTCCAATAGACTTGGCGTAGCTTTCCCCCTAATGAAGTGAGGGTGCCGATCCAGACGATTGCACAACGAGCGGCTCAATCTTGCCAAACCTCAGCAGTAGCCTGCTACGCTGTTTGCCATCATTGTTGTTGCCATCCGATTTCCGAGGCTATGCATGAGATAATGACGCTGCGTAAGGTTGTCTCGGACTTGTAGAGTGATTTCGTTATCCATTCATGCACAGTGCCCTTAGTTAGCTGAATAACTACTAAATTATCTACAAGGAATGCTTCATAAAATGTTATTCATTATTTAGTCATCCCTGAATGTGAGGGTCCAAAAATACGAGTTTATAGAGCGGCACAGCGCGGCAGGCGTAGTAAATTATGGATGACAGTATGAATCACCCTTTCCTTCTAGTCACAGAGCTGGCTGGTTGAATTGGACACAGTGGTAGGTTAAGAGAGGCCTTTTTTAAGTGAATATCGTTTTACGGCGCAGCTGCGGGCTGTTGGGCCTCGCACCGCTAATGTGCTTCAAACACGCCGAGAAGGACGCAGGTATGGAAGGAGGCAATTACTGTAGTAAGCTTTTCTCAGAATGAGCTGCGGGTAAGGGGCTTGGGACTAAGTTTTCTACGAGAATCTAGAATTATGAGGTTCACATATTGTGTGTGGGACACAATGTGTACTGTGGCTCATTTCGGATGTTTATCACAGCAACAAGAATGTGTGCATAAGTAGAGGGGGGATTTCAAAAGCATAAAGATCTATATTATATACAAAGCGGCGAAGTTTCTGTACGACTACCGAGGAGTTAACATGTATTTTGAAAGGGTTCTGGACGTTAAAGAAATTCCCAAAACGGACAAGGGTAGTTCAATCCTTCCCGGTTTGATGGAATCGTTGCTAAGCGATGGTAACAGCTTCTGGGAATTCGTTAGCCACTTCCGCGAATCCTTGCTGACTGCGAGACTTCAGTATGAAGTCAAAAAAGGCAACAACATGAGCAGTAGTAAGCTTCATCATTCTCTTCCCTTCAATCGTACCCAAGAGATCACCGATACCAGCCAACTGTGTGCTTCCTACCCCCATCGTGCTTAGAAGTATAGGAATGTCAGAGAATGAATAATGCGCCGACTTGCGCACTTCAATCTCCCTTTTCCAGCTTCGCAGCTTTGGCCATACTATCTTCCACGAGGGGTCTGTTTCTTGCGTCTTGTTATCATGACCTATTAACATGAAGGGCCGATCGAGGCCTTCATCGAGGACAGGACCAAACATTGTCCCGTCGATATTGATGCCACCGCTTACAGAAGGCATTTGCATAGCTGCAGCCCCTGCAGCTGCACCCCCGAGGGAGTGGCCCATAACGGCTACTTTTGTGGCATATTGGTGGATGTCATGCGCTGGGAACAGCTTCTTTGAAACACCGCTCTTTCGTAGGCTGTTGAGGGTGAACGAGATGTCGGCTGCCCGTGTGGCGACTGTTTGATTGATCTTATCATCGGGAATATCGACCCCGGTGATGAGTGTGCCATTTGGATACTCAACAATGTCGGCATCGTATGGGTGATCGATGGAAACGACTAGATACCCTGAGGATGCGACACTTTGCAGCATGACACTGGAAAGATAGCGGCTGGTGCCTAGTGCACCAGAGAAGAGCACCAGTGGCAGAGTTGGTGTGGAACAAGACCCCCCGGTCGCTGGCTCGCTGCATACTTCTAACTGCAGCGATGGAAATGTTCCGTTGGGAAGACCGTAAACGGAAAACTTCTTGTCCATAAAGGCGGCTGTCTGCGGCGGCATGTATGGTTCAACGCTTTTGTTCTGGCAATTCAAGACAGGGTAGAAGCTGGATACCATAATGGATTGGCTTCTTCCATCGTCGATATAGGGATCCTGGCGATGCGTATCCGTCAAGAGAAGGGATGTGCTTCCAATGGTGATATTGGCCTGGCCGACATGTCCGACGATAATCTTTGCCGTCGAAAGTAAAGGAGCAGTAGCTACGAGAGCCAAGCTTGAGGCGACGAAAGTGTGCATGATGGATGGTTCGACGTGGTATTCGAGTTGAGTGAAAAGATGAACTTGTTTGCATGAAGAAACATGCTTCAGAAGATGGACACTTTATAGGCACTTTTCCACGTAGTTTCATGGCGAGCCACTGACGTGTACAGGCGCTCTTTCACTTCCTTTTGGAGACAAGTTCACACGAAATCCATCTGTGCGGAAAAGATTCAGTCCTGAGCACTGCCCATGCCCCACAACATTGCAATAATCTAGCCCCCTCGAGTCAAAGGCTCGTTGGCAGGGGATCAGCGTGACTGAGTATGGCTAGGGCGAATACGAGGGTGCGCGCTCTAATATTTCCCAATCAAGTAAGGCGCGCCTGCAGAGCCCCATCGGCTGCGCCTCTCTGGGCGGCGATATAATCAACCAACGCCGCAAGTGCGCTGCTTTATTCCCACATTCGAATCAAGATCATATCTCTTTTCGACAAAGACCCAGCAAATTAACTGTCTCTCCGCTGTTTCCGTAAATATTTTGACCATCTGGCACGGATGGGAACTAGCGTAGGGCCTTTTGACGGCCGCCGCGCACGAAGAACGAGATGTCAAGCATGCGCAAAGCGGAAGATCAAGGTAAAAATCCCCTGCCATGGCCAGATTTGCATGCTGACATGAAATGAGTGCGCTGGTGGTGCTCCTTGTGATTATTGCAAGCGAACGCAACAGCCGTGTGTTTTCTCAGCTCGTCGTCCAGCGGCGCTCGTCTTTGTTGGCCATGGCCAGGGTCCTAAAGCTCAGCCAGTAATTCACCTCGATCGCAATCTGACATACTTCTTCGACTACTTTCTGGCCATGAATTCCTTCTCCAGAAATAATGCATCATGGCAGAAGGAATTGCAGCTTTTCTTGCACCGATCGCCTGCCCTGAGCAGTGCCGTCTCCGCCATCGCTGCGCTTTATCGTTGTCGACATGAACGATTGCTGTTGGACACGACACAGGTCAGGCAGGACCGACTCCAAGCACTCCAGTCATATACTCAGGCTGTGAAATTGGTCCGGGCCGCTATTACATCCAACACACTAGCAGACCCTGTCATGTTGTGGTCGACGTTCTTCCTAGCTTTGTTTGAGGTGGGTAGAAGCTGGTCCTGAAGCCCTGAAGCCTGTTGACTCTAATTAGTTGATGCGGGACAGCTCTGGAACAGACTGGCTGTCGCATTTTCTGAACGGTACATGTGCAATCCTTCGTCTGCAGAGTCCGGAAAACCTACTGCTCGCGAACCCAGCTGCTAGCCACACACGCAACTTCTTTTTCACTACTCGCATCTTCGAGATCGCACGGGCGTTGATATATTCCCAGCCCACATTTCTGAGTGGGCCGGATTGGACCCATGCGCTGTCGCAATGGTGGAGCTGCGAAGAGGGCCAAAGGCTGTGGCATCCCAAGGAAGCCCTGTTCGATAAGCTGCCACATTTCTGTGACTTGAGTATACGCACCTTGCATTTTGCTAAAACTGGAGAACTGGATTTGGATTCAAGACTGCATCATGCAGAGACTCAAATGCTTGCTGATGAGGGCATTGTGTTGCAGCAATGGTTGCAGCAATGGTGGGTATCTACTGAATTATATGAGAGGAAGACTACCGAAGCCGAAACTGATTTTCTCGTCGCAAAAAACTATTATCATGCCATCAGTATCTACCTTTCAGGGTCTTATGATTACCACAGCCACTGGAGTAAGCCCAATTCACCACAGGCTCCAATACTCAGCAGATTAAGCATTGAAGGGCATATGCATGAAATCCTTCGACTCAGCCAGGAATTGCTAGACCGTGGAGTCGCTGGTCTTCTTCTTTTCATTCCACTTCGCATCGCAGGAGCTCGGGTCTCCAAGGCACAAGAACAAGACCTTATCCTTCAACTGCTACGAACCATATCGGAACGTGGATACGCTGTTGCAAGCGCAATCCATGTAGACCTTATCGAATTGTGGGAGAGAAGGATTAATAAGAGTTGAAACTGTCTCTACGAGTTTTCGACGCGAAGGATCATTGCGCCGTCCGGTACGGTATGCGGTGAAGGTTCGACCGTACCCGGTAACCTGCATGGACGCGCAATGACCTAGGACGCGCAATGACCCACCCTACCATACTCAACACCTACACAAAATACCTCATAACTCCACTAATATAGACCTGATTTAGGAAGCGATTAAAGAAATTAAATTGCGCGAACTAGGCGCATCTTTTAGCTATCGCCAAGTTGCAAAAAGGTTTAGCATTAGCTATCGTACGCTCGCTTGAAGACACTAAAGCAAAACTCAGCCTCGCGCGCTCGCCCACCTCTCTATCTACCCACAACGCGAAAAGGAGCTTGTACAGTACATCGAATCCCTTACTAAGAGGCGTACACCACCTTCGCGTCTAATAATACGCCATCTTGCGTCATTCTTGCTTAGTAGAGACGTTTTAGAACGCTGGGTTTCTAGGTTCCTCTGCAGGAACTCCTCTTATCTCATCTCTCGCTAGCAGAGTCCTATGGACCAGAAGCGTTACAAGGCTGATTCAGCAACTAAGTATAGGTTGTACTTTGAGCTATTACATAATAAGATGAAGGAGTACAATATATAGCCCTCTCACATCTTTAATATGGATAAAAAGGGCTTCTTACTTGGAATCCTTAGAAGGTCTAAAAGGATCTTTAGTAAGAGGCAATATAAAAGAGGAGGAGTTGTTTCAAGCCTATAAGATGGCTCTAGAGAGTGGATTACAGTCCTAGCCTGTATCTGCTCAGATGGTACACCTCTTTCTCCATCTCTCATCTTTTAGTCAGATGCTGGAGCTCTAAAATCAGCCTAGGTAGAGGCTATTAATCCAAACAAGCACTTAGTCTTTGTTACCTCATCGCCCTCTAGATGGACTAACAATGATATAGGCCTAGCTTGGCTTAAAGAGGTCTTTGAAAGAGAGACTGCACGCTACGCTTGAACTGGGTACTAGTTACTCATTGTTGATGGCCACTTATCTCATGTAACCATAGATTTTCTGGATTATTGCAACAGCTATAGGATTCTAGTTGCTGTATATCCTCCTCATTTGACCCATAGGCTTTAGCCTCTTGACGTTGGGATGTTTGGGCCTCTAGCGTCAGCCTACTTAAAGGAGTTGTCAAACTTCCTCTATTGGAGCCATGGAATCCTTCCTCTAGCAAAAGGAGACTTCTTTAAGCTCTTTTAGAGGGCTTGGGGTATAGCTTTTAGAAAGGAGACTATTATAAGCTCCTTTAAGGCAATTGGCATTAACCCACTAAATGCTAAGGTTATTCTCCAAAAGTTTCAACAAGAGGCCTCTAGTTTAGATAAAAGCTCTTCTTCTGTCCTTAGTGGAGATGATTGGCTCAAAATTAAGTCTATTATACGCCGGGAGGTGAAGGATTTTAATAATAAGGAGGTAAAAAAGCTTCGCCGAAGCCTCCATCACCTCTTAGCTTAAAATAGTATACTTAAAGGAGAAAACCAGGGCTTAAGGGAGGCTCTGAAGGTTAAAAAGAGACACCAAAAGAAGAGCTACACGCTTCAACTCAATAGGCCTGAGGAGTACCATGGAGGAGCTGTCTTTTGGTCTCCTAAGAAGGTTCGCCAAGCCAAGGAGGATGAGATGGAACAACAATAAGAACAATAGCAATTACAACTCCAGAAAGCTGAGAGATCTGAGTTAAGGAGACAAGCTCAATTGTACAAGCTTTAAATAGCCCAGGAGAAGCGTGTTGAGAGAGAGAGGCTCAAGGAGGTGAGAGAGAAGGAGAGAGCCGCCAAGGTGGCTTAAAAGGAGGCTCAAAAGGCAGCCTAGGAGGCTGAAAAAGCTATACAATTATCCTAAAGGGGTAAGCGCAAAGCCTCATAAGGCTTCTCTTAAAAGCAGAAGCGTTAGAAACGTGTTGTTGTTGATTTATCTCATGTACAAGCTAAGGTGGCTGCACTAGCCGTCCTAACTTGGACCACCTGCTATGGCCGCACCACTAAGCTACTAAGTAGATACAAGTAGCCTATTATAATTGCAATGCTATAATTACTATAACACCATGAAATCTCGTGATAATAGCGACTGTGGGTGGCTGTACAGCCTCATCTTTTGCAATAGGTTTTTTGGTGGGGTGGGTCATTGCGCGTCCTGGGTCATTGCGCGTCCATGCAGGTTACAAGCCGTGAAAAGGTCGATGCTGCCCGCCCTGCTTTTCCTGTCTTCTCCCCCGCTCTTCGGGTCAATCGCGGCACGCCAATGTCATGGAAAGCCCGCAATTACACGTCGATGCCATCTCGCCCTCGGCCTCGATTCGTCCTACGAAACGCAAGAGAGTCGCATTAGCATGCGATCACTGCCGAGAGCGCAAAGTCAAGTGCGATGGATCCAAGCCCGTATGCAGCCCCTGCAACAAACGGCGGGAACCTCCCGGTCGCTGCACCTACACGCTCATTGCTACGGCAGCCAAGCATCAGAGTGAGCATGAGTAGGCTGATATTCACATTATCATGTGTCTTGCTGTCACTGACGCACTCGGCTAGATACATCCTGTCTCTGCAGAAGCAAGTGCACGAGATGCATCAGGTTATTGACCAGCTCCGCCGCAAGACAGAAACGGCTGCTGCCAATGCTACCCCCAGCCACGATTCCAGTAGCCCCAGACATCCGCCTCAAACGGCACTTGTCGGTACAGATACGAGCCCAGCCATACCTGCACAGGGTGTAGGTGTGCAGGTTCCCGAAGCAGGCGGACCAAGTCCTGTTAGTGCCATGGGCGCCACGACTTTACTACAAAGCTCTAATCTAACTTCTCAAGAGGACGAGTTATTCGGACAATCCTCTGTCCACTCGTTGCTCCGGGAAGTATCTCATTCTCATCCTAATTTTAACCCAGAGAGCCGACAAAGATCAGCCCCACATGCAAGTCAGGGTCGGCCTTCGACCTCATCCTTGTCCATGTCTACGGCAGCGACGCTGTTGACGGCTGAATTCGCCCTGCCCCCACGGCGAGTGGCTGATCAGCTTCTCGATCACTACTTTGACAATGTTCATATATTCTATCCATGGACGCATTCCACTAGCTTCCGAAAGCGATATGACTCCTTGTGGACATCGAATGGCTACCCAGGAGCCCAGACGGGTAAGACGGGTGACATTGGCGTTGGAGGCGACCAATGTTCCGAAGCCTCTTTCTTCTGTGCTCTCAATGCCATGTTTGCTCTCGGCTGCGAGTTCTCCGACCTGCCTGAAAAAGAGTCAGCATCGGCCATCTTCAGCACCCGCATGAGGAGTCTGCTGCAGATAGACATTATCGACAAAGGCGATCTTTCCCACGTGCAAGCGTTGCTGCTCGTAAGCCACTGTGCACTCTCGGGCGAGTATCCTTTGCGATGCTACAACATCATAGGGCTAGCGTGTCGCGTTGCGGTAGGCCTAGGGTTGTATAATGAGAGATGTGCTGAGCAACGGTCCGCCATAGAAAACGAAATCCGTCGGAGAGTATGGTATGGGTGCTTACAAATGGAAATGTAGGTTTTTCCCTCCCATTTATGTCTCAAGCTTGTTGACGAAGATTTGTTTTCAGGACCGTCTGCATGACCTTGGGAAGACCGCCCGTCCTGCAGATGACCGATGATGTCCTTGCACCAGCAGCTGTCGATGATGAATTCTTAGGCATCGATACTGAACGGTGTGTTCAATCTGAGGGAATTCTGTCACAGAATCTATTTGTCGTAGAGAATATACGGCTTGCTAAGATTCTTGGTAAGATCCTCGCCTCTATTTACTGGCAAAGCTCGTCTTCAGATTTTGGCGCCCTCGTTCGCATGGATAATATCCTCAGAGACTTCAAGACCTCTTTGGTCCATGACCTAAGATGGTGGGGTCGCGATACAGAGAGGGAATGCGCGGCTCTCAATTCCCGAGACCGTATCCTCAGACGCCAAAGAAATGTCCTCCACGCTAGATTTCTGCATCTCAGGATCCTACTTTATAGACCAAGTTTCAGTGCCTTTTGCGCGGCCGCAAAACGCTCCCGCCAAGAGCGTGAGGCGGGCTCTGGTTCGGGCGAGCCTGGATTTGAGCCCAATACTTTGCAGACCACTTTCCAGGCCCAATGCGCCACTACCTGTGTGCAAGCCGCGTTCGAACTGTCTGAGTCTCTATTCTCTGCAACGCAAAATAATGCGACCGGGGCATGGTGGTTCACTTTGTTTTGTATGCTTCAACCAGAACTCTTCTCCCTGAGAACATTCAGCTTACTTGCTTCTCATCCAGATCTCATGACTTGTGGGGGTATAATCATACTCGCCGAGTGTGCCCAGTGCGCTGAACCAACAGCTACTAAGCACTTTAACCAACACCAACTTCGAGTTTTCTGGAAACCGCTAGGAAAGCACGCTATCTAGGAGAACCGACCACGAGGAATCGACTAACAGCACTTTCAACACCTGCAGCTAAGGCGCTAGCGCGCAGTAGGAAGAAGAAGGAGGCCTTCCTTCGTTTTCTCACGCCTGTGAGAATTTTCTCACAGAGCTTAGGCTCTAATGCTAAGACTAAAGGGGCTAATAGGAACGCAGGAGCTTATTAAAGCTTAAATTTAGCAAGAAACACAAACATATCAAAACAATAACGTGTTTTACAAGCGAGCGGCGCGTACAAGCGAGCGGCGCACCCCACCAACTCTATGCACCTCTATAGACGTATATCTCAACAACACAACAGTATAATATATAGAAATTAATAGAGTAGGTTAATTACTATCTAGAGTATCTCTCTTGCATGTACGTAAGTTATAGCCAGTCTCTCTACACCTGCTACAGCGCGCTAGAGCCTAGCAGCTAACACCTAATCGCTCTCCTCCTTAACGCTCTTCATAAGCAATCTGCTAATTAGCCTCGCGCTAAGCGAGTAGATCCTCTCCAGCTCCCTTTGTTAGCACTCCTTGCTTCTGTATCCGCTTTCTTTTACGCTACCTACGCCTTGTTGCTGCTTTATTAGCCCTCTTAAGGCTAGTAATCTAATCGCGTCACACCAACGTCAAGTTTTCTAGAATAGGTGTAATTTTTGTTGAATATATACAAATCCCTTACAAGAAACTAATTACAGCAAGTTTTAAGACGTGCAGCGTGCGCGCTGTGGAGCTATAAGCTATAAGAGCAGATAGTTGAGACACGTCTCACACTCAAAACAAAAACACACACACACACCAACTTTTAAGCAGAAATCTTTCATCAAAACTCGTCAATTTTCTATCAGATATAGGGGTAACACGTCGCGAGAAACCGATTTACGCCACCTCTAATGTGTGCAGCCCT